CTATCTTCATTTCTTTTGTAGTGGCCCTTGGATTGGATCTGGCTTTTTAATACAAGGTTCCATTGGAAGCACATTTATAAGCCACATTCTTTTCCTGTTTGTGTCCTTTTTCCCCCATTTATGATGCAAACCCTTATAAATTAGAGGTCATAAGTCCTAAAAGAGTCCCATGTACCACAAATATCCCTCTTCAACTCTCCTATCTCCCCTGCCTGACAGCCTGCCTAACGATCTCACTTTTAATAAATTTGCAGACAAACTAAAGTTCTCAAACAATTAACTAGTTGATTAAGGATTTGATTAATGGTTCGTGTCCTTAATTAAAAGGACATGGAAGGGACTCTTGACCTGCAAACAACTCCAGCAGGATTTGATAATTCATGGCCATGGGGGGTTGCATTGAATAATATATATATTTTTTGGACATGGTCCATTTACATTTATTTCCAACTGCTGCCACATGATGCTCTTGTGTTAAAGGATGTAACATGTAAACCATCACTTTGCAATTTAATAGTGTGGTTGTTAGTTCTCTCCTTCTCTCTGCTATATTTCTTTTATTGTCAACTTCTGCTGCAATTTTTTTTTGTTTGCCAGGATTCCTACATTATGGTTTTGGAGGTTTGTTGGCTGAAATTTACCATCCTAAGGTTGATGATTCACCAAAGCCATCCATTAAGTTCCTTCATGGGACAGATAGTTGGCCTGCCTATTCCATCTGATTAGGAGAATGAGGTTAGTTTATGAATTCGAACAAAGCCTTTTTCAGCTTTGGGGTCTGCTTGATTTGGTGGTTTGTTGACTTTAACTCGTGAATTGGCTCGTTTTAAAGTCATGATCTGGCTTGATAATGTGACTAGCAAGCCAACTCGACCATAAACTTATGTGTGAGTCAATTAATAGCTTATGAGGTGGCTTATTGATGATAAATAAGTTTGTCGGATTGTATATCTCACCGCTTATAATACCTCATTACTTTGAGTACGTAAACAAATATGTATATTAATAATTTAAAGAAAGTTATGTATCCTTGATAATTTAGATACTTATTAATATTAAATAACATGATAGGAAGTAGTTAAAATTTACAACCTAGATGATATGATACCAACATTACATAGCATACACATAATGATAAGTTGACTATTAATGAGTTGAGCTCGTGAGCCGAATGATGTGAGTAAAGCTTGTGGGCGCATTAATGAGCTCAGTTCGAGTCAAACATGAGCCAATGTTTCAGTAAACGAACTAACCTCAATCTTAATCAAACTCTACTAAGATTCAGATTGAGTCATTTTCAGATCTACTTATCATAAGTAAAAATTATATCTACTAAAAAAGTGATCCAAACTTGACGTTTAAACTTTACATCCAGAAAATCTATGACCAGCCTTCAAGATCAAATCTCAACTTCTTTTGGGCAACTCATATAATTAAACTTTTTGCAAAGCAAATACTGATTGATATATATATATATATGGCTTTTGATATGCATGCTTCTAATCATTGTTGTTGTTGTCTGTTTGCACTATAATTAGGAGTAGTTGGTGGGTATCTAACTCATAGTTTTTATTTCTTTTTTTTTTTAAGTGTGGGGGCTGCTTAACAGTTTATCTGTCTCATAAAGTCATAATCACTTTGTAAATGAGAGTAATAATTATAACTTTCTATTGCCATTTACACAACAGATTGTCTGGCAAAAGCATGCATGCGACTTAGATTAATATTTGTCCAAATCTCTTTTGTTTCCCCCTCTCACTTGAGCATTATCGATTATATTGTCTGCCTCATTATTCAAAATACACAAATATTCATTAGAAATTAGTCTCCAATTGTTCTCTAACAACTTGTCTTCTTAATTATGCTGAATAGGGGGGGAAAGTTATGTTCTTGATTACCACCACTCTCTAACATAAAAGAAGAATCAAATAATACTCGAACCAAGATCTTCATCTACAGTCTAGGGATGGGGTTTGGCTCCCGCATAGCCCAATTCCATGTGTTATAATACGAGGTAAAATTCGTTATTAATCTCTCCAAATAATTTGATTTATTGAGATCAAATGGTTTTTACACGGTATCAGAACTATTGTGATAAAAATGTTTTTTTTTTTGAATTCTGACGATCTCATTTCTGGTGCAAACTTCAAGTCCAAATGAGTGGCGGCTTGAGTTTGAGGGGGCGTGTTACTTATATAGTATAAGATTCATGACTGAACCACTTCCAACAACTCGCGATGTGCAAAATTCAAACTCATACAAGTGACTTAAATTTGAAGGGCATGTTAATATATGGTATAAGTTTTATTATTAACCCTCTCAACAACTCAAAAATTCTCATTCAATCGCTACTCTAAAGGATAGTTTTATATGGTTGTCGAAAACACATTGTTTGTATCTAGATTAAGTACAACACATGGAAGAAAAACCCCAACATGGGAATCTGGTTGTCGTGCGGCAAATATAGTTGAAAAAATTTGGGAGCCAATCTCTATGCTCGACTAAACGACATCCCACACCGTTTGATTATGCTATAAGACATATTAGGGTTCTCCGTTTTGTTCGTACTCAACTGGGTTTCTACATGTCTTAGTAACTGTAATAACTATAAGTCTATAACTTAGTTTTTAGAAGCACGTGTTTGTTTGACATGGGTAAAACCTAGCTAGCCAGCACACGCTTGAAGTTGAAGGTCGGTCCAGGGAGGGACATGCACAAGTAAACGTACATTGTAATGGTAAAGTGTTGATGCTAAATACAATTAAGGACTAAATGGGCAAAAGAAGAATCAATCTCAAACGGCAAAGAAGAGTTTGTTCCAATCGGTTGGATACATGACATAGTGGTGAGACAAGTTGTCTAAAGGAGTAGTACATAGTTATTGCATGTTTTATTGAAGAAATCATAAACTGCATTTTTTCCATTATATATATACAACACATATGAATCGAAATCAATTTATTTTTTTCACGTACATAATCCTTTTTTTTTATATAAGAATATGTATCAACTTTCATTCAATAGATAAATGTCAAACATGGCCATTAGAACTAGCATAATCGTCACTAATAAATTTGTCAATCGAGTAAATAGGGGTCTATCAATCAAGCCAACACATAAGTACAATCCCAATTTGCCTGTTGTTGGGCTACCTCATTGGCAGATCTAGGGGAGAAGGCGCATTCCAACACCCGAAAACTCATCCCCAAGTGATGGCAACTAATAATTCATTAGAACCTCGTACAATATTCCCGCCTATGTTTCGTCCCTAGTCTTTTGGAATCACCTTCCATCGACCTTTATATATGAGAAGTTACATAGTTTCACTTGTGAATTCATTTCCAATAGACCAAAGCCACGAACATGTACGATGTGCAAATAAAAATTTCAACCAAAGTGATGAGCGAGGTAGAGGGTACTATACTAGAGCAGTGTTGCTTGCATATGAACCTAAGACTAATAGGATTCTTTTCACTGAAACACTAAGTGGTTGACAAGACGGTTTAATCGAATTGGATAGAGCTATAACATAACTACACACAAGTTCCTAAATCACATGCGAGAGTCAAGGGGTGAGAATCTCGATACAAGAAACAAAAATATGACCGAGAATGTCTGATCTTTGGTTAAGACAACGTGAGTCGCAAGTGATGTTCAAGGTAGTTCCTCATTTGAGTAATAGCCTAAGTGGAGTAGATGAATACCTTATTGACCCAAAGCTTTTTGACTCGCCAATTGTCAATGATACTGTATTTTTATGCTAAGAAGGTCAATGAGGAAGCTATTGGTAAGGTCGACACAAGAGTGCGTTTAATTGATGACAAGGAGGAAGCTGCTAGTAAGGTCGATTCTAACAAATGTTTGATTGATGATTAATCTGAAACAGATGGATGGTAATTTAGAAGATGTTGAGATCTCGATCCACTATTTGACAAGAGATCTTATGAAACTGATGAACGAGAGGGGAGTTGAGATTTTTTGGGTTCATGTAGTCTGTAGATGGGTTCATATAGTTTGTAGATAGGATTGAACTTTGTGGAACATGAAAAATAAAGGGTAATGTCTATTTTTTATCCAAATTTTTTTCAGATTCTTTTATATTATCCAAATCTATTAAAATTTTATTAATTATCCAAATCTTTCATAATGAATCAAAATATTAGACATGTTTACGTTATCGTTAATAATTTTGTAACTCTTCTCTTAAAAATATTAAAATTTTGGAATGTTGACCTTCATGAGTCTCTTCCAAGTCAGTATCATGTTGTCAAGTCAATATTACTAACAAAATTGCTAAATGTATGTTAACATTTGGCTAATTCTTAATATTTCGATAGCCTTAAATAATATAAAAGAATTTGAATAAAAAATAGACATTAAAAAAAAAAACACACAAACATCACCCTGGTAACTTATCTAGTTGGTGGCTTGGCTTGGTGTAGGGCTGGCTATTTGGTCCCGGATTGTTTGGTTTTATCCAAAACCAGACCGTATAACCCGGACCGGGACCGGACTGGGACCGGATAGCAAACAATCCAATCTCATATTCGGGCTTAGATTTGAGGTAAAAAACCTGGATAAAGATCGGATAAGAGACCCCCAACACCTAAAATCAAGATCAAATTGGGACCAGACCGGGTCAAGACCGGACCGAATCAAGACCAGACTGTATCCAATCCAATCTTTGGTCCTTATATTCCCAAAACAACCGGACTGAGACTGAATTAATTTGGTCCAATTTAATCGGACCGGACCGTATAGCCACTCCTAGCTTGGTGCTTTATTGCTTTGGTCTTCCATGCACAAAAGTTTGATAGACGGAAATAATACACACCATCTAAACACCCCCTCCCCACTGTAAAAAGTAAAAAAGACATCCTCTCTCCCAAAGAAGACCAAAAGGAAAAGGAAAAAGAATCACAAAAAGCCAAAAGGGAAGACGGTTATTAGAAAACACAAATTACCTGACTGACTCTCTCTTTCCTCTCCAAACACATTTAATCAAACCATTTCCCCTTCTTCTTCTCCCCCACGCTCTCACATTTCCTCCTCATCCTCCTTCGGTTACTCTGAAACCTCCGCCTCCATTCTCTCTCTCTCTCTCTCTCTCTCTCTCACCAAACCTCTACACCACATTGAAACCAAAAACCCAATCCCACAGTTTAATTCCCCTCTACAACGATGAGAGACTTCGTGTCCTGTTTCAGCGAGAACGCCATTAACGTGGCTACCCAACAACCCCACCATCAGTACTCCTTCTCCTGCTCCTCCTCCGCCGCCGCCGTCGTCTCCTCCCCAGTCACCGCCGCCGCTTCTTCTTCCTCCTCCTCGGCCTCGCCCTACTCCGCGGCGGCGACTCCCTCCGTACAGAACGCCGTCTCTTCCCTCTACCGAATCAGCCTCTCCTCCCACAAGAAACCCCTCCTCTTATCCGTCACATGGGCCCGCTTCCAGTCCGCGGCCCAACAGGGGCTCACCATCTCCAACGGCCCGTCCACCTTCAAGCTCAACACCAGCTCCGGCCTCTTCCGCAAGAAGAAGGGCAGCCGCTCGATCGACGCCGGCGGACCCGATTCCAAATTCGACGTCTATTGGGATCTCTCCTCCGCCCGCTACGACTCCGGCCCGGAACCCCTCGACGGGTTCTACGTCATCGTTTTGATCGATTCCGAAATTGCCCTCGTCCTCGGCGACCTGGCCGACGAATCCGCCGTTCTGTCCAAGAAATTGCTGAGGGCGGCGCCGGCCGCCGCCAAAGTGAGCTTGATTTCGAGGCAAGAGCACTGTTCTGGGAGCACTCTGTATTCCACTAAAGCTCGATTCTCCGAGACCGGCGGCCAGCACGATATCCTGATTAAATGCAGCGGCGGCGGCGGCGAGGGGGAGAAGGAAGGGCTGAAGCAGAGGCACCACCACCCTGTTCTCTCCGTCTGTATCGATAAGAAGGTTGTGATTCGGGTGAAGAGGTTGCAGTGGAATTTCAGAGGGAACCAAACGATTTTCGTTGATGGATTGCTTGTGGATCTGATGTGGGATGTACATGACTGGTTCTTTCACCCGGCGGCGGCGACGGCTGCTGCAGCGGCGGTGTTTATGTTCCGGACGAGGAGTGGGCTGGACAGCAGGCTGTGGCTGGAGGAGAAGTTAGCGCAGAAGGAAGAACAGCTTCAGCAACAGCAACAGCAGAGACTAGAATTCTCATTGCTGATTTACGCATGTAAGAGCCCTTAATAAGAGCTTGCTTTGCTAAGTAAGCATCCATGGAAGGGGAAAGTTATTTACTTTTTGACTGATTTGGTTTCCCTTTCCCTTTTTTGTTTTTGGTTTTGGGTTCTCTTCAATCTTTCTGCTCGAAAGAGAAGGGGCCATAGCTAATCTGATAAAAAAGAAGAATTCTTTTGGTAATAATTTGTAGATTTGTGGGAAGCTTGAGATATGCAGAAATTATGTGAAGAACCTTTGACAATTTGTTTTTTTGTTTGCCACTCACACACAACAGAAACAGAATTCCCCTGTTTTTCTTTTTCCACCAACAGAACTGTTCTGTGACTCTGTTTTTCATCTTTGGCATGTAGCTAAAATGAATCCTCTGTTTTATGAGAATTTGTTGAAGAGAGTTTAGCAACACATTTTGCCGCGATAATGTGCATTCAACGATTGTGGATCTCGAAACATTTCCGGGTTTATGTATGATGAATTGAATATCAAGTAGTAGGAAGAAAGAAGAGTATTCCTGAGAGGGAAAGCTTACACAATCTTCTAGAGGGGGGAATATGAATGATTGGTTTGGTTGAAATTATAGGAAAAGAGAAGAGAGATGTTACCCAGTTCAGCTTTCAATGAAGATATTGATAAAAAGGAAGCAGATATGGATGAAGATTTGAGATTTCCTCCCTTTTGATCTCAACTAGATGAGATTGCTCGGACCAACAATGGCGGGTACAAACAAAGAGATAAGATCAAAACCCTAAAAAGAGAAATGAAACTAGGGAGCCAGCCTGTGAAATAAGCCGTTGACCATTGACAATTAGACTCTACAATTCCATTCCATTCTACAGAGATAAACTTCTGCCCTCTCTGCTTCTTCTGCAGGCATTGGGAAATGCAGGGGCTTGTTTTAGTAGCCAAATCTTGAATTTGAATCATTTGCTCCAAAACAAAAACAAAATCCAAGATTGTCAGCTGCTGCTGTTGGTTCCTGCTTCTTTTTGGGTTCTATAGATTCTTCTTCTCAACTCGGCTATTGTGCTTTCAGGGATCAGCTATGCTACTTCTATATCGTTACTTATGCAGGTTTCGATAATCCACTCGTGTAATTTTCAATCGTTCGACATGTCGAATTTCGACGCTGTTACATTATTAATTACTACACACATTTCAAGATGAAAGGGTTTTGAAAACTGCTAATCAAATCTTTGTGTATAGAGAAGAATTGGTTTTTTTTGCCAGAGTCAAACTGGGTGCCAGATTGGTCCAAAAAAGGGCAGAATCAATACTTCCACTAATGAGCAACACTACTACTTGCCTTTGCCCTGTACTTGTCTTTCTCATTCAAGTGGTAAGAAAAATTGATGCCCCAGAACCTTGTTATTAAAAGGGGACCATTTCCATTGACAGGTTCCCTCATTTGGCCCACTGTGCCCTAGGGTTTAATTAGGAGCCCTTAAACTAGATGTATCAGAACAGATGTAAATGAGGAAACCAGAGTGGCTGCTAGCTACAACCCTCCACTACTGAAGCACCCCAAATCATGGAGCGGGGAGAACAATTATGCACTACTGAGAGAGATTTGTATACCGTTTCCAGGAACAATGATCAACAAAACCGAACCAGATCAGCTGACTCTGTTTTTGGTTTTGGGTAATCATGGTTCCAAGTATCCAATCTTCCATGTTAGTACAGGACACGTATTGTTAACTTTAATTAATGGGTTTGATGAGTAATTTATTGTTTCCTCCATGCTTGTGGTTTTTGGGCTGAGGGGGAGTGCTCTGTTTTTTTTTTTTTTTCCTTCTTGATTCCGTGAGCAATGCAATGGGGATTGACCTGACCTTCTTCCTTTTACTGGTGGGGGAAGTCACAGTCTTGCTCCTGCCACCTACTTCTTCCTTTCCTTTCTTCATTGGCTGTGTGTTTAAGTGAAATTGATGGTACTAGAAGAAGAAGAAAAAGGAAAGAATTCGCTGGCGAATGAATACTGGTGAAATAAGTAGTTGTTATGGCATTTTACCGGTGCAGAGAGTATCATTATCATGAGAATTATAACAAGGGTGACTCGACTCCCCTGAGTTTTGGGAGACTAGAAAGCTGATACTAGGAAAAGGGTTAGAATGAGAATTTGGTGAGAATAGAGAGGAGGTTGGATAACTAGATTATAAGACGAGAAAGGACTGAGATCGATTGAATTGGGAGAATAGCGAGAAATCGAGATACAAAACAAAGAATATAAGATTGTTATTCTTTGTTTTTCGTTGATCTTGACCGAAATGCTAACCTACAATATATAGGTTTTAACCTTTCAGCACAAAACTCCGATTAATTAACTTATCGATCTCACAATGACTCCTAAATCCTCTTGCATGTCTCTCTGTAAAGGAACGCTAAGGAAGCACCAAGGTAATCCTTATATTGGATTGTCATGTAATATCATATCATAAAAATAACGTTGTCATGTGGTATTAATATCAACACGTGTATTTAACGACTGTAATCACAAAGGCTCTCTCTCATTTCACATGTTTTCTTTTGCTAGGACTAGATTCTAGAAGGGTTCTTTGGTTTTGGTTTTTTAACTAACTTCTGGTCTCAACTCTCAAGCAAATTGCAAAATGGAAAGACTGGTATAGCTAGCAGTTTTCTACCTTCAACCCAAACTCCTCTTTTTGAATTTCAAAGTCCTTGAATTGAAATCTCAAGACTTGGGGGGCTGCTCATCAAACGATACACATTAAAAATTTAACATATCCATACACCTGAAAGTGACATCCACAAACAACTCGAGTTCAATTTCTTTCCTAGTCATGAACCCTAATCAGGATTGCTGCTGCTAGGAAATGGTCTCGTTTGAATTTCAAAACCCATGCCGGTCCAAAATCATTCTTTTTTTCCTTGCTTTGTGGTAGTAGGTGAATAGAAACTTGACACCAACCCATCAGTTAACAAAAACTAATGGAAAACTTAAGTCAAACACGGATTAGCCATTGATGATCATCATCATCTTCCTCCTTTCCCTTTCATGCTTAGTAATCCTCTGTTCCAAAGCTTGTCATTATCCGATTCTCTCAAAGTCCAAAGCTTTCCATTTCATGAGTGGGAGAGAGCCAAACTTTGAGTGACTTTGAAGCTATGATGGCAAGGTAAAAAGAGAGGGAGGGAGCTAGGGCAATAGGGCATGCTCTCCCTATTTTCATTATTGTGCCATCATGATTGTGAGGAAGGGTGGGTCGAAATTGAAAACGGCAATGAGCATTGCCATGCCGGTCAAACCATGGCAGTGATTTTGTGGGTTCAGAGAGGATGTAGACTTAGGACCCAACCTATTTTTTCCAGGACAAAACCATTGTCACCGATTCCGAGAAGTGGCTAGTTAAATAAACTGTCCAGATAACTTTAGAGTCACTGCAAATCCATTATATGCTATTCCGTTTCTTTTGAACTAACTTGTTACAATAACTTAACATAACAGTCACCCCATGCATATCTTTGGTCAAGTTTGTTGTCCAACTTGTCCATATTAACGTGCGGATATCACATAAGTTGATGATGAAATCGTCACATGTAGACTAACGAGCTTACACGAGCAACTCATTATGACTCACGCTCAATCCAAACCGAACACGTTGGTCGTTCGTATTAATAGCTAATAGGAGAGCCTGTGTACATTTTGATTATTGTGTCTACTGTCTAGTGAATCGATCATATTCTCTGTTACTTATTTCAAATTTCAGTGACGTTTATGTTAATCGTTAAAGTTTCAGTGACCAACTTGCTATTCCAGAAATTGGAGTAAGCTGCTGATAGAATTGACCCATCATGGAAATTGGAAAGAGGTGGGGCTGAGTTTCTGGTTTGGTTTGGTTTTTCTTCGGAAAGGAATAAGGACCACTTTAATTTCCTCATTACCAATCTCAAAGGGATGCCATGAATGATTCACCAATGCATGCCCATTTGGGCACTCATTTAGTTGGTCGATTGGCAAGCAAAACTGCAAACAAGCTGCAACCCTCATGGGACCAACAATACTATGATTTTTAAAATCATACGATCATATTCGAATTACAAGAATTAATGATCTATCTAGACATATCGTCTCTTAATCCCATCTACATAAGATAGCAAAACATTAGATCGACAATCCTTATTACTCTTCCTCCTCGAAAAATTTCATGTAATTGAACCCAGCCTCATTTCAACCACGTCAACTTTAACCTTATCAACTAGCTTCTGAGTGTAATGGCCTGTGGGAAGACTTTGAATTTTACAAATACTTAATGAAACTTTAAGTACGGCTCTATACCATTGGAATTTGGAAACACAACATGGGAAGCCGCTCGAGATTTTGACAAGAGCGTTTGTTGGAATTGTTGCTAATCAGCCAATCAAGGAAGATGGAATCCATCAAAAAAAAAAAAAAAAAATCTGCATTCGTTCTCTTCCGAGTGTCTCATTTGCATGGCAGTTTTTGATGGAGGTGAATATATATTAGGGTCAGTTCTCGAGAGCTAGCTTAGCCTTTTTGTAGGATAGAGCTTCAAAGTCTGAAAGCACCGTTGCTAGCTTTAGGTAGGCGCGCAGTCCACCAACATATGCACTTTCGTTCAACCGGGCTATGCTGCTCGCACTTGTGAGAACGAGCTTACAAAAGACGCGCCCAATAGTCAGATTATACGTTGTGTAGATTGTGAGCACGTTCTCACAGATTGTGTTGTGAATATAATAACAAAATTCTTATAGTAGACGATAGTTGATATTGTTGAATTGTCGACTAAGTTGTTCAAAATATTGAATATAAGTGATCGATCATTGATCATGTATACAAGAGACGGTTGTTGAGATAACAACCAAACTAATTCTCAATTAGGCCACCAAATCTTTGATTATTCAAAGAAACATCAGTTTACACCCACTTTGGGTCGTGTCTCGTGCATCCCATCTCTTTCCCATTATCAAAGATGGTTATGCTGAAACCTTCCCCTGGGACAAGAAGTTGACCAACTCTTTGAAATTTTGGTAAAAGGGAGTTGGAAAAAAAAGGTGAGGTAAAGAAAAAGTCAAAACTCGTGAGGAAAAGTTGGAAAACAGAATGGTAAGCCCAAAAGGAGGAAAAAAAGAGCTGTTGGGCTTCAAGTGTTGGGAGACTATTGGGCTGGTAATGTTAGCTGTTGTCACGGGCCCAGGTGTCATGTCGCTCTTTTCCCCCGTGTCCAACAGAAAGAGGCCTTTAGTTGCGAATTTGCTGATTTCAGCCCACTTCTTTCAGTTCCTCTTCTGGATCAAGTCATGAAATCATTTTGCAGCTTCATCTCTCTTTCTTGTTGCTATCTTCCACTACTCTAATCGCAATTAGAAAATGATCCATTTATCAACTATGATTCCATTTCCAGAACGTAACAGTGTGTTCTACAATCCTTGGATCTGCATTCCAGCTACAATTGTCGTTTGATGCACAGGGCAACATTCCAATTTGTAGATAATAATTGCATTGTGAATCGAAGAGCGCATGATTCAACGATCGCTAGTATGTTAGGATTGGGCTAAATTACACGTTTGGTCACTCAAATTATACAAATCTTTCATGTTTGCCACCCGAATTACTTTTCTTTCTTATTCGCCACTAACTTTACGAATCGTTTCACGGTTGGTCACCGGCCGTTACACTCCGTTAAGTTTGTCCTACGTGGCAGTCAACTATAAAGTTTGACCGTTAACTAGATGACGTGGAAATTAAAAAAAATAAAAAAAATAAAATTTTTTGTCCACCTCATCATTAACCAGGCCCTTATTAAGAATGCTTCAGAACACAGCAGATCTGTGCTTCATCACCTTACCCAGTATTTGCCGGCACCTTCTCATCATGCTCATCAGTACCTTGTCCTGTAGCGGACTAGTCTTGGGCTGCCGTTTGGGTTCCAACTCATGGGGCGACGGGGAGCTAGGTTTCGAACCCTGACCCGGAACAAGAATTGGGAAATTCTTCTTGGATTTTTGCCCCTTCGAGTCGCGATTCTGTTGGCCGGCCTTCGTCCCGCTTGCAACCCGGTTGGTAAATTGGGGCTCGGGCAATGGCGGTGGATGTGCATTGGAGAGCTGGAAACTAGGGTAAACTGGTCGAGGTTCAGAGTTCAGTCGGTCTCCCCTCGTTCTCACGGCGCGGACCTGTTCGAGCTCCAATTGAAGGCGCCTCTTCAATTCTTTCAATTCTTGCCCTGAGTGCGCGTCGAGATTGAACGTCACGTAACCGCCGTGGTAGGACTCCTTCACTTCGCCGTCGCCGGGAGCCACCCTCCACTTCGGCGAGCCAGCATCCGGCTTCGGCAGAGGAGGAGGTAGCATTCTGCCAACGCGGTGATCGCCAGACGGATTACGGATCTGGATTGAACTTTGTAAGAACCTTGGAGGTGGGAACAGAGGACGGGGAAGACGACGATCTCCTGGGCTGGGTTCTGAAGCATTCTTAATAAGGGCCTGGTTAATGATGAGGTGGACAGAAAATTTTATTTTATTTTTATTTTTTTTAATTTCCACGTCATCTAGTTAACGGTCAAACTTTATAGTTGACTGCCACGTAGGACAAACTTAACGGAGTGTAACGGCCGGTGACCAACCGTGAAACGATTCGTAAAGTTAGTGGCGAATAAGAAAGAAAAGTAATTCGGGTGGCAAACGTGAAAGATTTGTATAATTTGAGTGACCAAACGTGTAATTTAGCCGTTAGGATTGTCATCTAATTTCTTAGAGTGACTCAAAATTCACTCACTTAACTGCACAGCGTAATATGATATAACATAAAAAAAGACTCATTATTAACAAATTACGAGCAAAAGAACCAAAATCTCATCTTAAAGTTGAATTGTTGAAAGAGATTCGAAATGCTTTCGATTATTTATATACAAACGAATCGCATACAGGGTCGGAGTGCCGGCGGACTACTTGAGAGAAAGAACCGGGAAGTTGAGGCCCAGAAAGTCGTCAACGGCGTCAAGGAAAGTGGCGCCGAGCTCAACGTGAGCAGGGTGTGTCATGAATGCCAAGCAGTCTTCCTGGCTGTCGAATCTCATCACGGCGGCGTGGGTGAAGCCCTTTGCCGGGCTAGGGAGCGCCGCAGTTGCAGAGCCGCCGGAGCCCTCAATATCGGCCGCTTCTCCCCTGCAAAATTGACATCAAAATGAAGCCCGGAAAGAGCTGGCAACAGTAAAAAAATTGACCAGATCGACTGACCGACCATTCTGCGGACTTGACAAGATCGATCTCAGAGAAAAGCTTCTTCAGCCCATTCAGCATCTCCTCCACTGCAGCCCCTTCTTTGAACTTGAACAGGACTACCCGCTTGAAACCTCCTCCATCCATGGCTATGGCTGTGATATGGAAGCTTATGGATGGAAAACAACCATCTCCTCTCCTCTCTTTATTATCCTCTGGCTGACTTCCTTTCCAATTATCCATCTGCCCATTTGTCTTTTTGCTAGATTTTATTTTTCTATGGGAGTAGTTATTGTTTATGTCATGGATAGAAGATTGGGAAATCGACAAACGTTGAAATTTTTTCTGAGGATCCTCATAATTTGCAGTCGATGTTAAATTGTGAAACAACGATAAAACGAGACTCGGTTTACGTGGTTCTTCCTCACGTTGTGTAAGGCTTACATCCACGGGGAATTTGCTTCTACGTATTATTGATAATTGGCTTGATAGTACAAGCCATATTCTTATACCCTGTTACATCGAAATTATCTAGGGTTACAATGTGAAGACGTGAGCTAGATGGGTCGGCCATGGGCCTTGCCTCTGCATGGGCTGCATGAGCATGACGTGGGCCTGGAGTCAGCTTAGCAGCATCACGTCGGTCCAATACTCCCCCGCAAGCTGGAGCGTGAAGGTCAAGAACGTGCAGCTTGGAAAGAAGAAAACGAAAACGAGACAGGTATCTTGTTGCAGACTTCTTGTACCGACACACCACAGTAGAATGGGGTTGTCGAAAGAAAGCATCGACATATTTTAGAGACAGCTCGGGCGTTACGATTTCAAGCAAATTTACCTCTTCGCTTTTGGGGAGAGTGCGTCCTCACTGCGGTTTATCTCATCAATCGTTTACCTACTACGACAACAGGTAAATCCCCTTTTGAGTCTCTATTTGGGAAGGTTACCGGGTACCAGCATCTCCGCATTTTTGGTTGTTTGGTATACTATAAAGATACCCATGGACACCTCGACAAGTTCGTTGCACGGGGGAGGGCTGGTGTTTTTCTTGGCTATGCTACTTCGCAGATAGGGTACCGCATCTACAATCTAGTTACTCGGCGAATGATCACGTCACGTGACGTTCGGTTTCATGAAAACCAATTCCCATTTCAAGAGGGTATGCAAAAGGTACTACATTGGGTTCCTAGACCTTCCTTCCAACTTGACCAGGAGGCCCCAATTTTTAATTCTATAGCAGGCTCACCCCTGCACACTTCCGCAGCGCCATCTACATCTTCAACAACGCCTTTATCATCCACTGTAGAACCGCAAAACATCATTGTATCACCTCAACCTGCTGCCCCGCTCCCAATAGGCCCTTCCTCGCCTTCTGTTCCTGCCCAGCCATCCTCGGCAGCTCCCTCGCCTTCTGTTCCTGCCCCACCATCCTTGGCGGCTCCCAGTACCGAGTTGGCCGCAGTTGAGTCCTCTGCCACACCACAGCCTTCCATTGCAGTTGAGACACCTCAGCTGCGGCGCGGTGAACGAATTAGAACTCGCCCAAAGCATCTTGCGCCTTACCATACTCATTTTCCCGGTGATCAGGGAAGCACCCATAATCTTGTGCATTATCCTTTATCTAATCATGTCTCTTACTGTTGGGTTGGTCCAACTCATATGGTGGTTGGATTAACCGGTTTGAGTTTGGATTTTTGGTTGTTTTCTAGAAGATCCTCTATTTTCAAAATAGAGAGTTATTGTCTAGTAAAAAGTAAAAAGAGGTGACAGCCTTTCATTTTTGTAGAGAGAGAATAAGAAAAGAGAAGAGAGAAGAGAGGAAGAGCTGCAGTTTTTCGTTTCTGCAGCAGGGCAGCCTGTTCAAGTGAGCGTTCTGGAATATTGAACCGTTGGATCGTCCTGAAATTTGGACAGTGGGTTTGCAATTGTCTGGGCTTCATTCTGACTAGGGGTGTCAAAACGGGTTCGAGTTTTCGGTTTAACCCGAAACCGAACCGAAAATGAAACTTGATGGGTTCGGGTTCTCGGTTTCAACCCGAAAGTGTGATGCTCCGGTTTCGGTTTCAGTTTAACCCGAAAACCGGTAAGGACCCGAAAAACCCGAAGATGTAACTTGGACTCTCATCCTTCTTTTCGTGGGTTCCCTTTGCCGGAGGAGACGAGTCGACACTCGACAATCCTTCGCTGGACATCCCTTCGCCGACGAACTCATCCTTTCCTTCAAGAACGAAACTTTCCCCGGCGCCGCATCTGGGTACCGCAACTCTTTTCCGATATGGTTTTAGGGTTTCCCTGGCTTCTTGATGCAGCTCCTGGCTTCATCGATTTCTCCCAACTTCATTGATTCAGCTTCACATCACCAAACAAAGAGAGGATGACGGGGACAGTGTTGATGGTCGATGGCGTTGGGAGCCCAGGAAGCATATTAAAGTGGCAAGGAGGAGGCAGGCACGAGCAGTTTCCTGTGCCCAAAGACAGCTGACAACCGCGAAGAGAGGAATTTGGGATTAGGCTGCAGATCCAGTCGATTTACATGGAGAAGAGATTGATAGAAGTAGAGAAGGCATCTTTCCATTTCTTCTTCCTTTACGGAGCCTACGGGGGATGTGGCATCCATAAATCTCTACAGCAGGGGGAAAATCAATGAGATTCTTCGGTGGATTTGATGAATCTCCTTGAGATTGATGGCGAGTTGGCGACGAAGAGGTTTAGATGGTGGCCGGTAGTGATTGAACTTAGGAAAAGGGATCCGCTACCCAGATGCGGCAATATGCTTTTCGGGGGAATCGGTGAGGAAGCTAGGCGAAAGGGAGAGAAGCGTATCACAGATGGGGAGAGAGAGCGTTCCAAGATTTTTACGGTTTTCGGGTTGCCTTTACCCGAACCGAAACCGACAGTGCATATTTCGGGTTCGGGTAACCGAAACCCATTAGTGCTGCTTTCGGGTTCGGTTTCGGGCATGCAAGTGATGGGGAAACTGGGTTTCGGGTTTTTTCGGGTTCGGGTTTGGGTAGGCGACCCGAACCGAACCGACACCCCTAATTCTGACCGAAGGGATCGTCATTCTGAGGTCTAGTTCGTCGGGAATCGCTGCTGGACAGAAGGTGTACGAATCTGTTTTTGGGTATCTCTCAACCTCTCTTTGTCTTGCTCTTGTTCTTGTTATCCACCATGTTGGTGAGAGCTATTGTGGTTGATTGTTGATCCAAGAAGGGTGTTCTTGAGGTGTTTGTAATCCTCTAGCTAGTCTAGAGAGGACTTGTAATCCCACCAAAGTCTAGTGGAGTTGTGGCTTGGACAAAGGTCCCGTGGTTTTTCCCGATTTGGGTTTCCCACGTAAAAATCGTGTGTCTTGTACATTCTATTCTTGCTTGTGGTTGCTGCCCGGTTTCTCAACACTTACGATGGTTTCACGCCCACGTATTCTGCTTTTCTTGCAGCCCTTACATGAGAAGATGAACCCCGAACATTTCTAGAGGCCATCAAAGATCCATGTTGGCGAGCAGCCATGGCGAAAGAAATTCAGGCCCTCGAGGCTAATGGCACGTGGAGTTTGGTTCATCTTCCACCCGGGAAACGTGCTATCGCAGCAAAATGGGTTTACCGGATCAAATATTATCCGGATGACAGCATCACTTCGGTCCAATAGTCGACGACAAATTATCTGTCTTCAAACCTCTCTCCTTAGATTCATTAAGATCCGATGAGGAAATTACACATTACAACAAAAGAAAACAGAAGAAAGATCACATTTCTATCCGCAGTAGTAGCTATTCCAGCTCCAGCAACCACCTTATCCCCTGTCACAGCGGGAAAAAAAAAACAGAAAAACAGAGTAACCTTCAGGACACTGCAGCAACAAAAACCCAGAGACAGCAAATTCCAAAAGAAGAGAGAAAAATTTTACACTTACTGCAAAGTTGAGGGTGGCACAAGCATTTCAATCCAGCCCCACAGTCTCCCTTCTTCTCGCACTCCTCACAGGGATTCGGGACATGATCGGGAATGTCGAACGAAACCCTCGTCCCCAATTCAACCTCATGATCGCCACCGCCGCCGCCCAAAGATCTGCGATGAATGGGTTGATAGTGGGAGCAACTCAGGTTTTCGGGATGAAACCCCATTTCCTCCACTTTCCCCAAATCGCTTACCATCAAACACGAACCGCTAAGCCCTTCATCTCTCTCCGATGAAAAGCAGGCAGCTTTGGATTTAGATTGGGTGCTGCAGCTCTGGATCAGAGAGCTGTAGTTGTCAGAGGAGGAATTCGAGCAATTGAATAGGAGAATCGAGTTGGGTTGCGGCGGAGCTGGGAAGCCGGCGGAGAGAAGGGAAGGAGAGGTGTAGTGTTTGGTAGAAGGGCAAGAAGAAGAAGAAGAAGAAGAAGGGTGTTGAATGGTGAGGGTTTTGGTATGTGAATCGATGGACGAGATTGGGAAGAGGCCCAGAGTTGTTCTGAAGTAGAGCTTCTGAGACTCGCTGCAATGGAGGATTCGAGACAGAGGGAGAGTTGAGTTGGAGTGAAGTAATGGAGTCGGGATTTGTGTTTTGCCGCAGAATGTGGAGGTTGATTGAAAAATGAGGGAGATGAAGCTCAGGGGAAGGATGAGATGGAGGAGAAGCTTGTTCATCTGGTGGTTTCTGGAGGAGTGCATTTTTTACTTGATGAAAAACAGGGGAAAACAGGGGAAGGGGGGACTTGTAGTTAAAAGGAGGTGAAAAGAGAGAATCTGCTTTCTTTTTTTCAAGCCTGAAATTGTGCTCAACTTTCCTCTGGGAATCTACTTTACTATCAAGCTATATTCCACTTCCCCCCACCGTCGAATTTGAATATGCCAACGTATACATTTCTTTATCTTTTAGCTCGTTTGATCTGTGATCGAATGGGGTGAATTACACGATTGGTCACCCAAATTACATAAATATTTCACGTTTGCCACCCGAATTACAAACCTTGCTTATTGGTCACTCACTTTACGAAACATTTCACCGTAACCACTGGACGTCAGCCTCCGTCAGACTCCGTTAACGGCGTCAGATTTTTGATGACGTGGCAAACGGAAACTCTGACTGGGCCGACAAAAAGGCTGAATCAGCCTGAATACCCGAGCCAGCAAAGCACCCGACCCGAAAAAGGACGGAGCCCATTATTTTTTTCTTTGCTTTAATTAATTTTTTTTACTTTGAAGAAGCTGATTCCCCTTCTTCTTTCCTCTGGTCGTGCGTTTCTTCTTCCCCCTTTCTTTTACGAATCCCTCGCCAGATTGACAATGGAGGAGAATCAAACTCTCCCTCCTTTAGGGTTTCCAGCGAAGCCCAGAAGATCAATCGGAGCTTTGCGGATGACGATTGTTCCGACTCTTTCTACCCTGAGACTCAGCAGATATGGGAGAAGCTCCAGAGATCAGGCGGCGACGGAAGGAGCAACATCGACCGGCGTTTGTCGAGGAGCAGGACGAAGAAGAAGAACCAGGTCCTACTCGAAGGGTATGTCGATTTGAGCAGAACCAGCAGCAGTGGCGCCGCCGATGACGATTTGAAGAGCTCCGATTGATCTTCTGCAATTCAAAACAAGAAAGAAAAAGAAGACAGACGACGACGTTAGCATTAGGTAAGGCCCAAAAAGCTCCTTTCTACCCCATTTCCAGATCCTGGTCGCTAGAATTTCACCCGAATCAAAAGGAGGGGAAAAAAAAGAGGCTTACTCTGAACTTGAAGCTGTTCTTGAAGAGAGATAACTTGAGAGGAGATCGAGGAGATGCAGGATTGGAGCCGTGCTTGGGCTTCGGGCTAGCTGCAGCGAGCTTCGCCGTGGTGGCCCTGGGAGTATTATGCGTGGTTCTGCAATGGAGGGCAGGGCTGTCGTCTGCTGCTGCAGTTGTAGTAGCACTGGTATTGAGATTTGAGGAAGAAGATGTACGGCAGCGCAAGGCCGGGCTGGAGAAGGAGCGAGACTTGAGGCGGGGAGTGGCGGGGTTGCTTCCGGCGAGGGAGGAAGAAGACGAAGAGGAAGAGAAGAAGGAGGGCTGTCGTCTGGGCTTCGCTGGAAACCCTAAAGGAGGGAGAGTTTGATTCTCCTCCATTGTCAATCTGGCGAGGGATTCGTAAAAGAAAGGGGGAAGAAGAAACGCACGACCAGAGGAAAGAAGAAGGGGAATCAGCTTCTTCAAAGTAAAAAAAATTAATTAACGCAAAGGAAAAAATAATGGGCTCCGTCCTTTTTGGGGTCGGGTGCTTTGCTGGCTCGGGTATTCAGGCTGATTCAGCCTTTCTGTCTGCCCAGTCAGAGTTTTCGTTTGCCACGTCATCAAAAATCTGACGCCGTTGACGGAGGCTGACGTCCAGTGGTTACGGTGAAATGTTTCGTAAAGTGAGTGACCAATAAGCAAGGTTTGTAATTCGGGTGGCAAACGTGAAATATTTATGTAATTTGGGTGACCAATCGTGTAATTCACCCGTGATCGAATGATTATAGAACATGAAAGATGTGAGTAAAAATTGAAATTTGTTTACTATATCATATTGAATAGAGTAGGCATAAATATCATTTGTTTGCTTCCTCGGTTGTGAGATTTCGATCAGACAGTCATAGAACACATAGAGAAAGATGTAAAACGGACGATCGTAATGTATTTGTGTGATTGTGCATGCTTCATTCACAACCGTTCGTTTTTTCATAAGACGATTGAAGAGATATAAACACGTGCTTACGTCTATCTTATCATTATCCGCAAAACGTTGATATTCTCTATCCTTGCCTTGTATACAAAATGATTATAATATATACATTGGGGAATATTTTCATTTGGGAACAGATGTCTTTCTCCATTACAGAAAAAAAAGTTTTTACTTTGTTGACAAATCTGTGTTTTCCCCCCAATCTGCAAGAGATTCTGCATGTTCCTTCTGTCTACCTTTCTGCTTTCTTGCTTCAGTAAATGTTTATAATCTCAGTGATGGGTCATGGGTGATTGGCTGGCATCACATGTTTTTGTCACTCTTGATTTTTGCTTGGATTTACATGTCCATGAGTTTTCCACATTCTACCAGGAGTGAGTATGATTACTGAGAAGCCCTGCATTTTCAGGCATACCAGCTTGGGCTTGGCAAACATGAAAAGCTGAGAGAAAGGAACATGTTAAATAATTACCATTAGTGACCTGTTTTGATCTTTAGATTCGACATTTTGGAATCATAAAAGGACCAGACAGCAACTTTTGCTGCCACAAAAACAGGCCCTCCAAGTCCATGATTGAGAGGCCCCCCCAATACTAATTCCACTTTTGGCCACATTGTTTCTCTCTTTTTGACAAATCAGGACAAGCTTTTCCACATTGTCAAACCCAAACATGACCTAAAGAGTGCTAAAACACTTGACTTCTTCCAAGGAAGACAGAGGCATGCCTGCAAATCAGCAAGAAAACAGAACAACAACCCAATTCTTCTCTGATACAAAACTAAGCTTTTATTAAAGCACTCAACAACAATAACCCACTTGGAAAATGATGATCATACTCCCCATCACACAAGCTACAATAACCATATATAGCTGTTGTAATCTCCATTCCACACTGGAGATGTGATCAGGTTGCTGGTGCTGGCTGCTTGAGAGGGATGGTAGGGAAGTTAAGAACAACACATTTCTCAATACTTGCTGAGAAAACAGCAGCATACTCCAGGTGATCAGGGTGGGCTTCATAAGCTCCATAATCCTCCTTGCTGCTGAATGTCAATGTGAATGCATGTGTGAATCCTTGTGTCAGCATCTCGTGCCCTTCCGAATCCTGCCCCCTGTACCATACCACGAATCGTTTAGCCTCATCGGTTTTGATCTTCGTTACGATTCCAGAAAATCCGCGGTTAGAACTTAGAACTACACATCAATCAACAAAAAAGAAGGGATATATTTGAGAGGGAGGACTGACCATTCCAAGGACTTGATGAGAGGGATCTGAGAGACGAGCTTCTCCATCCCTTTGATGATATCATCCACCACAACACCTTCTTTGAACTTGATGATGACCAAATGCTTGAACTCTGCAGCAGCCATGGCTTTCTGGTCTACTAACTCTGCTGCTGCTCTGCCTCCTCCAATGTCCAAAACACTTAGCCCTAGGGCTATATATTTATAGGCCCCTCCACTCCACTCCAATTGGCCTCTATGTGGAGTGTGTGTGTTATTGTTCATGTGTCAACTTCCACAGTCACATTCATATGTGCAAAGATCTGACACTCAGCACGCATTCAGACAGCTGCACACATGTACACGCACTCATTTTGATTGACAGGGTTTCTCATTAGTGTCCTAAGAAATTCAAATTTGTCAAGAAAAACCATTTCCACTCTTTTTTATTCTAGAACAGATCTTCAGATTTCGTCAAAGCTCTCATTGCCTGACAAGTCGTGGTTTTCCTGTTCTGCTTCGTTTGGTGGCCGCTCCTCTGCTAGCTTTCCCATTTCTGAATTCTATGGATTGGAAGCATTTGGCTTTTCAGGGGGGACCTTTTGCTCTCCATGTCCTTCCTTCCCATGTGAATTGTGAACGTACCAGTAAGTATCATCATTGTTCCGGAGGTGAGGTGGGAGCTCATAATAGTTTTAACACATTTTGTACAAATCCAATTTTTTGTTTCCTATATGAGCTCATACTAGTCAAGAATTTAGGCTAGTTAATTAACATGACACTGCGTAGCAGACTGCACCATGTGACCAAGAAAGGCTTGTAGCTCACATTGTAGTCATTGCAATCGACCGGAACCTATGGGAACGATCCAATAACGTTAATATTTGTCGACTTGTATCGCATCACTATAATTAGTAATCACATCAACATAGATGGCGTCTGGCGTTCATGGGATGAAATGATTTTCGTATGTATTTATATTCATTTGATTCCACCCACGTGGTTGCAGTGGCGGATACATGATGCGGGACACCCCTAAATTTTGGGAACACGATTATTCAACCCCCGGTAGTAGTTTCGTATGGATAAACAAAATATAATTAGTAATCTGGGACACCTCTAAAATTTTAATAAATGATTTATCTTACCCTCGATAGTAGTTTGCGTGATTAAAAAAATATAAGTGGTACTCTGTGTTATTCAAATCTAGGACACTACTATTATTTAACATCTTCTCCATTAGGTTATAACTCATTTGTTGTTCTATTTTAAACACTATGTAATGGTGAAAACGCGATTTCTTATCCCCAGGGGTACCCTAATTTGAATTGATTTTATGGTAACACTGCAAGTGTTGAAACAGTCTTTTCAACTTTGAATTACATCATGAACAAGGTTAGAAATTGAATATGCGATCTAGTAGGATATACCGTTTGTTGAGCAGTGTACACGCCAAATCTATCTTATATTTTTTTCGAAATATGAAAATACATCGTGACTTTTTGTCAACATTTATACTAATTGGATATTTTATTATTTATGTATTATTTAATTTAATTATTAATTTAATTCAATTTTTGGAAGAGGACACCCCTACAAAAAATTTCTGGATCCGCCACTGCGTGGTTGACAACACACAAGGTTGATAATACATGACGGAGATTCACCCCATTTTTTTTTTATAATCAACCTGCGATTTATTTAAATGATAGTGTTGCCATTACAGTCCTTTTCTAAAATTGAAAGAAGAAAAACATGAGGGTCTGACACCTACTCTTCTTGGGCCTCCCAGTTGCAGACCGTGTGGGCCATCAGATGGGCCGCCGAGTTGGCCTGCCTTTTTGTGAAAGCCCACCTTACCTTATCCTCTCCCATTTCTGCTGCAAGTTCTTCAATCTCATCCACAATCAATCCCACCTCTGTAAGCCTCCGATTCTCATTTCCAAGCTGCGAGAAAATCCCCTGGCAATCCGTCTCGACAATTATCAATGTTGATGATCTTGAGTTGTGGGCAAAAATAAAAATTGATTTGAAGGAGTGAGCACCAGACCAAATTGCCTTTTTGATAGTTTTGTCGGTTCGGGATTATGTGTGTGGAATGGTCTGATTTTTTTCCTAATCCGATAAGAAATGTTGTTCTAACAGCAGACATTGAGACAATCAACACCTCAAATCTTCTTTATTAATGATGGAAAAAGCATATATAATTTCCTTTACCTTTATGTCAACTGCATACAAACAAACTCAATCTGACCATCCAACTTAAGCCCTTCATAGTTCATTTTCCTACTCCACAAATTATTGCTACTTATTCTCATAATTTCATTAATTTGGTGTACAACTACATAATCTCTAATGTCCATGGAAAAAGAATATAAATAATAAGCTTGCCAATTCCCACAATCTATCTCGATGGTTATTGGCAATAACTATATATGTATCGACAACTTGCTTATTTATGAATTTGTTGAATACTCATGAAAATCCCAACCTTCACAAGCATACAATTCTCTAAGTCCCAATGTTAAATAAAGGAAGTTAAAAATCAACAGTCACAAAACCCGATTTACACAAAGAACCAAACGTTAGATGAAATAAGCTCCATGAGAGCATAAAATACACACTCTAGGAGCATAAGGAAAATGAATTTTTATTAGCATAGAAATGTTGGCATGACACGGATTTGTTTATTTGGACTACGCCTCTTTTATATATTTTAGTCCATTTTGACCCTTTCATTTTGAGTTTGAAAAGGTGTATTTACAAACTTTCTAATCCCTCTGTACTGATCCGTATTACTTGTTGTGATGGACGAAAGCAAGGGATTCACGAGTCTAAGAAACTTGAATGAAATTTCGCTAAGATATAATTCATTAATTGTCTTTGCTAACATAAAAGTACATAAATCCCACATTTAATTTCGATTTCACTGGCCCCAGAAATCGGATGCTATGCCCCAATCAACGTAGTAGTCAGATTGATCACCCACACATTTCCCACTGAATGCAAGTACATGGTTAACAAATAATTATTATCTATTGTATTTTATATGGTAGTTTATAACTCATTATTAATTATCGTATTTTAATACGATGATCAAACATTTGTAATTGACCTCCAAGCCTCTAAAGCAATGGATCCGTCATCAATTTGACAAATGTTTTAGAAACCACCGCCGCACCCTATTGTCTGGACGAATCAAAAACCAGATCCAAACTCTAAACGACATGAAACTGTTACACAATGATTTTATTACAGAATATCATACCACTCGTTTTTCCGGTATAATCTGCAAGTACCAATTTTTTTTTTTTACCCCATTTAACTTGAAACCCTAGCTTGAAACCGACTTAACTCTGGCCACAAACTCATCAAGACTCTGATCAGAAGACCCGCCCTCGCTAACCGCCAAAACCGCCAGCTCCCTCCACTTCTCCACACTCCTCTTCATCTCCCTCCCGCTCTCGCCTTCCATCACCTCCCTCAAACACCTCTCCAGCTCCTCCCCTCGCGCCATCCCATCCTCCTCAACCGTAACCCTAACCCCAGCCCTCCACACGTCCTCCACGAGCTTCGCGTTCGGTGGCTGGTCCGTCCACTGCGGGAAAGCCACCATGGGGATCCCCAGGCTCAGCGCCTCGATCGTCGAGTTCCACCCGCAGTGCGTGAAGAAACACCCCACCTTCCCGCTCGCCAGGATCTCCACCTGCATTGTACAATACAGTCAGAATCGTGAAAATAGTAAAAGTTTTAAAACGTAATTTTGACTAGAGCTGGCTATTTGGTCCGTGTTTTTTGGTTTTACCCGAAACCGGACCGTATAACCCGGACCAAGACCGGACTGGGACCGGATAGTAAACAATCCAATCCAATCTTTGGGCTTAGATTTGAGGTAAAAAAACCGTTTGGGACCGGATCGAAACTGGATAAAGACCGGATAAGAGAGCTCAACAGAAAAAACTTAAGGGTAATTTGCATATATAAATGGTCACAAACCTTTGCACTTAGTACAAAAATTAACCAACTCCTCACCCTTTCAGGCCTTAGGCCACTCAAATCCCTACAAGCTCAATATAAAATCAAGACCGAATTGGGACCGGACCGGGTCAAGACCGGACCGAAGCAAGACCGGACTGTATCCAATCTAATCTTTGGTCCTTATATTTTCAAAAAGACCAGACTGGACCGGATCAATTTGAGCCAATTTAACCGGACCGGACCGTATAACCACCCATAATTTTGACTACATTATACCTGTGGGGCCCAGTTGACGACCAGCGCACTGTCGCCCAGGTCGTGGACGAAGGTGTGGGGCAGCTTGGCGAGCTCGGTGTCGCGTATCACCCAGATGAAAGGGTGGTTGGTTCGCTTGAGGCCCGAGGCCAGCTCGGTCATTTGTGCGGGCGGGAAGGTGACCATGCTGCCGAATGCCACGTAGATGACTGAGTTTGGCGGCTTGGTTGTGATCCACGTGGTGGCGGTGGAGCGTTGGAGGGTGAAGAGGTCGACGCCGTATTCGTCGTCGTTGGGGATTCGGTTGTCGAGGTAGATGGACGGGACCGTCGGGCCGATTGCTAGGACCGGGCAAACCTTTGACATTGTGTCCAGTGCCTGCATGCATATAAGTGAATTCAAGGTCTTTGTAAATGTGTATCATTTTATTTTGTTCAGAGAATGTTTTCCAAGGCCCATGCAAGGAAATTACGAAGCCTTAAACTACAAATCCTAGATGCGAGGTGATTGAGGTTCCGTGTGTATGATACTTAACCGTTTCTTTCCAACGATATCCGTAGCTGGAAACCTCTAACTTATCATGTGATCAACCGAGTTTGCATCTGTTGGCTTCTTAACAAATTCAGTACAAGATGACCATAAATGCAGTATGCATCATACCTACTCAGTGGCGGATCCAGAAATTTTTTGTAGGGGTGTCCTCTTCCAAAAATTGAATTAAATTAATAATTAAATTAAATAATACATAAATAATAAAATATCCAATTAGTATAAATGTTGACAAAAAGTCACGATGTATTTTCATATTTCGAAAAAAATATAAGATAGATTTGGCGTGTACACTGCTCAACAAACGGTATATCCTACTAGATCGCATATTCAATTTCTAACCTTGTTCATGATGTAATTCAAAGTTGAAAAGACTGTTTCAACACTTGCAGTGTTACCATAAAATCAATTCAAATTAGGGTACCCCTAGGGATAAGAAATCGCGTTTTCACCATTACATAGTGTTTAAAATAGAACAACAAATGAGTTATAACCTAATGGAGAAGATGTTAAATAATAGTAGTGTCCTAGATTTGAATAACACAGAGTACCACTTATATTTTTTTAATCACGCAAACTACTATCGAGGGTAAGATAATCATTTATTAAAATTTTAGAGATGTCCCAGATTACTAATTATATTTTGTTTATCCATACGAAACTATTACCGGGGGTTGAATAATCGTGTTCCCAAAATTTAGGAACAAAACATCATGTATCCGCCACTGTACCTACTCCATCTTGTTATCATACGATCTTATCAATATCACAAAATCACTAGCTAAAAGACAAACACTTTAATTAATCTCGCACACGTAGTAGTTGAAACTTGAAACCCCAATAATACGGGCGACCACACAAACAGATCGGTTACCACTCTTTCCCACAAATATAATTTATAGCTTCCACATGGCGCAAAGGTACGAACGATAACAAGATAATTTAATTTAACAAGTTAATCAGGAAATCAAATAAAAATCGATTTATATTACCTCCTTTTCAAGCTCGTAGTAGGTGTTAATCAGGACATGATCCGCTTTGTCCGTATTCGAGAACTGGTTGACCACCATCGCGAAGTAAGCCGGGTAAGCCTCGGGAGCGTTAACGAAAGACGGCACGTCCCGGGGCTCCAACTCCACGGCCCACCCGGGCACCCGAACCGGCCACGTGTCCACGGGCAGCTTCAGCAGCCCGTGGCGGATGTTGTAGTAGATGAAGTCCACGGCGCACGGCTGCGTGAAAAACGACGCCGCATACAGCCCGTGGTCTTTGGCCACGTCCAGCGCCCAGGGCAAAAACGGCTCGTAGACCAAGGCCGTGACGGGGTACGGCGTCGTTTCGTACTTGGTGATGAGGTCGGAGAGGGTGGACGACCCGGCTTCCTTGAGGCGGCGGAGGTAGTCGTCGATGGAGGCGGCCTGGGAGAAGCCGCCGCCGTCGAAGCCGTCGGAGATGGCGTCGAGGTGGACCCCGCCGACGGGGGAGGCGAGGTTCGTGGATTGGGAGATGAAGACGGAGGTGAGGAGGGTGGCGCGGAGGCCGCGGGAGATGAGGCGGCGGCCGAAGTGGATCATGGGGTTGACGTGGCCCTGGCCGGGGTACGGGAGGAGCAGAACGTGGCCGTTTTGCGGCGGCGGCGGCGGCGGCGGCGAGATTTCGTCTCCCATGGCTGACTGAGATACCTAGGAGAGATGTGGGTTGACTAGTCTTGTAGAGAGAGAGAGCTTGGAAGTTATGGTGGTGGCGGATGTGGGGTGAAAATAATATAGAGCTTTCATTTTGAACAAGTTATGTATACGAGAATACAGTGTAGGGCTTCACAAATAGGGTCACTGATATTTAAACAGAAGACTTTCGGTAACAGAAGGATCTGATATTTTGTAAAGAATCAATATTGATCCTAATATCACGAGTTATTGGCAGAAGTTCGATAATGAATTTTATATCACTCACTCGCGTGCCTCTTTCTGCTACTACTTATTTTGTAAATTTGTATGCTTGAATTTTATATTGTTTGTTTGTAAATGTTTATTGTTTATTTAATTGATCTAAACTTATGAGGTCCAACAAATTACATAATATTCTTTTAAATAATCTTTAACTCACTTTTTTTTTCGTGGGAAAAATGGATGTAAACAAAAATACATCGATACTTTTATTTTTAAAAACAAGGACGAACCATGGAAAGATTAAAGTAGTAAATATAAATTAGCATACATTTAGTTTACTCTCGACAGTAAGGGGGTCTCATCATTTACTTAAATTTTATTCCACCTAGTTTCTTTTCTGTACCTTACAAACTTGAGGTGATGGGCATTGTTGCTAAGTTGTCACTCGGAGACGATAATGTCAAGGGAAATCAAATCAATAAGAGATCATGATGATGACAATAGAAAGAAAAAAAAAAAGTTCTTGTCACAAAAGTTTTTTTTTAATTGGGAAATAAGAGTATTTGACAATGCAAGAAAATGAAAGCACAAACACACATACGACACATGATTTACGTGGTTTTGCTAACACAATGTGTGTTACTAAGGGGACAATCATTTTCACTATGATTCAAGGAGATATAGAATATCGAGAAGCATGAGAAGTGTTTATTGTACTTCACCAAGGTCTAACCCAGTCAGTGGCGGATACATGGACCTCTAGGGGTGTCCCGGGACACCCCTAAAATTTAGGAAAACGATTATCCACCCTCCGGTAGTAGTTTCGTATGGACAAAAGAAATTAGAATTGGTAATCCAGGACACCCTTAAATTTTGAAAAAAAAAAACGATTATCTTGTTCTCGGTAGTAGTTTGCGTATGATTAAAAATATATAAGTAGTAATCTCTGTGTTATTCAAACCCAGGACACTACTATTATTAAACATATTCTCTAGGTTGCAACTCATTTGATGTTCTATTTTAAACACTATGTAATAGTAAAAACACTATTCTTTATTCCCAATTGTTTTCAAAACCTAACAATTAAATTCATTCAAGCTATCCTTAATTTGAATTGATTTTATAGGTATATTGCAAGAGTTGAAAGAGTCTTTCAAATTTGAGTTACATCAGGAACAAGGTTAAAAATCGAATATGCGATCAGTTCGTGAATTATTGTCTAATATGGTATATTTGCACAAGTCGAATATGTTTTTATTTATGAATTTTTTAATTAAATTTTTAATTAAATTTTTAATTAAATTTAATTTTTGGAAGAGGACACCTCTATAAAAAATTCATGGATCCGCCACTGAACCCAGTAACCCTAATCTAATCTGGTAAAGGAAAATCGATCAGTTACAGACCAGGCTCAGAATACGAACCCAAATAACATTGAGCCCATACACTGTGATTTCCAGTTGTAGCGACTGATAGTCCGGTTCAAGTCATATAAACAGTTACCAACTAGTACTGATAGGATGACCTCTAATATGTAAGGACAAAAACAAAGTCAAACTCATGACAAATGGCAATTCCCGGTAAAACGGAGAAGACCAGGATAATGGAATGGAGTCGATGTACTCAATATTGGTGATCTCATGAAGATTTCAGCCACACGAGATGATAAGAACCGTGACCGAGAGAATATTGAGTTTTTCGACTTGGTAAAAGCTAACTACTAAAACTCTTTTACAATCGTGTTTTTCAACAATAGAACTTGCCGATCGCCCACAAAGAGCTCAGCCTGCTCTAGGACGTCAGAGAGTTCAGACTTTTGTCCATCTTTTTTCTGGGTCCTGTCACCGTCGACTGTTTGTGCTTGGACGGGCATCCATGGCCGGCGAGGCGATACGACAAATCTCTTTTCCTATCGTCGTACACTTCTTAGCTAACGCTGACAGGGATCGAGTTTGACCGTAAGCCATACGCTTAAACCGGCCAATATATAGCCGTCCGGGCACCGAAACTTTTGGGCCCCATTCCCATATCAAAGTGAATAAACTAAAGATTTACTATACATGACTAAGAATCATATCATACATACATGATAGCCTCTCTTATGTAGAGGTTAAAATAACGACCCCTCAATCAATCCCAATAACCATATAAATCAATGGAATAACGGTTAAAGTTTGCTAATTAATGACATTTCTGAACTGTTACTAATGAATAATGATTCCCTCTCAAGTACTTTTGCTGGTGACCACAGAATCATTACTAACTGGCCCCTTGAAAAGTTACCGGCGCGATCATTTCAAACGCGCTATTCACTACTAACTAGCTGGCATCCTCTAAATTCTTCAAATGCTTACTAATTAAATTATCACGCTTGAGTATAGATGGTGACATTCGAATACTTATTAAGTTATTAACTTTTGTACATATAGTTACTATCTCAATCTTTATTAATTATGTAAAAATTACTATCGATTAGCAAGCCGCCAAGCACCGTAACTCACAACTATTGACAATAATTATTAATTCCCACGTTTTTTCCCCCCAGGCATCACCACGCAACAAATTGAATCAATAGGTTGATAAGTACAATGTCCCGGCCGCGACGATTCTCTTTTAATTAGCAGGAAACAGGTTAAAAATGTCGAAACATAATTAATCGAGTAGATTAAGCATATATATATACAGCTACATTCCGATCATGGAAGAGATGCACACAACTCTTTCACTCGTATTAATTTCCTCTCATCACTAAGTTTCCTCATCCACAAAAAACCACCACACATTTTCCGCCCATGGGTCTGGAAGCCGCCGCCGCCGGCGGCGACGGCGAACGAGAATCCAACACACCCAACCCCACCGCCGGCGAGAGATCAAGCACTTCCCTCCTCCTCCCGAGGTACAACTCGCCGCTGGTCCAGGTCATCCTCATCGGCCTCGTCTGCTTCTGCTGCCCGGGCATGTTCAGCGCGCTGTCCGGGATGGGCGGCGGCGGGCAGGTGGACCCCACCGCCGCCAACAACGCCAACACGGCCCTGTACGCCGCCTTCGCCGTGTTCGGCGTCCTCGGGGGCGGGATCTACAACGTGCTGGGCCCGCGCGTCACGCTCCCGCTGGGGTGTGCCACGTACGCGCTCTACGCGGGCTCGTTCCTCTACTACAACCACTACAAGCGCCAGGGGTTCGTGGTCGGGTCGGGCGCGGTTCTCGGGGTCGGGGCGGGTCTGCTGTGGGCCGGTCAGGGTGCGATCATGACCTCCTACCCGCCGCCGCACCGGAAGGGCGGGTATATTTCGCTGTTCTGGAGCGTGTTCAACACCGGCGGGGTCGTCGGCGGGCTGATACCTTTTGCTCTCAATTTTCACCAGGGAGACGGTGGCGGGTCGGTTACGGATGGGACGTACATTGGGTTCATGTGCTTCATGGTCGCAGGTAAACTTATTCCGATCATGTTTTATCCATACCCATACGCAGAACCACGAGTACAAACATTATGTAGTTTGTTGCTCATTATTGCTCGGGTATACCATTTCATTTACTCTGTTGAGATTCGAATTGAAAATGCAGCAAAGTAGATATTTTTATTTTTTCGTGTCATTGGTACACAAACTTTAAAAAAGTTGCATCAAACGAATTTTTAGGCCGATTACTTTTGTTGTGGTAGAATATATGTTTATCATCAATTTGTTAGGTCATTATTAATATACCACCCCATGTTGTTTTCATCTTGTCAATATCAAGAAGTTGTTTTCAGAAAAAAAAATTCGTGCTTCATGATTTGTTCTATTAACTAGTTGGCTTCCAAAATTTGCCCCTACGTCTACGTACGTATCCGAAAGAAAAAGAAAAAAAAACGACAAAAGTTTGTCCATACTCCTAATTTGTCACTTTCTTACGGTATTGGTCCCCAACTTTATTTTCGAAAAGCATAACGGAGACGGCACGGAATTTTGTCTCCGGCCGGCCACCAATCATTGAGTTTATTTTTGGAAGCAAATGAAACTCAATTCTTTATAATTTAAATTTATATATAATTGAAATAAAATTAATTAACTTTAAAAAAAACGTTTCTATTTCTTAAGGCCCATAGTCAATCGATTCTAAATTCGAAAAGAAGATCATCATTTGGGATTTTGGCCCAAAAGCGAGTTCATCTTTGGGCTTTTTTGGCCCATTCCCATTGCTCTACTGATCAGTGAACATTTTGACGTCGGGTTTTCATTCAGGCGCTCTCCTCTCGCTGGCAATCCTCCCGCCGAGCAAAGTGATCCGAGACGACGGCAGCCAATGCACGCAACTCACCTACTCAAAGCCCTCAACGGAAGCCATCGAGATCCTGAAGCTCTTCGGCAACTGGAAGATGCTCCTGATCGCGCCCGCAGCTTGGGCCTCCAACTTCTTCTACACCTACCAGTTCAACAACGTCAACGCGGCCCGTTTCAACGTCCGGACCCGTGGGCTCAACAACGTCTTCTACTGGGGGGCCCAGATGGTGGGCTCGTTCGCCATCGGGCACATTTTGGACTTCAGCTTCGAGAGCAGGCGGCGCCGGGGATTCGTCGGGATCGGGATCGTCGCCACCATCGGGACCGCCGTGTGGGCCGGCGGGCTCGCGGACCAGCTGGACTACTCGTACGGCAAGTTGCCGCCCAAGTTGGACTTCATGGACTCCGGGCCCAAATTCGCGGGCCCGTTCGTGCTGTACTTTAGTTATGGGCTTCTGGACGCGTTTTTCCAGAGCCTGGTGTACTGGGTCATCGGAGCTCTGGCGGATGAGTCGGAGGTTCTGAGTCGGTACGTTGGGTTCTACAAAGGGGTGCAGAGCGCCGGAGCGGCGGTGGCGTGGCAGCTTGATACGAAGAAGGTTCCGATGCTGACGCAGCTGGTTGTGAATTGGGGGCTTACTACGGTGAGTTACCCTCTGCTCGTCGTTTTGGTGGCGTTGGCTGTTACGGATGAGGTGAAGGGAGAGCGAGAAGGGAAGTCGTCGTCGGAGAACAAGATCGGCTGTGAAGATGATGAGATTGGCCGGCCACTATAGGATTTTTTTTTACGGTTCTTTGATGTGTTTTATAGTGTGAATGTGATTTGTGAAACCGTAGCCCATCTGTGGAAATTGTATCAATCGAATTGTGTATGGAAACCTAAACCGTTTTACTAGGACCAAAATTGGTCAATTTTTTTTTTTTTTTCTCAAAGTCAGTGTTGAAAAGCTAGTCACAAGGAGGAAGAAAGAAAAACGCGGGAGTCGACCAATAGTCGAACTCCCGATGAGAGGGCCTTTTGTGCCACATGATGGGCAGCCCTATTTAGTCAACGAGAAACAAAACAGTAAGAAATCCAACTGAAATGAGAAGCTAAGCTCCGAGTATCCTTCAGTAGAGCTCCACCCTGATCATGCGCCAAGTCGCCTCCCACCATCCCGCCGTATCAATTGTTGTGAATCCACATGAAATTTGACAAAGACAAAGGGCCCCGATCGATTATTGTGCAATTGAATCTTCACCTGCAAAATGAGCAAACAAAGGTCCCTACTAGGAGAATCCCGACCAAAGAGCCAACAAGTCAACAAAGACACAAGGCAGCAAATCGCCCTTGAAATAGAGTACCAGGTCATCGGGAAACCCTAAATTACCGGCACCGGCCAATACACACCTTTTTTTTTTTTAATGAAAGGTTACAACCAAAATTGGTCAATTAGACTTATGTTAAAACTGCAACCGACCACAACTCCGGTCAAAATGATCGTTGCGGCTCTTGGCGGTTTCTCTAGCCGGCCGGGTACCCGCCCGACGGTCCAATGGGTCGGGTCTTATCGGTTCTGTTGGTACTGGGTAAGTGAGCCGGGGAAAAAAGAAGCCGACTTTACTCTTCACTTCGGTTCTCTCAACAAACGGGGGAGAGAAACAAAAACTCTGCAATTCTGCATATCATTGCCCAACCCTTGACCCTGTGCGCCGCCGTTCTCCCGCGGTCAGCTTGGACGATTTGCAGCTCTCACTCCGGTCTGGGTATTGCTCCCCTGACATCGCTCACGCTGTGAAAGGTAGGATTTTTGTATTTTCGGTGTTTGATTGAGAAACAAGTACGAATTGTTGATGAATTTCGAGTTCATGACAGATGAGTCATAGCGTAAAAAATAGGCATGTGGTGATCGTGTGCAAGGTTCAATCAGTTCGGCTAGTAAAAGTAGTAATATGCAGGCTAGGCAATTGGAGTTGATAGCGCAGCTTGGTTGTGGTGAGATGTCAAAACGGAGTTAAATTGCTGCTGGGTTCAGGAATCGAATCACTGACATATAATCGATCGAGTCATTGAATTTCTGACGGCTGTGTTTGCGTGTTGATACTGGTTATCTGAGATTTTGGGTTTTAGTTTCAGGGCAGAGTATGTGGGCGTCCAATTACATGACCTTTGAAGATCAAACTATTTGATTCATTTCATTGCTTCCTCTTGAACTGTATGATCATTATGTACTTGGGTAGGGTCTATGCATCTTTGGATTTTCAGCTGTCATTCTTGAGCTTTTGCTGAGTTGAACTCGAGCTAATGTATTCCTTTCCCTAGTCGAGAATGAGTTGATTGTGAACTTAACTTGACTCGGCTCCTTAGTAGTTGATGCCAAGTGCTTGGTGGATGTACTTGTCGTTTGGCTTTCTAAGTGTTTGAGGGATTGGCTTTGAGGAATTCCCAGAACCCGGAAGAACATTTCATAATCGAAGATGGTCACTGTAGTACGACTGGTTGTGCAACTGGGTCCACAAACATTGAAATGTGCGATATAATGGGGTTTGTGTTATAAGTTAGAAATGTATTTGTTCGCCATGGTATGGTTATTTTTTCATCTGTTCCCAAGTGCTTAATATGCGTCTAGTCTCACTGCTGCTGTCACACATGATTCACCCTCTTCTCTCATTTTAAAGATTCTTGTCATCTGCTCCGTTTGGGGTTGTAGTTTTCCTTTTTGGTCTTTGTTGAATCCCAATGGGTTGTTCTCTGTGGCTGGGAATAGAGGCGGCTGAGTGACACATCAATAACTTCTTGGACATTCTTTTGTCTCTCCCTTCCCTCTAGGGATTTGTTGATGGTGGACTTGTAGGGTGGATTCCATCCAGACCAATCAACATACTCTTGAATTTTAATCACAGTCAATGTCTGGGATCGTTTTCAGTTCTACCTTCCCTCTACCGCATTCCACTGCAACATCAAGGTTTGTGTACATTCTTATTGCAGACGTGTTTATACCTTTACCATTTGCAGACATATGCATCTCTGTACCATTGCAGGCTAATTCTTTCCTTTATAATGACCACCCTTGCAGGCCAATTGTTAAAATGTCTGCAAGTCAAGCAATAAATCCCAGTTCCAGAACATTGTTCAAGTCAATGGTGATAAAGCCTCCTTCACATCCAACCTATGATATGGCAGGCATAATTAAGCTAGCCCTTGCTGAAGATGCTGCGAACATAGGTGATGTGCATCTCTTTTTGTCAACTATCAGCCACAATAAATTAAAAGTAGTAGAGTCCTTATCTTTATCGCTGCTTTGGACAATTGTGAGTCATGTAAATGTATTTTCTGGAAGGAAAGAGGGAGGAACCTGGGGGTGTCTTCATGTTCGTTCATTTTTTCTCCTTATTTTCATTATCAGAATGCCGGTGTTGGTACTCCTAGTGGTTTCTGTGGATTTCTGACAAAATCTTTGGTTCAACTCCAGGAGATGTGACTTGTAAGTCAACCATTCCTGTGGATATGGAAGTGGAAGCTCATTTCTTGGCTAAGGAGGATGGTATTGTTGCTGGAATTGCTCTTGCTGAATTGATATTTGATGAAGTTGACCCCTCTCTAAAGGTAATGACGAACTTCACCAATTCCATTCACGGGATGTGATTTTATGCCAACTTACGTGCTCCACTGTTTTTTATACACGATATGGTTTAGGTGGAATGGTCTCGAAGTGATGGAGACTGTGTTCATAAAGGACTGCAGTTCGGAAAAGTGTCTGGTAAATAATCCATGCAGAGATGATGAACAAGCCAGCAATGTTCCTTTGTGATGCTTCTTGATCTTTAACAGTTGTTGCACTGATTGATGCAGGGCGAGCCCACAACATTGTAGTAGCTGAAAGAGTGGTGCTTAACTTTATGCAGCGAATGAGTGGAATAGCTACCCTGACCAAGGTATTTTCTTTTTCTTCGCTGGAATGTTTTAGTGAACAGTTGTTACAATAACCTTCTCAGAAAATGAACAAATTCTCTTACTCCTTGCAGGCAATGGCCGATGCCGCACATCCTGCTACGATTTTGGAGACTCGAAAAACAGCTCCAGGGCTACGTTTGATTGATAAATGGGCGGTAAGTACAAGTTGTTTTGGTTGGTCTTTTTTTTGTATGGCTTGACCAATATGGTTCTGACATCTCAGGTACTAATTGGTGGAGGAAGAAACCACAGGATGGGGCTTTTTGATATGGTGATGATCAAAGATAACCACATATCAATAGCCGGTGGAATCATCAATGCAATTAGATCTGTGGATAGCTACTTGGAGGAAAGCAACCTTCAAATGGAGGTTGAGGTAGTCTTCTTCGATCCTGAATTTTCTTTTTCAACAACCTGCTGGAGTTATTGAACATAAATAGACGAGTAAAATACTTCCAGATTGCTACCTGCTGATTGATGTATCTTGTAAGAAGCAGCATTGTAAGCTATACCTTCGGTTGGAAGGCTTAAATCCTGATTTCCAAACTTGATAATTTCAGACTTCATAGACTCAGATGATGCTACCTGTCTCTTTCTAACTAGGTTGAAACCAGGACACTTGACGAAGTGAAGGAGGTATTGGATTACACATCTCATACGAAGTCCGCCTTGTCTCGGATAATGCTGGATAACATGGTTGTACCGCTGCCAGATGGTGATATTGACGTGTCTATGCTCAAGGATGCTGTACAATTGATCAATGGCAGATTTGACACCGAGGTAAAAACAAACTTACAAACAAAAACACTGTCTCCATTTTGGCTTCATCTTCTTCTCTGCTATTTCATCTGTGGGTTTCGGTTAGTTACCGGAAACAAAGGTGCGCATTTGTACTGATAAATCGCTGATTCAGAGCTCGGGTTGACTTACTAGTTTCTGTTGAATCATGATAACAGGCATCAGGAAATGTTACACTTGAGACAGTGCACAAAATTGGACAGACTGGTGTAACCTTCATTTCCAGGTATAACATTTCATAAAACCATCCCCTTTTTTATCTCTATCAACAGCACAATTACATGGATCAAAGAACGTAATCTGATCACTTGTTCTTTCTATTTTGAAGTGGCGCGCTGACGCATTCGGTGAGAGCGCTGGACATTTCGTTGAAGATTGACACAGAGTTGGCGCTCAAAGTTGGAAGACGGACGAAAAGGGCTTGATGCTATTAGGGATGACGAATCGATGATTCAGTCTCAGAGTCATTTACATTTCTATATGAGTGGGAGGAAGGCGGAATTGGAGAAGCTAAAGGCAAAATCTGATATGCTTGCTCGACTAATAAATATAGTAGTATCCCACTCTTTGGATTACTATTACGAGAGATCGAATTGACGTGACAATTCTAAAGGAATTCTCAATGTTATGGCTTAAGACGCCAATCAAACTCATTTTGCAAGAGGGATTAATTTTTGTTACTAGCTTATGTCAATAAATAATATTTATCGTGCCATAATAACCCTTGCAGACTCGCATCCATTTTTAACGAGCGTGATTAATGGCATAGTATAGTCAGAAATTTAAATGAGGGATGCTATAGTCACTATTGAATCCAACTCAAGGTTATGACTATCTTAAATAACACGGAGTGCATTTACGGTGGTAATTGAAAATCGACAAGAACATTGATTACACCCTCAACAACTTGGTATTATTAAACATTAACTTGCATACTTAACAACTAATAATATAAAAGATGAACGAGTTCGTGATCGTGATCGTGTGATCGTGCCGCTAATATAAGTGAATGACGAGACAAAAGTAATTCGCAACGAGATGGCCAAAAGTCATCTCACAAATACATGAAAAAGTTTTATTGTTTCGGACATTTGGGCTAAATATTCTTCAAGCCCATTTAGCCATGAGCGACATCCCTCCGGCCCCCAACAGAACAGCCGCGAACGACTTCAACTGAAGCCTGATGCTGCTCTGCATCTTTGGGCCCATGAAATCCACGGCCAGAAGATCCACCAAAGCCATGTAGATCAAAAGCCCAGCTGACGACGCGTTCAGCAGGCCCACCGTTATCAAAGCGGTCGGGCTGTTCTCTTTGTAAGTCTTGGACATCCCGATCCCCACCAAGATCCCAAACGGCGTCGTGGTCGAGAAGAAGAACACCATTATCGCCCTTTTAGCTTTGCTGTACTCCGCCTTTACCAAACAAGAAACAACACAAAACAATTATTCGGTCAACTCTCCCTTATTGTCTCGTAATGATGCTCACTATTTTTTCTTCTTCTTTTCTTTTAGTCAAAAGTCAACACTTCAGTTATCCTTTCTTTTTATAAACATATTCCCAATAAATGGGAATTGAGTAATTAATAAATAAAACTAATTTTACCTGGAGAATACAGCCACCGAGCCCCATCCCTTCAAACATTTGGTGGAAACAAAGGGCCGCCACGAGCCCTTTGATTGTGCAAGTGTTGTTGGAGGCTCCCAATGATAATCCTATCACAATCGAGTGAACTACTATTCCCAATTCCAATACCTGCAAACAACAGATTAATCACTTCATTAATGAATGATGATTGATATATCATAGTAGTTTTCATAATTCACAAAATCGGAAAATATAGCAAAAATTATAAACTCTTTGTTCTTTTTTGAAACCGTGATTCAGAGTGAAGGCTACGTTAACTATATATCAATCATTGCTATCAGCTAATCGTGATCTGACAATAGACGATGATGTCTACAGTGAAAATAATAATCATCGTCTTAGTAATATCTTAATCCAAGACTAATAGTTTCACCAATATTTTAAGTTGTACGGTGAGTTCATCACAATTATATATCGTATATCACTTACTAACACACTCTTTCAAACGAAAGTCACTATATATATATGAGCTTCATACAGAGTTTACGCACATGTCAGAAATACCATATACTTAACAAATCGAGTCACTCGAATTCGAACGGAATGCCTCGCGCGTCGTCACAAAAAGGTCCGATAGCATGTTATAAACCAATTTATCCGAATAACTCGAGTTGTTTTGAGACGTTTAATATTATATACGTGTATACTTACCATGGCAATAACTTTGTACCGCATTAGCTGTTTGGCACCATCGTCATTCGAAACCTTCACTCCATGATGATGCCCGTGGTGCTGAACATGTCCACGTCCACCCCCGCCGCCGTTACCCTCCTCCGCATCCACCGGAACGACGGCGTTTCCCATCTCCCGATCGCCCTCCACGGCGCCGTCACCAGCCGCCGTCTTGTTCAACTTGCCGCTGTAGAAACTCGTGGCGATGGAGTCCACCATGAGCGTGACGAGAGCCGACAGCATGGCGACGAAGCCGGTGAAGGGGAACTTGTGCCAGGGGCTGTCGGGCAGGCAGGTCGACGACAGCATGTCGAAGGAGTCCGGCAGCACGTGCATGAACCCGGTGGCCAGTATGATCCCGGAGGCGAACGCCTTCACGACCACGAACAGGCTCCTCTCCGGGTTCAGCGCCGCCACCGACCGCGTCGTCAGCGGGAGGCACACGCCGATCACGCTGGCCACCAGGATGGAGAACGTGGCGATCAGTTTCAGGGACAGGGCGCCCGACTTGTCGTTGCATGAGCTCGACGTCTCGGCCCCGCACGCGCCGTCGTCCGCGGCGGAGACGGCGGTGACGAAGAGTGGGAGGAGGAGGAGGATTGAAACTGAAGGTGAATTCATTTTTTGGACTGTTTTGTACTTTTGTTTATGATGATGATGAGAATTTGAAGGTTTGGTAATTAGTGAGGACTGAGCAGTACGGAAATATATAGGCGGAGAAAAAACGGCGTCGGGGGAGGAAGGAATATAAAAAAGTCATAGGATGGTGGTGGTTAGCAATTTGCCAGCTGTTGTCTCGTTGACTTTTGTTTTGAGGTTGGAAGAAATGGGCGGCGTGAGGGGTGACACAAAATTTTACGAAGCGGCGTGAATCTTAACAAAATAAGGCTGTGTACTTATTCTGTGTACAATTCAATCGGATGACTTTTTTTCGAATTTTGTTATTTCAATTGGTAGCCGCCTTCCACTCCTCATATTGAGCTCGGAGTTGTCTCAAAAGCGTCACTCCCCGTGAGATAAATTTATTTTGTCTCACCATTTACGCAAACAACCTATATTTTTTCGTATAATTATATCGGTTGTATTCTATTTTTCGACACAATTACAACAACCTCATCTACTAATCAATTGATTTTTCACTCAATTATAATAATTCAATTAACTAACCTCGTAATGTATAACTACTTAATACTTAACGATTCGTGATTGCTTAAATAAAATAAAATATGAATTCCCAATATATGAACGAAAATAAGATGGCAGGATGGGAAAACTTGCCTCATTACGAGACAAAAGAATTTTTCTTGAATAATTATCTATTGAAATCCAAATAGGTTTTGAGTTTGATAGATATGATAGTTGAGTTTAAACAATTTTTTTATATTTCGTACATTTTAATTCGAATTTTAGAAAATGCGCAACTAAACAAATGATTCACTCACTAATTCACTATGATATATTTCTATACAACCGTTATATATATAACTGTCTGTACTGCCATAATGTAAAGTGGTAAGGGACAGCACGATTAACATGTTTCATCTTGTTTCAAACTATATTGTCATTTTTTTTAGCATAACCAATCCTATTTTTTTATTAAAAGTTTGAAATTAAAATAAATGAGATAATGTGCATCCATTAAAAATTAATGGGTTAAGTAATGTATGTCTTAATGGTTTTGACTTATGAACCAGTTACATTCGCATACAGCCATACAGGCATTGAGCAGCCTAATTAAATTCGAACTTAACATGGTGATAAGCTTTGGTTTCATTGACTTTTGAGTTTACAAGATTGACGGTTTGGGGGAATAATCAGTTGGTACTTCTGACAGTACAACTTATGCTAATTGCCCTACTTGTACGGAGGTGCTAACAAACACATTAAAATTAACAATTGATTTCTAAATTTTTAGTTGTGAGATTAATTAGAGCATCATGAAAGTTGACCGAATCTAATTAGGCATTAAAAAATCTAGGGGGGGTGTAATTTGTTCCCTTTTGTGAGTTGCTTGGGAGTGAGATAATGTGATGATGCTTTGGAATTTGTTGGTTTACAATGTGAAGATTATATATTCGAATCTTAAAGTAAACCTTCCTTCCTATAAATCATCTCTTTCGTTTTTCTCCATCATATAAATTTTTCCATTCATATTGAGAGAAAGGTAAGGTCAATTTGACCCTTGAAATTTTATGTTTTGGTAGTTTCGATACATGAATGTTATTTATGATCATGCTGGTACATGAATTTCTAATTTATGAGTAATTGTAACTAGAAGTCTAGAATAGATTACATGACATTAACTAGAATTAAATTTGCCATGTCAAATCATACGTCACGTTGTATGCGACGTGACACTGAAAATAAATTAAAGATAGACCGCATAAATAGTTTATTGCTCACTTTATTTTTTGAGCTTTTTCAAAGAGTTCCCATAATTGTTGTATTAAAGCGTGGATGAGCTATAGCCTATAGCCATTGTGCAAATTACAAGTACTACAAATCGAAAGGTAGGGAAGAAAATTAAAGAAATGTCCAAATCAAATGGGGAAAAAAAAGCAGCATAACAGCATCTGTAGCAAAGCAACTCAAAGCATTAATGACTGAATAATGAAGAAACCAAAGAATAGAAAACACAAGCATCTTTTCACTTGCTAAACTGTGCCACCGTTTCAATTGAATCTAACAAAAAAATGAAAATATGATTCACGATGCGTAACCCAACAAATCTCTCTTGCCCAAGAGCCACCATTTTAATTTCGATACGTCCAACAATACTACTTGTCATAAACCAACTGGTACCAATAACTCGAGTTATTGGGAGAGGCCTACGTATGATACTTATCACTTCCTTACACGCCTCCTCAAATAATAGTCGATTCATGAGCTTAAAGTTTACACATGCCCGACATACTATGTGCTTGAAGACAACTGTTAATATTGGGGGTCGTGAGGACTTGAACACGTGACTTAAAGGACAAACCAACTTTGATACCATGCGATAAACCAACTGATTTAAATAACTCGAGTTGTTGGGAGAGACTCATATATGATACTTAAACACATTCTTACACTGCTCAACTAGCAGACTTGACTTCCTTGTGTTGGTAAATTGGTTCTTTTTTTTTTTTCTCTATGAACCAGCAGATTGAGCTTGGGTTTCCTCTGCAAACTTTGCTCCTAAAACTCAAGGAGATAATAAAAATCTGAAAAACAATTGCATCGCAATTCTTACATAAAATATGATACAGAGTATTCATGACATGTTATCGACTCTACTTAGAATTATTAATAAATTACCAAGATAAGAAATACTTCATTATTTTCGGCAAATCATTAATTATCACCTAATACATACGAATCTAGTTAGTTTCCTTGCTAATAACATCATCATCTCCAAAGCCTGTGTCACTGAGATCTGAGCCTTTGTACCTCTTCAACTCGTCACCCTCGACCGCCGGCTCATCTTTAACCGCCAACGCCACCAATATCGTGAGCAGCGGATAGCTCACCGTCGTCAGAGCCCAGTTCACAATCAGCTGAGTCAGCATCGGAACCTTCCTCGTATCAAGCTGCCATGCCACCGCCGCGCCGGCGCTCTGCACACCTTTGTAGAACCCAACGTACCGACTCAAAGTCTCCGAGTCATCGGCCAGAGCCCCGATCACCCAGTAGATCATGCTCTGGAAAACGGCGTCGAATAGCCCGTAACTGAAGAACAACACGTACGGCCCGGCGAACCTGAACCCTGACTTCATGAAGTCCAGCCTCGGATCGGGCATGTCCTGGAAGTAGAGGTGGCAAATGGATTGAATTCATGAATTGGTGGATTGATACATGGATTCAAATGACATCCAAGTCTTGGACCATTATGTAAATTTCAAAAAATTTAGGTGCTAAAATGTCGTATTGAAAAATTTTAGATACAAAACATAATTTTCATTCATATTTTTTTTTCCGTCGAAAATATAAATTTTAAGTACCAAAATGTAAAATACAAAAAGTATAAATACTGAACTGTAATTCGTCAACAATACACGAATTCACTAATCCCATTGAATTTAGATAAAGAAGATTGAATTAATTGCGCATTTTAGTAGATTGATTGGAGTACTCTACCTGAAAGGAGTAGTCGAGTTGGTTCACGAGCCCCGCGGACCATATCGCCGTCCCGATCAAGGAAACGGTGCCGATTCCGAGAAAGCCACGTCGTTTTCTGGTGAGGGAGCGGAGATCGAACACGTAGCCAATGGCGATGGAGCCCAGCATCTGTGCGGCCCAGTAGGAGACGTTGTTGAGCCCGCGCGTTCGGAGGTTGAACTGGGCGGCGTTGACGTTGTTGAACTCGTAGGCGTAGAAGAAGTTGGAGGCCCACGCGGCCGGCGCCAGCAGAAGCATCTTCCAGTTCTTGAAGAGCTTCAGGATCTCGATGGCCTCCGTCGAAGGTTTCGAGTGGTTGGTGAGCGTGCATTGGCTGCCGTCGTCGCGTATCACTTTACTCGGCGGGAGGATGGCAAAAGAAAGAAGAGTGCCTGGACAAAAACAGAACATTTAGTACAGCCTTTAACTTGTTGTTGTAGTATCGTTGTGACGATAGAGGTAATTATTGGGATCATGGTTTATGACATGGTATCAGAGCCTTCTATGATTGTGAGCTCTTTTGATCAATTTTCGGTGACTCTCATCTGTTTCTGTTAAGCACACGGTGTCCGCAACTGTGCCAGTCCAAACTCCAAACCTATCTGAATGGCTTGAGTTTGAGGGGGGTATATGATCCATGATTTAACATCTCCCAACAACTTGAGTTATTGAGATCAACTGGTTCTTGACATGTTATCAGAGCTTTCTGTGACCGTGAGGTCTTCTGTTTGATTCCCGTTGATCCCCGTATGTTTCTGTTAAACACACGGTGTCCAGACCTATGCCTATCCAAACTCTAAGCCTATAAGAATAGCTTGAGTCCGAAGGGGGTGTTAGTAAACGGTATATGATTCACGATTGAACCTCTCTCAACAACTCGAGTTATTGGGATCAACTAGTTATTGACAATTCTAAGAATTTATCGTGAAAGTTGATAATTTTTGTGTTTAGTTATTCCATTAGGCAATGTTTAGTATCAATGTTGGTGTCAATAACCAGTTGGTTTCAATAACTAGAGTTGTTGGGAGAGACTCATGTATGGTACTTAACTACTTGCTTACACGCTCCCTCAAACGAAAGCCGGCTCAGTGGCTTGAAGTTTTGCACAGGCCCATCATACCATGTGCTTGAAAACAACGGTTAATATTGGGGGTCGTGAGGACTTGAACACGTGACCTCAAGCACAAACCAGCTCTGATACAATGTCGAGAACCAGTTAATTTCAATAACTCGAATTGTTGGGAGAGGCTCATGGTACTTAATTAATCACTTGCTTATAATTGACACTAAATTGAACATATGTTGCCAAAATTCTAGGCCTAGAATGCGACATAATCAAATACCCGCCGCCATGAAGCCCATGAAGCCAATGTAAGTCCCATCGTTGACGGAATCCACCTGGCGGTGAAAATTGAGGAAAAAAGGAATGAGTCCACCGACCACCCCGCCGGAGCTAAAAATAACCCAGAACAGCGAAATGTACATCCCTTTCCGGTGCGGCGGCGGGTAAGAAGTCATGACCGCTCCCTGCACCGCCCACAACATCCCCGCGCCGACACCTCCGACCACTCCCGCCACCACCAAGAAAACCTGACTCTGAAAATGGTTGTAATAGAGAAACGACGCCGTAAACAGCAGGCAACTGGAGCACGCCGCCGGAAGCATGACGCGCGGGCCCAGCACGTTGTACAGCCCGCCGCTCAGCACCCCGGCGACGGAGAACGTGGCGTAGAGTGCCGTGTTGGCGTTGTTGGCCGCGGTGGGGTCCACCTGCCCGCCCCCGCCCATCCCGGAGATCGCCCTGATCATGCCGATGGTGCAGAAGCACACCATCCCCATCAGAATCACCTGAACCAAGGACGAGTTGTACCTCCACGAGGATAACCCGCCGCCGCCGCGGATTATCCCCGACTCCTGATCGCCCTCTGAACCCATATCTCATAAGATAGGAAATTTGTCTTTTCAGTGTTATCGTCCCAATAAAGAACACTTCTTTGCTCAGCTGTTCGATGTACTTTCCTTCCACTGGTGAACATATATATATATATACATATATGGTAAATGCTAGAATACCCTTGTGTTCAAAGTTGGTTTTTCACTTTAATATATTTCGTTGAATCAGAATCGTCGATTTGTTTTTTTTTTTATAGATTAAATGAATCTTGCTTCTTGTATTAGAGAATTAGGGACTGAAATTCACCCATTAGAGATTAGGGTATAATATCATACCTCAAACTCCTGTAGTCCAGTTAATTCGTGCTTTAAATTATAAAACTCGACGAGCGGACGATGTACGCTTGTCGAGTTTTACAATTTGAAGCACGAATTAACCGGAGTTTGGGACATGATACTATACCATAATCTCTAATAGGTGAATTTCAGTTCTTAATTCTCTAACCCAATCCAAAAGATTCATTTAATCTAAAAAAATAATAACCAACGGTTATGATTTAGCTAAATATATTGAAATGCAAAAACCAAAACGTACCCGTGGATACGCTAGATAGATGTATGCTAGCCGTTTGCCTATACACACTGGCCGACCAGAGCCGTTAAATGACATTGAAAGATGCGGTAAGGTTCGTAAACGCTAAAAAGAGTCCACATGGGCAACCGCGGGGCATCTCTAAGCATAGATCAATCCGAAACGAAAGAAACTGTGGACCGTCCTCTATATGCTAGCTGTGAGGATTTTATTATATGGGAGCTGCAGGCCGCATTCGGATGATGAATCGTTGTGTAAGCTATTGTACGTACGGTCAGCGGACAGCGATTGGAAGATGCTTTCTTAGCTTCCTCGTTTCATCATGACCGAGACGGGGGCGTTGAATACAGTTGCCCCTCGGAGGGCGAGAAATGCAATGGAGATATGCCATTTGAGCGGTTGGATCGGAGTCGGACCTGTACGAAAGGAAGCCAGACATATGTGTTTGAATCTCGATTATCCCTATTTGTTGGTCACGTGTTAATAAATCATAAATTTGGTTGAATATATACTCTCTTATTACTGAAATCACAAAGGCAGTGGTGAAACTATGTGTAGTTAAGGAGGATAAGGAGGGGGCTATAACTCTCCTCTCGATCTTCAATTTAAGATGATATATGCATATTTTCATATGTTGAGAAAAGCATCAGAAAGAGATATGACGGTGTTATTAATTAGCCCACTCTTCCAAATTTTGGGTTCAGTATCGTGAAGCTACTGCAACTTGTTACTTGCAACCCCAAATCATCCTAACTTCTGACTTCGTCACTGCGCAAAAGGATTATATATATGAATACTAGATCACCAAAACGCTTCTACGTAAAAACGCAGGTTTTTTACTACATTGGCTGCAAAATTGTGGGCAAAGGCGATGATTTGTGTTTAAGTTAGGATACTCATGTGTTTGTGTTCAATTTTGATCATGCTCAACAAAAAGGAAAAAGAAAAAGAAAAAAATACTAAAGAGGATAAAACTCGGTCCCAATACAAAACTCGTGGTAGCGGCCTTGGGAAACGATGGTGGGGAACAACTTATGATTCCACTGACAGCATTTCGAGATGGGCTGCAAAATGGTGGGCAAAGACGATGATTTGTGCAAAAATCCATAGACGAAAACCTAACGAACAATACTACAAATTTGGTAAGTTTAGGAGACGAAAAAATGTCGTCTCCAAAACATGGATTTTTCGTCTCCAAATCTTTTGGAGACGAAAAATGTCGTCCCCATGGGTGGTGCCTATAGGTTTCGTCCTCTATTCTTTTGGGAACATAAAATGAAAGTCGTCTCCAATATCAGGGATACATAGTCGTCCCCAAAAATTCAAAAATCCGAATCAATTTATCGTCCTATTTGTATTAATTTAAGACAACATGTAGTCCCCTATGCAGTGTTTTTGGAGACGACAAGTCGTCTCATATGAATTGTTTTTGAGATATTAAGCATTGCTAAGAACTATATTTAAAGACAATTAGTCATCCTTAATGCAATGTTTTTGAGACCACAAGTTGTAGCCGAAGAACTATCTTTTGAATAACAAAGGACCTATATCCTATAAATGTAAAAATAATTAACTCCATAAGAAATACAAATTATATATTATTTACACAATTCACAGCACAACATTGAAAATCCATTCGCTTATAAATTTTAGTAATACAAAAGTGTATACAACATAAGATAATATGGAATATTACAATCAGGCTACACTATAAATATACATAATCATATAAGTTTTTTTTTTTTTTTTGTCTTCGTACACTAGAAATGTACCCTTACTAGAAATGTACCCTTGAGGTTTGAAAATGATTCCTCCAAAAATTTTCTAGACAGTGAACACTCAATGGCCTGGCACAATGAAACAAGACAATATTTCATAAACATAGTAATTGAAGTCGAGAATTAGATCTACTCATTATGCAACAGGTAGTCCATTCCACAACCGTCACAATTCGTAACACCACTTCTCAAAGCTACCTAGAGCTTAAGGAATAGTTACGTACCTAGACCTTATCAAATATTGAACAAGCAGCAAAATGTAATTGATAAGAACTGACATTAAAAGGAGTACAAGTTATTGAAGAATGGTTTACCGTCTAACGATCTAGAGATGGCTAAGTTACCTTAAAATTATAGGGCACGATTTAACAAATTGGTCTCTGTGGTAAATCTATCTCATCCTGAAAGGATGCGTCTATGGTGACAAGTTACTATTCTTGTTTCGAATGTCGAGCTATGCTTCAACACAAAAAACGAGTTAAGCGCTAAACACAAATTTTGTGTCACCTTCTTACGTCTAACGCTTTCTTAAATCTTCAACACAGATGCCTTCCTTCCAATTTTCTTCACACAAAACTGTTCATCCATATTCAACGGGGAAAAAAAATTTGTTCGTCCAGAATATAAAATAAGTGAATAATGCAAGTACAAATATACGAAATACTTCATTATTTCAGACAATCATTAGTACCCTAATTAGACAAACCAACTTAGTTAGTTTCCTTGATAACATCATCATCTGCAAAGCCTGTGTCGCCGTTACTGGTCAGATTCGAACCTTTGTACGTTTTCAACTCTTCACCCTCAACCAGCTCATCTCTAACCGCCAACGCCACCAGTATCGTAAGCAGAGGATAGCTCACCGTCGTGAGAGCCCAGTTTACAATCAGCTGAGTCAGCATCGGAACCTTCCTCGTATCAAGCTGCCATGCCACCGCCGCTCCGGCGCTCTGCAACCCTTTGTAGAACCCAACGTACCTGCTCAAAGTCTCCGAGTCATCGGCCAGAGCCCCGATCACCCAGTAGATCATGCTCTGGAAAACGGCGTCGAATAGCCCATAGCTGAAGAACAACACGTACGGCCCGGCGAACCTGAACCCGGACTTCACGAAGTCCAGCCTCGGATCGGGCATTTCCTGGAAGTAGAGGTGTCAAATGGATTGTATTCATTAATTGGTGGATCGAAATAATTAAATAATTTGGTGGATTGATTCATGGATTCAAATGACATTAAAGTCTTGGATCATTATGTAAATTTTAAAAAGTTAATGTGCTAAAATGTAATATTAAAAAAATTTAGCTACAAAACATAATTTTTTGTCAAAAAATAAATTTTCAATGCCAAAATGTAAAATATAGAAAGTATAAATACTAAACTATAATTCGTCTACAATACATGAATTCACCAATCACAAATGGATTTAGATAAAGAAGATTGGATAAATTGCGCATTTTAATAGATTGATTCGTCTACAATACTCTACCTCAAAGGAGTAATCGAGCTGGTTCACAAGCCCAGCGGACCATATCGCCGTCCCTATCAAGGAAATGGTGCCGATTCCGAGAAAACCACGTCGTTTTCTGGTCAAGAAGCCCAAGTCGAAGACGTAGCCGATGGCGATGGAGCCCAGCATCTGTGCGGCCCAGTAGGAGACGTTGTTGAGCCCGCGCGTTCGGAGGTTGAACTGCGCGGCGTTGACGTTGTTGAACTCGTAGGCGTAGAAGAAGTTGGAGGCCCAAGCGGCCGGCGCCAGCAGGAGCATCTTCCAGTTCTTGAAGAGCTTCAGGATCTCGATGGCCTCCGTCGAAGGTTTCGAGTGGTTAGTGAGCGTGCATTGGCTGCCGTCGTCGCGGATCACTTTACTCGGAGGGAGGATGGCAAAAGAAAGAAGAGTGCCTAAACAAAAACAGAACATTTAGTACAGCCTTTAACTTGTTGTAGTACCGTTGTGACAATAGAGGAGGTACAACTACAACACAACTACACAAGTATAATGAAAATAGGTTTAGTTGAGTTGATCATTCTAAGAATTTATCAACGATAAATTTTTGTGTTTAGTTATTTCATTAGGCTATGTTTAGTACCAGATGTGACAATTTTCAAATCTAATTGGTTAAGTGGATTCATGAATTGATCCATAGAACCAAATGACAAATTACAATTTGGTACCCATATTTTTTATACTTCACATTTTGGTATCCAAAATTTAATTTTTTATATGTAAAATATTATTGGAAAACTATGTTTTGGTATCTAATTTTTTTTATTATGACATTTTAGTATCCAAACTTTTCAAAATTTAAATATTGGTCCAAGACTTGGATGTTATTTGAATTCATGGATCATTAATACACCAATCTACTTGATCCAATCCATGAATCCAATCCAATTGCCACCCCTATTTAATTAGTATCAATGTTGATACTAAGATAAAAGTAGAAAAATAATGGGAGAAATAGCTTATGAAAACAACAAAGGAAACTATTGAAGTTGTTTCATTATTTTCAATTAATTTAGGTTCAACTAATTTAGGTTGTGTGGTCAACTCTTATTACTACAACAACATAAAAAAGCAGGTTAAACTTGTTTTCAGTCTCTATTTTCACATATAAAAACAATAATAAAAAAACATAACAATAGTGTTTGGACAATTCACACATGTTGCCAAAATTCTAGGCCTAGAATGCGACATAATCAAATACCTGCCGCCATGAAGCCCATGAAGCCAATGTACGTCGCATCGTTGACGGAATCCACCTGGCGGTGAAAATTGAGGAAGAAAGGAATCATCCCACCGACCACCCCGCCGGAGCTAAAAATAACCCAGAACAGCGAAATGTACATCCCTTTCCGGTGCGGCGGCGGATAAGAAGTCATGACCGCTCCCTGCACCGCCCACAACATCCCCGCACCGACACCTCCTACCACCCCGGCGACAACCAAGAAAACCTGACTCTGAAAGTGATTATAGTAAAGAAACGATCCCGTGAACAGCAAGCAACTCGAGCACGCCGCCGGGAGCATGACGCGCGGGCCCAGCACGTTGTACAGCCCGCCGCTGAGCACCCCGGCGACGGAGAACGTGGCGTAGAGCGCCGTGTTGGCGTTGTTGGCCGCGGTGGGGTCCACCTGCCCTCCTCCGCCCATCCCGGAGATCGCCCTGATCATGCCGATGGTGCAGAAGCACACCATCCCCATCAGAATCACCTGAACCAGCGACGAGTTGTACCTCCACGAGGATAACCCGCCGCCGCGGCGGGTTATCCCTGACTCCTGATCGCCCTCCGAACCCATCTCAGAAGATATGAAATTTGTCTTTTCAGAGTTATCGTCCCAATTATAAACACTTCTTTGTACGGCTGTTCGATGTGCTTTCCTTCCACTAGTGAACTTTTATATATGACAAAGGATAGTATATGCGGTATGCTTGTGTTCACACTTGTTTTTTTCACTTTAATATATATGGCAAAGGATAGCATATACTCAATGTACGTCTGACGTATGCTAGCCTGAACCATATATTATATATATATATATGGATTGTTCTATTGTACTTTGAGTAAAATCAAAGGTATACATGTCATATCTTGGGTAAGAAAATAATACCTAAACCTTGAATGGACCAGAGTTTGACATTTGGTGTTATTAGCAAACCCTTAAAGATTAAAATCTTGGTCTTAATTCTATAAATTTCATAAGCTATAATCAATTTAATTAGAAATAAAAATCGACGGTTATGATTTGTTGAAATATATGCAACAAATTACATGCATAATTTTTGGAGTTAGGCTCTATGATTTAGATAAGTAAGATTTAGGGTTCATTCATCAAGGGTTAGGGTATAGCATCATCCCCAATAATCCGATTAATTCAAGGTCTAGATAACGTTTTCTTACTTATGATATGCCGTACCCTATATTTTACCCAAATTACGATATAAGCCACCTATATATAAATATACACACTGGCCGACCATAGCCGTAATTGACATTGAAAGATGCGGTAAGCTTCGTAAACTCTAAAAAAGAGCCCATATGGGCGATCGCGGATGAAGAATCGATGTAAGCTATTGTACGTACGGTCAGCGGACAGCGATTGGAAGATGCTTTCTTAGCTTCCTCGTTCGGCCGTTCGGTTTCCTCGTTTCATAATGACCGAGACGGGTGCGTTGAACAGTTGCCGACCCGCCGCTGGGGACGATTCCTGATCTCGACTCTCCAGGGCGAGAAATGCAATGGATATATGCCATTAAAAAAAGGAGGGCATGATTTGATTTTTTTTTTTTTTAATATAAACTTCATTTCATTCAAACCCCTGAAACCGGAAGGAGGTTACAGCATAGGAGAAATAATACAAAGAACAGTGATCCAATCAGTAGGAGAGAATTCAGTCGACAATTTCCGGCGACCTAATCCGTCTTCTTGTTAATCTTTCGATTAGTGAACTTCACCCTAATCCAATCTGAATCTCGAAGAATCTTTGTAATCTTAGCAAGGTGAGCATAGCATCTCCACGGCCAAAGAGATGGATCTAACACCAAGGCATCCACAAGGGACTTACAATCCGATAAGACCTCCGTTGGTGTATGATCCAAGGCAGCCATCTGACATGCCTCAAACATCGCATGCGCCTCCGACTCGATAGGAGTAGAACAAATGACCCTACCAGCCCGCCCATCACATATCTGTCCGAAGGTATCAGTAATAACTACCCCGAAAGCCGCTTGCTGGGAGTCACTGTCAAATGACCCGTCACAGTGAATCCTACGAGTAGACACCTAAACTTTTTAAATTTTACAAATAGGTCCATTTTTTGTATGTGTTGTTAGAAACAATCTCAAGTAAATGGATATCCAAACTCAACACATGCCCACTTGGAGTATGGAAGCAATATTCATACACATCCCAAACCCACCCCAAATCCTTATGTACCTCATCCATCTAGAGATGGCAAAAATATCTGAAACCGTGGATATCTGCCCGAATCCGACCTAATCGGGTAGGGTAAGATCAGAATCCGAAGTATTTTCAATGGGTACAGATAAAACTCGACCTGAATATTAGGGGTAATGGGTGGGCACGGTTTTCACAATATCCAACCCGAACCCGCCCGATTATACACATGCATATGTAATTTGTCTAGAAATAATCATTATTTTTTGCAACATATTTTATATTAAGCATACAAATATAATATTTTTCATGAAGTTTTATTATTTTTAATTAATTTTCTTCAATATAGTGATTTATGGTCGTACTTTTTCACGTATGTAATGTGAGTATACGTGTGAATATTAAGATGCTGGTTGTAGTTATAAAGAGAAAAAAATGACCCATGAATAAGCGTGGATACCCGAAATCCAACGGGTATGGTCATAGTTTTGATTGTCTACCCGATTGATAAACGGGTATGGATATGGGTAAAACCCAAAACCCAAAGTACTTTGGGTAGGGTAACAGATATGCACTATCCGTTCCCATCCCCTACCCATAATTAATGAGTTTACTTGGGTTTTTGGTAAAATTACCCATGGGTGGGTAAATTGCCATCCCTGGTCGCAACCTGTTCGACCTTCATTTTCCTTTCTTCTTTTATTATGGGGTAAATACAATTTAATATCCAAACCTTTCATTTTAATCAATATAATAGCCAAACCTTTTCGAAAATAATTTAATTTCCAAATCGTCAACTTTCCGTCCGTTTGACCGTTAGTGGACTCTGACGTGGTAAGTGACTGTACACGTCAGCTGAGTTTTGCTGATGTGACAACTAAAAAATTAGGGATTAAAATTATTTTTATTTTTTAATTTAAAAGGGGGAAAAGGAGAGCATCTATCGGGCCACTCTCTTCATTTTAATCAATCCATCTCTCTCCCTTTCCCTCTCTCGAAACCCTTCTCTTTTTCGGTGAAACCCAGCCCTGTCGCCCGCATCAAAACCAAATCCAGCCAGCCAAAAGCGAGCGTTGCCTTCCTCCCTCCTCATTGAACACATTTGGGACACTTGGATTGGTTGATTTGAACATTCCATCAGAAGAATCAACTGATCCTTCTTCCACCTCAAGGTAGTCTTCTTCAATGGCACGAGGGTGGTCAACTTCATCCCCAGAATCCAAAATAGACATGCTTCGAGGGGCAGAATTATGTGGCTCTGATCTTCCAAAATCATTAGTTTTATGTAAGAATTTTTTAGTTTATAAATCGATAGAGTGGAGAATAATCAATTCATTAAAAGTGAACACCTTTTGTAACTTTTATCAGTATGTTTTTACTTTTGTGTGAAAAAAATACAAGATCATATTTAATTATCATATTTCACCCCGTAGTCGGGGAAATATGAAATCACAACTCTCTGACACAAAAGTTGAATACCAAACTCAAAAAGAAAAGTATCCACGTTGAGTAAGATCGATATACAAAATTATTCACCCATATTTTCTTAAATCTTCAACACAGATGCCTTTCAATTTTCTTCACACAAAATTGTTCATCCATATTCAACGGGGGAAATTTGTTCATCCAGAATATAAAATAAGTGAATAATGCAAGTACAAATATACGAAAATACTTCATTATTTTAGACAATCATTAGTACCCTAAGACAAACCAACTTAGTTAGTTTCCTTGATAACATCATCATCTGCAAAGCCTGTGTCACCGTTACTGATCAGATGCGAACCTTTGTTCGTTTTCAGCTCTTCGCCATCAGCCGGCTCATCTCTAACCGCCAACGCCACCAGTATCGTAAGCAGAGGATAGCTCACCGTCGTGAGAGCCAAGTTCACAATCAGCTGAGTCAGCATCGGAACCTTCCTCGTATCAAGCTGCCATGCCACCGCCGCTCCGGCGCTCTGCAACCCTTTGTAGAACCCAACGTACCTGCTCAAAGTCTCCGAGTCATCGGCCAGAGCCCCGATCACCCAGTAGATCATGCTCTGGAAAACGGCGTCGAATAGCCCGTAACTGAAGAACAACACGTACGGCCCGACAAACCTAAACCCGGACTCCACGAAGTCCATCCTCGGATTGGGCATGTCCTGGAAGTAGAGGTGGCAAATGGGGTGGATTGATTCATATATTCAAATGACATTTAAATATGGGATCATTATGTAAATTTCAAAAAGTTTATGTACTAAAAGGTCGTACTGAAAATTTTAGGTACAAAAATGTAACTTTTTATTGATATTTTCCCATCAAAAACAAATTTCAACTACCAAAAAAATATAAAAAGTATATATACTAAACTGTAATTTATGTTGAATTCAACAATCTAAATGAATTTGGACTAACGCTCGTAGTCTGATTGCATACGGATTAACGCTCAGAGTTTGAGTCAATTTTGTAATTGTGTCGAGTCTTTGTCTTATTCCCTTTGGGTTTGTTTTGGGGAAAAAATTGTATTTGGATTAAGTGAATTGAATTTAAATGGATTGGATTAGTTTGATATTTTACTGGATTGATTGAATTGGATTCGTGAATAAGGATCAGGGCTGTCATTTCGGTTGCCGGTTAGCGGCTAACCGGCCTGTCTAACCGTTAACCGCCGGTTAGCGGCTAACCGGAAACCGAAAAACAGAGGGGCGGTCGGTTGATGGAAGGGATCAGTGGTCAAGCGGTTAGCCGAGAAACCGAAGCCGGTTAACCGGCTAACCGACGCTAAACGACCGAGATGAAATGACATCGTTTTGCCTACTCTTAAATACACCAACTCCCCCCAACCCTAGCACTGCTGGCCTTCATTCTCCCTCAACCCTCACACACTCTGCGACTACCTCTGCCCGCCGCCTCGCCTCGACGACCTCCTCCTCCCCGGCGCCTCGCCGCCCATCGCCGCGCCTCGCCGTCAAGGTCAAGGAGAATCAAATCGGAAACCCCCGCCGCGGCGCCGCCTCCCTTGCGCCCCTGCGCCTCCACGCCTCGGCGCCCCCCGCCACCTCCCCTGCGCCCACCGCCTCCTCCACTGCTCGGCGCTAGGCAGAATAAGGAAAGAGAGAAGCTCGGAGGAAGGAAGGAAGGAAGGAGAGAGAAGAGGTCTGGTGGAGGAAGGAAGAAGAGAGGAGGAGATAGAAGAGGTCTGGTGGAGGAAGGAAGGAGAGAGAAGAGGTGAAATGGTGGAGGAATGAAGGAGAGAGAAGAGGTCTGGTGGAGGAAAGAAGGAGAGAGGAGGAGATAAGGATTGAGATGAGTGGTGGAGATTTTTTTGTTTTATTTAATTAATTTTTAGTTTTTTTGCTTTTTTTTTGTGGAAAATGTAATTTTTTCTGTTGGCCGGCTAACTGAGCCTAAAACCGGAACCGACCAGTCAGTTGGCCGGCTAACCGTGACCTCTCTTACGGTCGGTGGTCGGCATATGTAGGGGTGGCTCGGTTTAACCGATACTCGGGTTTTCGGTTTTTGGTTAAACCAAAACCGACCGACTGCCACCCCTAATTAGGATACTAATTGGTGCAACCTCTACCTCAAAGGAGTAATCAAGCTGGTTCACTAGCCCAGCAGACCATATCGCCGTCCCGATCAAGGAAACGGTGCCGATTCCGAGAAAACCACGTCGTTTTCTAGTCAAGAAGCCCAAGTCGAAGACGTAGCCGATGGCGATGGAGCCCAACATCTGTGCGGCCCAGTAGGAGACGTTGTTGAGGCCGCGCGTCCGGAGGTTGAACTGCGCGGCGTTGACGTTGTTGAACTCGTAGGCGTAGAAGAAGTTGGAGGCCCACGCGGCCGGCGCCAACAGAAGCATCTTCCAGTTCTTGAAGAGCTTCAGGATCTCGATGGCCTCCGTCGAAGGTTTCGAGTGGTTGGTGAGCGTGCACATGCTGCCGTCGTCGCGAATCACTTTACTCGGCGGGAGGATGGCAAAAGAAAGAAGAGTGCCTGAACAAAACAGAACATTTTATTAGGATCCGTTTAGTATACTTTCGTTGTTGTGGTTGCAGTACTGTTATGACAACAGAGATATGATCCCACAGTCTTATATAAGAATGAAAAATGGAAGCACGTTTATTTGGTAATTCTGTAAAATTATGGAAGTAGACAACTTTCTGTGTTTGATTTTGTCATTAGGCTTTGTTTAGAATCAATATTGATACTAAGATAAAATTAGAAATAATGGGAAGAATACTATGATACGATGAGTTATGAGGAAAAAAATAAGAATAATATTAACAATAAGTTTTTTAGGGATGAGTTATGAAAAATCTAGAAGAAAATATGTAAAAGTGAGTCTGATGAGATTCGATCACAGACTACTTTGAATTAAATTATTATAAACAACCGAAAAAGCTATATAAAATTACTTTACGGTTTTCAACTGTTGCCAACTTTTATTGCAAAACAACATAAGAAAAAACAGACTAAGGGGTCGTTTAGAGAACATGATTCAGGACTTAGATTCACTGATCTATAGATTTTGTAGAAAGTTATGTTTTTTTGTTGCTTTTTGTACTGTGGATTCTAGCTTTAGAGATTTCAAATCTCTAAAATCTGCGGATATCAAATCTCTCATAATGAGAGAGATTCTATATCTTGATTCGTGAGGTTTTTTCTCTTACTTTTATTTATTTATCACATGAAATATATTTATCAATAAATTTTTTAATATTTATTGAACCACTCTAATTTTTTTATTAAGGATAAACATTTTATTTAATATAAAATTAAAATTTTATTTTAATTGAATGTTAACAATCACAGTTACCAAACAATAAACATTTTAAAATCTGTTTTCAATCATCTAGAGAGTTAGAATCGTTAGATTGTTGACAATCTGTAGATTTAAACTCATATTCTCCAAACAACCCCAAACTTGTTTTCAATTTTCATTCAAAAACAAGAAATAGAAAGAAAAAGAAAAAAAAAAGTGACTAGTTTTTGAACACATGTTGCCAAAAGTCTAGGCCTAGAATGCGACATAATCAAATACCTGCCGCCATGAAGCACATGAAACCAATGTACGTCGCATCGTTGACGGAATCCACCTGGCGGTGAAAATTGAGGAAGAAAGGAATCATCCCACCGACCACCCCGCCGGAGCTAAAAATAACCCAGAACAGCGAAATGTACATCCCTTTCCGGTGCGGCGGCGGGTAAGAAGTCATGACCGCTCCCTGCACCGCCCACAACATCCCCGCACCGACACCTCCTACCACCCCGGCGACAACCAAGAAAACCTGACTCTGAAAGTGATTATAGTAAAGAAACGATCCCGTGAACAGCAAGCAACTCGAGCACGCCAACGGAAGCATGACGCGGGGGCCCAGCACGTTGTACAGCCCGCCGCTCAGCACCCCGGCGACGGAGAACGTGGCGTAGAGCGCCGTGTTGGCGTTGTTGGCCGCGGTGGGGTCCACCTGCCCTCCTCCGCCCATCCCGGAGATCGCCCTGATCATGCCGATGGTGCAGAAGCACACCATCCCCATCAGAATCACCTGAACCAAGGAAGAGTTGTACCTCCACGTAGATAACCCGCCGCCGTCGCGGATTATCCCCGACTCCTCATCACCCTCGAGACCCATCTTATCTTATTTATGTATGGTACTTAATCAATTACTTACGCGATAGTTGGATACATATATATATACTGCCCGACCACAGCCGTAAATGGCAGTGAAAGATGCGGTAGGCTCGTAAACGCTAAAAAAGCCCATACGGCCCATCGGGGCATCTATGTATGTGTAACATAGACCATTCCGAAACAAGGCAGAACAGAAATTGTGGACGGTCCTCTATATGCTGTGGTGATTGTATTATATATTATAGAGCAGGCCGCATTCGGATCAAGAATCGTTGTGTGCTGCCGCTGATAGACCAATAGGCAGCTGTGGGGACGATTCCCTTGGAGCGAGAAATGCGATGGATATGCCATTAAAAAAAGGGAAATCTAGTGTCGCAACTTGTTCGGCAACTCGTCCAAAATTTGTGTTTAATCCGTGAAGCCTATAACAATTTGTTATTTGCAGCTCCCATCCTCATCCTAAATTCTGGCTTCGCCATAAAACACAGGGCATATATATATATATATATATATATATATATATATATAGATGTTACAATGACGTATTCTCATAATTACCTCGATGCTAATGAGAAAAATACGTAACTTCTGATACATAATAGTACTCATACAGTCATACTATTACATAATACTATTTTAACATCCATCATTGATGAATGGCCTGAAACTGAAAGTCATAAGAAAATGTATCAGTAGTCTATATAACAATTTAGAGGAAAGTATTACCAATTAATTACAAAGCGATTATATATTTGCTGCCAAAAAATAAACGTAAACACAAAAGAATAATTGATCACTTTGGTCACGTTTTAGCTAAAATCATTTAGTCATTAATTAAAGACCACTTTTTCTTGCAACATCGACCAACGATCTATGGAATTACATGATCAAAACTAAACATCACTTCGACACCTATTATTGGAATAGCACATCACCTTGGCTACAAACTCATCAATATTCCTAAACGAAGAACCGCCTCCCCCAACAGCTTCAACAGCGAGATCCCTCCATTTCCTTGCATTCCTCTTCATCTCCTCCCCACTTTCTCCTTCCATTACTTCCCTTACGCAACGCTCAACCTCATTCCTACCCACAATCCCCTCATTCCCTTCTCCTTCTTCATCAGCCTTCACCCTCTTCCCAACCTTCCAAACATTCTCCACCAAAAACGCATTCATCGGCTGGTCGCTCCATATCGGCATCGCAACCATGGGCACTCCGAACCTCAAGGCCTCTACGGTCGAGTTCCATCCCGAGTGCGTTACAAAGCAACCCACTGCTTCACTTGCAAGTACCTGTTAAGCATACGTGTTAGATGTTCGCGACTACATTGAAAAGTCACTATTGAATAACTATCTTTGCGCGAGAGTGCATCTAGTTAATATTGCATGCTACATTAGCATAACTATAGTTGTAGCAAAACTTATCGATGTCACAGATACGAATTTTTCCCAAGTTCACAATTCATCATCAAAGCCTATTAATTAGTACCTTCACTTGGGGCCCCCAACTCACCACCAGTGCCTTGTCTCCCAAGTTTTCGAGGAACGTTTGTGGAAGCTTGGCTTGCTCGGCGTCTCTAATGACCCATAGGAAGTAGTAGTTCGTTTGTTTGAGACCCAAGGCAAGCTCTTCCATTTGGGCGTGGGTGAATTTGGCCATGCTGCCGAATGCCACGTAGACGACCGAGCGTGGAGGTTTGGTTGCGACCCAATCGGTGGAAATGGATGCGTCGTGGCGGAAGAGGTCCAGCCCATACTCTTGATCATCGTCGTTGGACTTGGAGGGAACGGTTGGCCCAATGGTGAGAATCGGATAAACCCTTGAGAAAATGTCCACTACCTACGTACATACGGAAAATTCTTAGCTCCAACCTTGGTTGGTTGGACGCAGAAGCTCCAACCAGCCACGTGTCAGTTTTCTATTGGTAATTTCATCATTTTATAATATTTTAATTCTTGATTTACTTAGCATAATTAAATATTAAGAAAAAAGGAAGATAAATTCACTAATAACAAACTAACATCTTGGCTGGTTGGAGTTTCTACATCCAACCATGATTGGAGCTAAGAATTTTCCCGTACATGGCATGCCACGACAAAGTCATCGTAATGCATTATTGTATTGGACTATCAACGTACGATCGAGGCAATCATCTCGATTACAAATTAATGTTTGTTTACATTATAAATAATTATTTAGAGGTTGTATCCAATTAATTTGATTCAAATGATTGTCTTAAAATTTATAACAAGATAATTGGATTTAACTAAACCGTTTGACAGTCTAAAATTTTTGATGAAGTAGTGAGAACTGAATCGTGTTGAGAGTGGGTGCAGGTAAATTCAAATGTACTCATTTTGTAAATAAGACAATTACCCGAATTGTCTTGTAATTGAACTATCCAAACGACCCCTAAACTATATCGTACCAATGGTTAAAGCGTAAAAATTAGATGAGATAGTTTCAGTAAAATGCTAGGAAAAGATCATATATCAATCAGTTTTAAGCAGATAAATCGATAAATTACGGTAATACCGATCGATTTCCTGATGTTCCACCATATAACGCTAATTAAGTAAATTTATTTATTTTAATAACGGTCTTCTTCGATATAATATCGATTGAAACACAATTATACCACTACTATAATATAATTATTCTAACCTGCCTAATATAACTTATGGTACGATGCAAATATATAACTTGAGTAGGGTAAACTTCTTCTTCCTCCTATTCAAGTAGGGTAACAAAGTAAAAAAGTTTTGACTCTTACGCACCTCTTTCTCCAGCTCGTAGAACGTGTTAATAAGCAAGCAATCCGCTTTCTCCGTATTAGAAAACTGATTCACCAGCATTCCCAATAAATCCACGTAATCCGACGTCGGATCATTAGCAAACGACGGCACATCTCGTGCGTAAAGCAACGGCAGCCCCGGGATGGAAACCGGCCACGAATTCACCGGCAGCTTCAACAACCCCTGACGGATATTATAATAGACGTAATCCACCGCGCACGGCTGAGTGAAAAACGGCGCCGCACAGAGGCCGTGCTCTTTGGCCACGTCGAGGGGCCAGGGAAGAAACGGCTCGTACACGACGCAGTCCACGGGGTACGTCGTCGTTTTGTACTTGTCTATCAGCGCCGACAGCGTTTTGGACCCTACCTCTTGCATCCGTTCCAGGTAGTCGTTCAGCGGGCGGCCGCCGTCGGCGTTGCGGCCGGTGTCGTCGAACCCGTCGGAGATGACGTCGTGGTGGACGGAGCGGCCGATGGTGGGGCCGAGGTTGGCGGCGTTGGAGAGGTAGACGGTGGTGACTAAGGTGGCTCGGAGGCCTCGGGAGGCGAGCTGGCGGGCGAAGTGGATCATCGGGTTGACGTGGCCTTGGCCCGGGTACGGCAGCAGGATGACGTGGCCGCCGCTGCCGCCGGTGTTCGAAGTTCTGCCCATTATTTCTGTTTTTTTTTTTTTTTTTTTTTTGTTTGTTAAGAGTGGAGATTGTGGTAGGGATTGTTTTCGGATAAGATAGCCGACAATATTCAATAATTGGGAACATAAGCCTTGTCATTCAATCTCTCTGCTGAATTACATCCCATCAGCGGTTGTGCCTCCGGGAACACCAAGAAGGTGGTACTGGGATTCGAACTTGGGACCTTGTCACATCCCAAATTCGAAACCCAGTCCTTTTATCAACTAGGTTGTTTTACCATCGACAATCGGTTTGACAATTTTGATTGCAAGTTATACCAACAAAAAATAATTTCTTTGTGTTTTGCATATATAGTTAATTTTTTTCAAGAAACCTTGTAAATCAATTGTACAATTTCTTTCTCGTCATATACCAGCGTAGGTATTATCCAACCTGACCCGCGCTTACTGCATGATGGATGTGGTGTGGATACTAAAGTGCGTGTTCCGCGCCTAGGGGTGGGAAACGGTGTGGTCGGGACTAGACTAAATCACAGACACAGTTTGTGGTCCAAACCGAGAGGGTAGAACATAGACCATGGATCAAACCATATACTATACGGTCTAGACTAGATAACACCAGTGCGATGCGGTTCGGTACGGTCTGGACCAGACATACCATGTTAAAAACAATTCACTCGTATTCCACCCTCCAATCCTTCACTGGTATCTGTGAAAATAAAAGTTCCAGTGGCCAATATGATAGTGAAACAAAAATTTAGTCATCATAATTTAGATGAGAAGAAATATATGAGGAGAGAAGTTGGCTTTTTCAATTTTCAAACTTTATCTCCAGTCTCGACGGCTCTATTCAGTATCCATTAAAAAAACACACATCAAATAACCTTGTTTTCCTTCTTCCTCTTTGTACTATCGCTTCTCTCCCTCTCTCAAGTGATCCGAAAGGTTCTCGCGGTCGATCACCTTCGTGATGACGTCGATGTCATTTTGAACACTAAGATGGTCGTTTATCTCTCAATAATTTTCCTTATCTTGTCACGGTGAATGAATATTTTCTAGTGTTTATGTTTTATCGACTCCATAGTCTTAGACATTGTCGGTGAATATTATTTATGAATCTTTCTTGTTTTTGTGTGGTTTTTTGATAAGGAGATAATGCATAAGCGACCACTTGAACAATCTAGTGGCTATCAGCTGGATGAATAATCAACTAATTTTGTTCTTTAAATATGGAGGCTTAGCCTAGTTAGCTTTTTCCTCTTCAAAAGTTAAGCGGAAAACTTTTGTAAAAATCTGAGATGCATGTTGAAATTTATCAAGATACGTTATTTCAACGATGATCTTTAACACTAGTCCTTCTATCGAATTCGTTAATCCGAATATATAACCTTTGGCTGATAGCAACCCTAATCCAGTAATCCATATGGGTCGAACTTATAAATGGAGATCGGGTGGGCCTCCGTTTGTTGGTATGGGTTGGAGAAGCCCGTCTCCTTGTCGCTGAACCAGACTAAATAAGAATAGATGATGTTGGGCTTTTTTGGCGAGCCCAAGCGAACTGGTCAGTGGTCATGGCCGATTTGGTCATAGCGACGGAGTCAAGTAGACATTAGGGATGGCAATGGGCGGGTTTGAGGCGGGTTTGCCTAAATCATTCCCATCCCCGCTTTCAAATATCCAAACCCATACCCGCCTCATACCCATGCGGGGAAGATTTTGCAAACCCATCCCCATACCCGTGGGTTTCGGGTACCCATGGGTAATACCCGCCCCGTACATCCAACATTATAATACATAAAATTTTACATGTAAATTTTCAATTATAACATTATAGGCACCTATTATATCATGAAGTCGAGAAAGTGACAATAATTCTTAATATGGTTCAAAGCATTTTATCCTAAATCCATAAAATAGAGTACTACAATGTAATCCAAATCATTATTTATCTGACTCTAATACATATACTAAGCAATAATGAACTAATATAATCTTGCTAACACGAGGGAAAAGTGAAAGAGTGAAGAGAGAGTTGAGGAAAATGAATTAGGTTTTGATTTGGGTGATCACTCAATTGCATTTCTACTAATTATATTTTTATTTACCCTCACTATCATTGATAGATTACTATTTCATCCATGTATTTTTTATATGTGAACAAATATTCTTGGTGGGGCGGGTATGGGTATGGGTATGGGACGGGGGAGGCTAAAACCATACCCGCCCCATACCCATCAAACATTTGGCGGGTTTTACCCATACCCAGTCAAAGCGGGGATTCCCCGCGTTGACTGGGTTGGGGGCGGTCGGATACCCGTGGGCATGGGTTTGATTGCCATTCCTAGTAGACATGGCCCTCTGAATCCCATCCCAAAGATTCGATTTCCTCGGCAAACTCAAAAATATCCACATCACTCGAAGGTAAAGGAATGTATCAAAAAGCATGGCCCACCTAACCTTCGTCAACGCACAATTTCCAATTTCCAATTCCACCCCTCCTTTTTTTTTTCCCTACAAGAAAAACTAAAACAGAGGAATCTAATTCAATTCAGTTCAATTCCAATCAGCTCTTTAGTTTGAGCATCAAATTCATTTCTTATCGCCTTATCGGCCCGAATCTCATCTACCCAACTTCCATCCTGAACTGAAAATTTCAGTGCTGTCAAAGCCGAACCGAGCCGGCCGGTCGGACCGCCAAAGCCGCCATCCGGCCGTAAAATCGGCTCGGATCAGCTATTTAACCGCCACGGTTTTATACAGCGGCCAATCGTGGAATGGGGCAGCCAAACAAAACCCTAACTTTCATTTTATTTCTTCGTTTTCGACCTAGAATAGACTACAGAGGGAGAGCGGCGCCACCCTGCCGCCGTCAACCATCGCCCTAGCTCGCCATCGCCCCAGCTCGCCAAACAAAACCCTAACTCGCCATCGCCCCAGCGCTTCCGTCCCGTCGCCATCGCCGCAAGCAGCTCGCATTCGCCGCAAGCAGCGCACCATCGCCAGTCGCCATCATCGCTTCTGCTCCCCGCTCCCGGCACTTCTCTCCCCGTAGCCCTCGTCGCAAGCAGCCCCTGCTCCTGCCGCAACATCTCCCCCAACCACTGCCCTGCTCCAGCCATCTCACCTCCACAGTCCGCAACATTTCCCACCAGTCGTCTCACCTCCTGCTCGAGGACCGGCTTTCTAACGGTTTTTAAACGGTTTAATGTCGGTTGGACCGCTAAAGACCGAGCCGTTCACATTATCGGGTCATACTCCGGTTCTCTTTTGACAACATTGGAAAATTTATTCTTCACTCGACACTGGCTTACAAAGTTTCATTCACATAACAAAAATGGCTTACAAATAGAGTAGTAATCCTACACACACAAATTCTTTAACAACACACTTTTACGCAGCCAACTAATTAAACCACTCGTATCTCAATCGACACACCAAGAATTACAATTGAAAAGATATCACAATTCACAAACAACACCGATCTTAAATTGGCTTGCTGTTGTCACTCTCATCAGCGTAACTCTTCCGATCCAAAGCTTCCCCATTTTTGTCTTCCTCGGGCTTCACCTCATCGGTAACAGCCAACGCCACAAGAACAATCAGCAACGGGTAACTTATCGTAGTAAGAACCCAGCTCACAATCAACTGGGTCAGCATCGGAACCTTCTTCGTATCAAGCTGCCACGCCACCGCAGCTCCGGCGCTCTGTATCCCTTTGTAGAACCCAACGTACCGGCTCAGAACCTCCGAATCGTCGGCCAGAGCTCCGATCACCCAATACACCAGGCTCTGGAAAACCGCGTCCAGAAGCCCATACCCAAAGTACAAAACGAACGGCCCCGCGAATTTCCCCCCGGACTCCTTGAAATCGAGCTTCGCCGGCATTTTATCGAACGAGTAACCCAATTGATCGGCCAGTCCGCCGCCCCAAATCGCGGTCCCCATTACCCCTACAATCGCAATCCCTAGAAATCCCCTGTTTCTCCTGCTCTTGCAGCTGAAATCCAGCACCTGCCCGATTGCAAACGCGCCCACCATCTGCGCTCCCCAGTAGAACACATTGTTCAATCCGCGCGTCCTGACGTTGAATTTGGCCGCGTTCACGTTGTTGAACTGGTAGGTGTAGAAGAAATTGGACGCCCAGGCCGCCGGCGCGATTAAAAGCATCTTCCAGTTCCCGAAGAGTTTGAGAATCTCGATTGCTTCCGTTGAGGGTTTGGAGTATTTGATTTTGGTACACTGGCTGCCGTCCTCGCGGATCACTCTGCTCGGCGGGAGGATGGCTAAGGAGAGGATTGTTCCGGCGGACATGAAAATCATGAATCCGATGTAGGTGGCGTCGTTGACGGAAGGGGCTTCACGGTGGTAATTGAGGGCGAAAGGGATCAACCCGCCGATGACTCCGCCGGTGTTGAAGATGCTCCAGAACAGAGCGATGTAGGTCCCCTTCCGATTCGGCGGTGGGTATGACGTCATGATTGCGCCCTGCCCTGCCCAGAGGAACCCGGCGCCGATCCCGAGGATGGCGCCGGCGACGATGGCGAAGGCCTGGTGCTGGTGGTGGTTGTAGTAGAGGAAAGATCCGGCGTAGAGGATGTAGGTGCTGCAGCCGGCGGCGAGGGTTAGGCGCGGGCCGAGGATGTTGTAGAATCCGCCGCCGAGGACGCCGAAGACGGCGAAGGTGGTGTAGAGCGCGGTGTTGGCGTTGTTAGCGGCGGTGGGGTCGACCTGGCCGCCGGCGCCCATGCCGGAGAGGGCGTTGAACATTCCGGGGCAGCAGAAGCAGACCAGTCCGATGAGGACCACTTGGACGAGAGGCGAGTTGTAGCGTAGCTTGGATTTTGTCGTCGTCGTCGTCGCGACTCCGCCGGATTCTTGGTCGCCGCCGGATCCCATCGGTGGGCAGGTTTTGCGGATCTGGGTAGAAGACTGATAGGGATTAGATTGGGAAGGGAATCAGGGGAAAACAGAGGGCTTCTTGGTAAATTGAGAAAATGGGGGAAAGGGATAATCTACGAATTGAATTCGATGGGGGAGAAATGGTGGTTGGGGAGATTCCAGTTATATAGAGAAAGGGGTTCCATGGCGGCAGAGAAGAGTGAAGCAGAGGATTCCATTGACGTTATTTCCAATCCAGGGAAGAAGATGCAGTTTGATAATGAATCCGATTATCAATGGCGGAATCCGACAAATTGGAGAGGCCACATTTTGGTTTCTGCTGCTGTTGCCGGCTGGAAAATGTATTTATTAACCTCGTCGCATATCATTTTCAATTTGCCTACATTTTCTCCTTGTTTGTCATTTTTCCATTTTTGTAGTGTTACGGGTTAATTACATAAACAATCACTTAAATTTGGAATACTAACGAAATAGGCATTTCTTGGTTTTTGCCGAAAAGGGACGACAACGGACTCGACGCTTTAGTTGGGTCAATTTTGTTTATATATCATTGAACCGCGATTTTAAAATCATAATTCCTATGTCGTTTGGAGAAAACTCATTCTCATTATCTCCTAGAGAATTATATATAAAAGACGATATTAATTGAATTTTTTTTAGATATTGTTTGTAAATGTGAGAATGAATCAACAAATTTAGAATCTAATTGATAATTATAATATTTGAAAGATATAGATGATCGAAGTGGTAAAGTAGGAGAGTTCACAACATATAACATAGTTGTAGCACATAATACATAGATAACTCTTCGCCAATAAACATGACCATACTTGTCGAATTAATTAACCCAGCAAATCGTAGTAACCTAAGGTGTTTTGAGATACATATTCAACTTGAAGTATCCATGACTATGGGAAAAAAAATACGTATTAGAGTCGAGTAAAATATGAGCAGTATCATATCACGTACAAAGAGACTTGTTGTGCATTTCGTATGTATTTCTCCAAAACTCGAACCAGCTTGAAGTAGTGATGCTTCTTGGCTTGAACAAGAAAGAAGTTTGTAATTTTTGTTCAATGGATGCTGAACTTCACAGTCCGTCCAAACGCTAGGCTTCCAGTGGCATTGGAGATTCCTAACCTGATTGAACAAGAAATAGTGTTGTTGTTGCTGTTCTAATTATCCGATTCTTAGTCGCAATAATTATAAAATTCCAGTTATAGAACCATCACAAGACATAGTAGCTCTTAGTAAAACGAACAATAAATCCTGGTAAGAAACAGCAACTTCTACAACGTCCTCGCATGCACATGAATAATAGGTGTGTGCATTGTTTTGCCCGGCCCTTGTTTCACGTATAATAGGAGTTTGGCAAAATACTGATGATCATCATCATTACGTAAGAGACGAGCCGGCCAGAGTAATTAAGATCATGGGTTGACCCCTAATTAGTAATTAGTTGACATCTTCCGGACAGCCACAAATGGCAGCTCCTAAGCAGATTCAGCAGCAACCATGAGTTTTGACCAAGAGAGACGACCTTCTATTGTTCAATAAATCAAACACTAAAAGCAGCAGGCTATCTGGATACTATAAAACAGAAGAATCTCTACTTGCCACGAGTGTCAGCACGATTGACCAACTCAAAAGGCACTTCAATCAGCAGCAGGATTTTGCTTCTGGATGACTGGTTCCATACAGGGAAGGCCGCCTTCTTGCAGTTGTAGAGACTTCTTCCGAAGCTTATATATCCGTTTTCGATGCCCACGGCCCTGCTTGTGCTGCTCCCATTCATGGCCTCCTCTGAGTACCTTGTCTCCGCATGCCTGTCGATTCACAAACCACATGAATGGAATAGGCCAACACAGTTACACATGGCAGCAAAGTTTTGACAAATGGAATGAAAGTTCTGATATAAAACGCAGAGATGACTCGAGAGTGTGGACCGACCTTGCATGTGTATTGAGTCCACAGGTCTCTTTCAATTGATCCAGATGTATCGTTTGTCGAGAGGTTCCCTTCATCCCCCTGGAGAAAAGATCCGACAATTCTTACAGCTGGTTCAACTACTTGCGTCGCCCATGACTCCTCCAATCTACCTACAATGCCCCACAATTTATGAGTTTCTCAAAAGAAGACGTTGAATCAACATCGGGTTCTTAGTGTGATGGAAGGACGTACTTGATATGGCCTCTGTGGCATCGACGTAGTTTATATTCCAGCCGAACAATCTCTGGAGCCGTGTATGCATCCTCTTCTGCAGATACATCGGTGAATTGTCAAGGACATCATATAGGAAAATAAGCTTGAACTAGGCGAGCATGAAAGAACCTGGAAGTCAGGAAATCGAACTTACTTGACGACGCACAAGTCTTCTGGTGTTCAATTTCACTTTGTCGATTGCTTCTGTTAACAGGATTTTGAGTGGATTATCATCATCAGTGGAATTGAGGATTTCCCTCATATTATCTTTCCCAATGTTGTTCATAGACGGAGATTGATTGAGACTACTGAACTCGTTAGTGTTCAATATTTCCAAGTGGTAAACTCTCAGAAACTCCTCAAACTCCCTAACACCAATGGCTTGCCGCAAACCTCGAGTATAGTCTGCTTCTGTCTTGTAAATTTCGGAGACTTCTTTGAGCAACCCAGCATCAATCATGCAATCAACTCTTTGTTCCACGTAGTGGTCCAGTACAGGCACAGAGGCATCAACGCATATAAAACAGCAATCGAACTTACAATTATCAGCACGGCCCCAGTTCTGTCCTGGCACATTAAATATGTTAAGAGAAAAGATTATGTGCATGTAATCTTGTGAAGGTTTCCCTCCTTTTTTCCAAAATGTAAAAAACATATTTTCACTATATCATGGAAACATTGCTGGAGGAGTATTTACAGACCTCTGCAGCTTTTCCTTGGTAAACTCTGCTAGGAACAACACCAGATTGGGTGTACAAATTAAGATACTGATTTATCTGCACGAAGAATGAATCTGAGTGATACCTTTTAACCGAAAACATCATAACATCAGCCACAAGGTACAGTTCAACTACAGATAAGGAGAATGCATTCCTACCTTTCTGTAGTTGTTTGGGTGGATTCTGTCAGCAGCAACAGGATCAACGGCTCTAAGATAATCATAGTCACAGCTGAAAATTTCTCCGCCTAACTCAGACATTAGATCAGTCTGCTCATCTCCTGCGGGGATGAAGTAACACATGTTAGATGACACTTCAATCAGGAGGATTAGGGTTTTGATCCCACGACACAAGTGCATACCAGGAATATCATCTTCTGTTGTATCATCCAGAAGGAATGGACTTACAAGAGCCTGGGCAAAGCAACAAAACAAAAAAACAGTGAAGACAAAAGACACAGTTAAACTTAATAACCATGAAAAGATCAGCAAATGACTACCTGAATCTACTTAGAATCGATGACACAAATACAACTGAAACACCTTCAAAATGGAACTGAAGTTCATAAACATACCTGAATGTAGTAATTTGTTCCACCGACAACAACCGGTAGGCAGTCACGATGCCTTATGTCATCGATGATCTAAGAAGGATAAATAAGCCAGGTAAGAACATATGACACTATTCCAAATTCTTGGTATGAAATGACACTATTCCAATTTCTGTCGATACCAAGTTTTGCTAGTTACTTTTTCACACAAACCATCATGAACAAAGTAAATGAGAGTTATCCATGGTGCTTGCCAAGAGAAGAAGGAGCAACAAGCGGCAGAAAAGGGAAACGATGAATTGGGTCTCAGGCAGAAGATCAGCAAGCCAACCTAGCTAAATATGCAAGCTAAAGAGATGATAACCAGCCCCAACAAATCAAGCAACTCAACCTTGCAACAGATAAGAGTAATCCGAGAGTAAACCGTGGAATCAACTAGCTTCAACAGCTAAGAAAACATATCAGAACATGCATTTCGAGAATACTCACAGGATGAGCAGAATCTCTGAACTCCTTAGCCGTGAATTCAACATTTGGATTTACAGTCCCCAAAAGATGATGCGGCACACCTGCAACAACCCCCATACCAATAGTCAACCAAATGAAGATTTCAATTTCAATGTACCATCCAACTTCCAACGACAGTGAAGTAGCTTAGTATCAAACAAGTAGTTAAAACTTTAAACCCACAAAGTTTGGAACTTGAAGTCGAAAATATGGTAGTATACGATTTCATGAACTAAATTCCTAAAGTTCACAGTAACTCGTGTTAAAGCAAATCAAAGCATGGATCGAACCTTTCTGCTCATCAACGGTAACTTTGTTGGTGATAACATCGAGGCCACGGTAGACTTGCATAGAATCGGCGTTGACGATTTCAATCGGAAAGTGGGCTGCCAAATCAATGGCCAGTTTGGATTTCCCCGCACCAGTGGCACCCATAATCACCACCACTTTCGGTTTCCCCTCTTGCCCAGACTCCGTTCCCATATCCGTCTTCGTCGCCGGCACTTCAGCTCCATGGTGGTTAGGGCTTCGCAGGGCGGCCGGCGGCGGCGGCGCATCTTCTCCGCTACCGTCCATCAACCTTGCCGTGTTTTCAGACCTTTGAGTTCTGCCTCTCCGGCTCCGCCTCTGATTTTGGATGCTTCCTTTCTGGGCTGGGTTTGAAATCTGAGTTATGGACTTCGGCCCATTGACCTGACAAGCAAAGAAAAGCAACTACTGAACTCGTAGTCGTTGTTTGTTAACCGCTTCTTATTGGGCCTTGTTAACTGTAGCAGACCATGGTGTTATCGGATGAGGGTAACGCCAGCTGAAGCAGCAAGAATCTTCCTTTCAGAAGGGTTTAGAAAACGTACACCTCAATTCTGCTCCATTCATCGACTAACAAGTGTTCAAATAGCTCAGGTTTGAGGTTTCCCTGTGGAATGTGGTTAGATGGCAATCCCCTTCAGAGTTTGAGTACTCAAACTCGACTCTTCTTCCATTTAACAGTAAACCAAACATAGCAACAAAAGTCGATTCTGAACTCTCCTCGCCTCTCTGGTTCTCTGAATTCTTCTCACTACACTATAAATAGTCTGAAGGGTTAAAGGTCGTCCTAAAAATTACTAATCGTCGTCCTAACTTAATACGTAAATTACTTAATTACCCTTTTTAAAATTAAAACACAAACCCTAGCCAAACACCCCCTTCCTCCACTTCGCATCACTTCCTCCCCTTCCTCCACTTCCCTTCCCCAGCAGCGGAGACCGCCGCCACGTCTCCCTTCCCCGTCCACCAACAGCCGTCGCCGACCTTCCCCCGTCGCCCAGCCGCAGAGAGACCCAGGCCCCACGCCGGCGACCCGCCGGCCCACCTCGTCCGCCGTCGCCGTCAGTCCACGCCGCCACGCACTCGCCGTCGCCGTCGCCCAGCCGTCGCCGTCAGCCCTCCTCTCGCCTGCCGTCCGTGCTCGCCGGAGAAGAAGGTAAAGCTCCGTTCGTTCCGCATCGCCTGCAACCGAACGAAGACTTCGGTTGAGCCATGGTCAAACCGAAGTCAACATTCGGTTGAGCCATGGTCAAACCGAAGTCAACATTCGGTTGAGCCATGGTCAAACCGAAGTCAACTTTCGGTTTGACCATGGCTCAACCGAATGTTGACTTCGGTTTGACCATGGCTCAACCGAATGTTGACTTCGGTGCCACCGTGGACCAACCGAAAATTTTTTTCGTTTCACCCATGGCACAAACGAAGCAGATTTTCGGTTCATCCATGGCTCAACCGAATGTGATTTTCGGTTGGACCATGGACCAACCGAAAATCACATTCGGTTGGGTTTTTTTTTTTTTTTAAACGAGACTTTTACCTTGTCGGAGTCGCTACTCATTGTTCGGACGTATGCTCGACGATTTCGGCTTCCAAATGTCGATGATGAATTCGAGAGTGTGGGAGAATGAGTGTTTTTTGTTTTCTAAGTGAATGTGATGTTTGTTTGCTAAAGGAAAGGTAAAGATGTCAAAAGGTTAAAAGTGTAACTTTGTTGTTTTTTAGGACGATCATTAGTAATTGTTAGGACGACCTTTATCAACTCCCTAAATAGTTACAACATAAGACTCTTAAGCCATATTCCACCATCAAAGGCACAAAAACATATCGTCGAATCGAAAGACAGTACCAAAAAGAAAGAAATGGGAGCTGACAGAGGAAGCACTAAACGAAGAAGCATCCTGATGCTGCCATGGCTAGCACACGGCCACATTTCTCCATTCTTCGAGCTAGCCAAGCGGTTAACTGCTCACTGCAGCTTCCAGATCTACTTGTGTTTAACTCCAGTCAATCTCGACCATCTCAAGAACAAAACCCTGCCTCCATTCATCCAATTGGTCGACCTCCACCTCCCTTCTTCCTTCCACAAAACCCTACCTCCCAATTCCCACACCACCAAAAACCTCCCTCCCCATCTAATGCCGACACTCAAATCCGCTTTCGACCAAACCGAACCGGCCTTCTCCCAAATCCTCAACTCCCTTCGACCCGACCTCCTCATCTACGACTTCCTAATGCCATGGGCCCCTCGAGCCGCCGCGAGAGAGCTCGGAATCAAGTCCGTGGTGTTTATCACCGGAGGGGCAGCCTGTCACTCGTTCGTTACTCATTACATCGCTCACCCGCCGGAAACCCAGTTCCCCTTTCGAAATTTGGACATCGTTTCTTCAGGGGAAGGGCAGAAAACGGTTGAATTCCTGGAGAGTGGTGATGATCAGGGTAGCAGGTTGAGCAATAAAGATCGTTACTTTCAGTGCTTGAAGAGCTCCTCTGAGATCGTTCTGATCAAGACGTTTAGGGAGATTGAAGGGAAGTACGTGGATTACTTCTCCAAACTGTTGGTGAAAGAAGTGGTCACCGTTGGCGGGCTTGTAAGAGAACCTGAAGGGAAAACAGGGGACTCTGACATCATCAACTGGCTGGACCAGAGAGATCATTCTTCTCCTCCGGTTGTATTTGTGTCATTTGGGACCGAGTATTTCCTTTCCAGGGAAGAGATGATGGAGGTAGCAAAAGGGCTGGAGAGGAACAAAGATTTGAACTTTATTTGGGTTGTGAGGTTTCCTGAAGGGGCAGAGAAAGAGAAGAACTTTTCACTGCCAGAAGGGTTTCTGGAGAGGGTTGAAGGGAGGGGATTGGTGGTGGAAGGATGGGCGCCACAGGCGAAGATTCTACAGCATGAGAGGGTTTCAGGGTTTGTGAGCCATTGTGGGTGGAGTTCTGTGTTGGAAGGTATTGTCTATGGCGTGCGAATTGTGGCCATGCCGATGCAGCTTGACCAGCCGTGGGATGCTAAGTTGGTGGAGGAGATTGGGGTGGGGAAGGAGGTGAGGAGGAGGAAGAGTGACGGGGGGATTGATGGAGAGGAGATGGGGAAGGTGATTGATGAAGTGCTGAGGAATGAGGAAATGAAGGGAAGGGTGAGAGAGTTGAGTGAGAAGTTGCAGGGGAAAGGAGATGCTGAGCTTGTTGCAGCTGCAGATAGGTTATGGAGTCTCATTTTTTGACAAGAAGCTGCTTATATTGCACTTCAAAAGTGAGTACAAAGTTTAAGGTAAAACCCATGGAAAGATACCGCAGAAATCAAAAGGGAAAACAAAGCCCACAAACAAAGCCCTAGCAAATGTTTCAAAAAGAAACAACAAATGAAGCCCAAACCCCAGAGCCTGCAAAGTGAGCCCAATAAACCCTACAGACAACTACCAACATCAACCCTAGCCATCATCTCTTCTCCAACCTGCCGCCGCCAACCATACGAACAGAGCCGCCGAAAAACCAACGTCGACCACCAGCTCGCCGTGCAACGATCGGACCAACACCACAACGGGAGAACAGCAGTTCGCGAGGAGCCCGGAGACCAAGAAAAACGGCAACGAACAGGCTTGGAGAAAAGAGACGAGCTTCAGGCCGATGCATCCCTGCCTTCAACATCTTAGAACCGCATACAGGCCGCTGCATATGAGAAGGCCTTTGCATCTCCGAAACACCGGCTCAATGGGTGAAGCAAGGAGGTAGATGAAAGGTAAGAAGATGCGAAGACAAGCTACCGATCAGAGATCTATAGCCCCCTTTGACCACCGAGAGAAAGAACCAAAACATCTAAATCTGAGGATCAGAAGTAGAGGCTGGAACAGGAGACATCCATCTCACAAGGAGTGGCAGAATGAAAATCCCAAAGATGGGCATGAAGGTGAAACGGAGATCTGGACAAGGAACAAACGAAACATGCACTGAGAATAAAACTGGAACTAAACAAAATAAAAGCTGGAAAGAAAAAAGGGTTGGGGGGCCACCGTCGGTCCCAAAGGGAAGCCGCCGGCAGCCCCATGGAGCTTGAATCTGAAGCCTAACTTAGAGAGAAGGCAGAGAAAAGGAAAGTTAGAGAGTGAGGGTAGAGAAAACTTTATGGAGTCTCATTGAAGGTGTGTAGGAGACTTGGGTGGAAAAAAGTGTAGCTATATTGAAATCCTGGTACAACCACATCACTTAAAATTTAGGAGAAACAACATTGTCATTATTCAGCTTATTAAACAAGCAAGATTTATTATCTGATCGACTTAATTGTTAGTCATGAAAATATCAAGCGACGATATGTAAGAGAAATGATGAGATGCATCGATAAACGCTTTGATATTTCAAAGACATAGCATCTTATTTCGAAACGAGTTCTTCAAAAACGTCCAGCAATATTACCATCAATTGCTAACTCTCGAAGCAGGTTCCCCTCTGATTTTTCGTTCCAATGTCCACATCAACTCTTTCTTTACCCTTGTGCGTTCTTCATAACTTGGATCGGGTGGTAACAAATCCTCGTCTATATACAACGAGACAGACCTTTTGTTAGCAAGTAGCCAAACAACGATTGATGTGCACAAATAAGTCATTCTCGGTAAGATAATTACCTTTACCCTTTGAGTTACTTTTCCTGAAAATATGAACTGTATAGTTAGGAGAGCGCCAACGCCAACATGCATAAGTTACCAGTGTCTGATAAATTTGGACATAACTGTTGTCGGTTGACTTATAATGAGACTGATTGAAGCCTTCGAAAGTTACAAAGAATACGTAAATACAGCAAGACCGCTGGATATTTACGTTCTTAACTCCGAGCAAAATCAAGTACTCACCCTGAAATATTATTGAAGATAATTTAAACACACATGTGGAGAGTGTTCTATGCCACTCAAGGTAAAATTTGAGGGTATCACTTCACACCCTTGGTTAGAAAATTACCAAATACAAAAAAAAAAAACTTACATACCTTATGTTGATTATATGTATCGACTACAAATTTAACAGCTCTCTCAACTTTTTTGTCGAAATCCCTCTCACTCGCATAATAATGTTCTCGAGGGAGCATGTAAGCATACTCTGGTGCTGGAGGGCAATCAACATTGAAATTCTGTGTTTATTTAAACAAGAGGATTAGAAGAAAAAAGTGTAGAATACAAAAGCCCTAATTGGGGGAGAAAATCGGAGTTAATTAATGATCAATTTTCGGTAAACTTACACCGGTGACCTCGCATGTCCTCCGGTAATGGATGACCCTTAGCATTAGTTCTTCGTCGCCCTGAAAATCGTCGCTCTGATATATGTAATCGTGGTCGTCGGGCTTGGGTTTCAGCTTCAGCTTGTCCAGTTCCCGGCAGCGCTTGCAGTTGCCTTTCCCGTACTTGAGCTCCGGCCATTTAGGTTCCTACTGATCATCCGTAGCATTAGCGGCGGTGGAAGCCATTACGGGGATCGATCGATGACCGGCGGCGGCAGATGAAAGAAAGAAACTATTGTGGAAAAAAGAAAGGCAATAATGCTTCTCAAACCAATCTAATTTTTTTATTAAGTATAGATATGTTATTTATGTCTTTTGTTTGAGCTCAGAGAATTGATTATGGATCGTGGTTGAGGGTGACAGCTTTTACCTATCCGATATATTTTTTTTAGAGGCGAAGAGCGTAGCTCGGTAGCTGTAAAGAGTGGTTCTACTTAGACCTAGGTTGTGCAATGGAGCGGTCCGAATCTGGCCAAATTCATTAGAATCACGATTTAATAATGGAGGACATTTTAGAATAGGGTGAGTAACAACTGCTATTTGATATTCTCGATAGGGTACGGTTTCAAAAACATTGATTGTAAGTGAGTTTTATTACTTGTTTATTGTTACTACGTGATTAAAACATTTGATTACATGCAGGCGATCAAATAGTATTAATCGATGCTTATAGTCAATGACTCAATAAACCTAAAAAATGCCAGCCAAAACCTGGTTGGTTCATGAGTATGATTCTGTGTCAACAACATGTTCATGAAAAATTGGGAACCGAAAACCAGAAGGTGTCAATTGATGCAGATAACAAACCACGATGTCATTGCTCAGCTTATTGAACTAGTAAGATTCATTATCTAACTAGCTTAATTATTAATGATGAAACCATCAAGTCATCAATTCATCAATGTGTAAGGGAATCGTGGGATGCATCGAATAAGCGTTTTGATATTCTAAAAACATAAACATCTCATTTCGAAATGTGTTCTTCAAAAACTTCAAAACAAGATTACAATCAACTGCTAGCTCGCGAAGCGGGTTCACCTCTGGTTTTTCAATCCAACGTCCACATCAACTCTTTCTTTACCCTTGTGCGTTCTTCATAACTGGAATCGGGTGGTAACAAATCCTCGTCTGTATGCAAAGAGAAATGCATTTTGTTAGCAAATAACTCAATTAATGAATCGAACAACGATCTACGTGCATAGATAAGTCATTCTCAGTAAGATAATTTACCTTTACCCTTTGAGTTACTCTTCCTCAAAATATGAATTGTATAGTTAGGAGAGCGCCAACGCCAACATGCATAAGATACCACTGTTTGATAAATTTGGACAAAACTGATGTCGGTTGACTTATAATGAGACTGATTGAAGCCTTCAAAAGTTACAAAGAATACGTAATAACAGCCGGGTTGCTGGATATTTACGTTCTTAATACCGAGAAAAATCAAGTTCTGACCCTGAAACATTATTGAAGCTAATATAAACACAAAAATAGAAAGAATACCATATATCACCCATTAAACCCGACATAAAATATATAATTCCCAAAATCTAATCGATTCAAAGTATAAATAGAAAACACTTACACACCTTCTGTTCATTATATGTGTCGATCACAAATTTAACCGCCCTCTGAACTTTCTTGTCTAAATCCCCCTCACTCAAATAATAGTGTTCTCGATTGGTGATGTAAGCATACTCTGGTGATGGAGGGCAATCAACATTGAAATTCTGTGTTTATTTAAACAAGAGGATTAATTAGAAGAAAGTGTGGAATACAAAAGCCCTAATTGGGGAAAGAAAATCGGAGTTTAATTCTGATCAGTTTTGGGTAAACTTACACCGGTGACCTCGCAAGTTCTCCTGTAATGGATGACCCTTAGCATTAGTTCTTCGTCGCCCTCAAAATCGTCGCTCTGATATATGTAATCGTGGTCGTCGGGCTTGGGTTTCAGCTTCAGCTTATCCAGCTCCCGGCAGCGCTTGCAGTCGCCGTTCCCGTACTTGAGCTCCGGCCAGTTAGGTTGATTCTGATCCTCCGTAGCATTTGCGGCGGCGGATGCCATTACGGGGATCGATCGATGACCGGCGGCGGCAGATGAAAGAAAGAAGCTATTGCGGGAAAAAGAAAGGCAAATACTGCGGGTGTTATTATTGAACGCTCGATTGTCGTAGGAGGGGAGGAATATGATTGGGCTTTGGTTTCCCGCGGCCCATTTATTGGAAGCTGAACCTGGATCGATCCAATCCAAGCCACGTTCATTTAAATAAAAAAGAACGCAAAAACTAAGTCATTAAAAACAAGTAAAAAAAAATCATAAAAGAAAACTCTTGCTAGCTTCGAAAGAGTTACATTTAATGGCGGCTTATTAAAAACTGTATCGTACCGGCAGTTCGATCAGGAAAATCTTTTATTAGAGACTAAACCAATAGGCGGTACTTAACTGTATGAAACAATTGAACAATAGCTTCATAAAATACTCTATCGTTGACTTTTCTGATACAACCTCATGTACAGTATTTCAATCATTGATTTATAGTTTAGGAATGTAGGAATAAGACGTCGGAAACAATAGAGAACTACGGCGGGATGGGATTGCTGAACAAATTGGCTGGGCAGGAGGTTTCACATAGCGGGTTATACAAAACAAAATCGCGGTGTTAGCATATGGTATAAGATTTATCATTGAACTTCGAGTTATTGACGTCAACGAGTTCTTAACATGGTATCAAAATTTTCTGTGGTCGAGAGGTCTTCTGTTCTAATTCGATTGCGCTCATTGTAAAGCACGTAATATTCGGACCTGTGTAAACTTTAAGGTCATATGAGTTGGCTTTCATTTGAGAAGGCGTGTTAGGATATGGTATAGGATCTATAATTGGAACCAACTGAATACATCAAGTTCGAACTTTGATTTGGACATGTTTCCATATTGAGCTAATAAATGGCAGAACACTAAAACATTTCAGACAAGAATAAGAAGAAATATGGTTGATGATCTCAAAATGTTGCTATGTATAGGTGGTTGGATGAACAAAGCATGGGTATCTTACATTTGAATACAAGAACAGATAACAAAAAAGGACTTCCAAACCAAATACATATATGACCTAATTAGTCATTTGGTACCAAAACCTGGTTGGTTTCATGAGTATGCTTCTGTGTCAACAACATGCTCATCATGAAAAATTGGAAACAAAAAAAAACCAGAAGGAGGTGATTGATGCAGATGACAGAAACCACAAATGTTAATCCAAAACAAAGAACACTTGACATATATATATAAGAGGGAAATTGTTATATAGTGGTCAGCAATGGTGTCATTCAGCGGAGAGTGTCGATGTGTTTGCTCAGCTCTTCCAGCTTCTTCATCCTCATCCTCTCACTTTCACCCACCATCTGCAGTAAAACAAAAGTTCACTCACCAGTTAAATCAACTTCAGTGAAGAAATCTTGATCAACAAGTCATGAAAAGATACTAAAAAGTAAAAGGAGCTTACCTCCATCAGCTTGGAGAGTAGTTGTGTCTTTTCCTTGTTCTTCTCATTGAATGCTTCTAGTACTTCTCTGTATTCCCTTTCCTGGCAATGTCATTTCAACCATTTTGGAATAAAGCTAAAGACGTTGCTTGTAGATGAATCAAGAGTGAGCTTAACAAAAAGGGTAAATTGATTACATATATCTAGAGGTGGCAAATGGATTGGATTGGTGGATTGGTGGATTGGATTGGTGGATCCATGGATCAAATGGATTAGATCTAATGGATTGGTGGATTCATGGATTGGATCAAGTGGATTGGTGGATTATCCATGAATCCAAATGACATCCTCAACCAAGGACCAATATGTAAAACGTAAAAAGTTTAGGTACTAAAATGTCACAATGAAAAATTTTAGGTACCAAAACGTAATTTTCCAATGATATTTTTCGTATAAAAAATTAAATTTTAGGTGCCAAAATGTAAAAAATAAAAATTATAGGTACTAAACCGTAATTTGCCAATGATCCATGGATCCAATCCATGAATCCACCAATCCAATTGGATTTGGATCAAATGGATTGGATTTAAATGGATTGGATTAGGTGGATATTTTTAATGGATTGATGGATTGGATTGGTGGATTGGATTGAAATTGCCACCTCTACATATATCATCACTTGACTTTGAGAGCACTAACCAGTCAAACTACTAAACTTCGATCTCTCCACAAATGTGTTATTAAAGTTTGGAATAATTGTCATAACAATCACTTCGTCTATCTTCTTTATAATCTCCGTTCAAACTAATTCAGATCAACATATCCAACTCCACGGTTTTAAGTCTAAAACGGCTACAGCATACCATAATATAAAGCTAACATCAAACTCTCATTTTATTTGATTCCTAATCAAAGGATATATATATACCATAATATAAAGCTAACATCAAACTCTCCTTTTATTTGATTCCTAATCAAAGGATATATATATGTGTGATTTTTCTTTCTTATAAATCCGTAAACTATTGATCGAGAAAATTCAAATGAAATGTTGACGATCTCAAACTAAATCGTTGTTTTCCCCGGTTATCCCAAACTTTGATAACAAGTTTGTGGTAAATCAAAAGCTTTGCTAATGAAGTCAAAGTTTAGTGACCATTTATGCAAAAAAAATGAAGGGGAGAAAAAGGAAGAGGCAGGATGGTGGTTCACCTTCTTCTGGCAACTAACGCCTAATGGCTTCAGCTCCCGGTTGACAACATCAATCCTCTTCCGCACCATCGACACTTCCTTCCTCAACGGATCCGTCAAAGCTTCAAGCTCCTAATGAAATTGTGTTTTTTTTTTAATTTTCAAAGCAGAGCATCAAACAAATATGATCCATCCCAAACCATGCCATAACAAGTTAACTGTCACTTACTTCTCGAATCTCAGCCAAGCGCTTGGTAGCCACTTCAGCACGGCCCAGCTGAGCCTGAACTCTGCCTCGAACCTCCATCTTCTTCCTCTCGATCTCCTCCTCTTTCGCGCGAAACATCGCCAATGCAGACCTCGACATCTCGTCCTCCTTGTCATCCAGCAGCAATGGGCTCTCGTTGTAGGCAACCAGCTGCTGCCCTGGGTTCTTCACCACCACCATCTGTTTCTGAGTTGTCATGATTTCCTGAATAACCCTACAATGGTTTTCTGAGTTCTCTTATGCTAGCTAGCTAGCTGCCCTTTTTTTCTTCTCCCCCACCCACCTTCTCTTGGCTATGATGATCCTCTTTATCCTGTTGTAGTTGGTTGGCTGTTTAAAAAAAAGGTGGTGTGGAAGAAGAACAACCTTCACTCTTACTTTACAGCCCAACAGAACAAGTGTTAATTAATTAGTAACCTCTAATCATGGAGATTAAACAGAGGAGGGACACACACAAAAGACCCTTTTGCATGGTAATTGTCACATAAGGGAAAACTTTGGTGAAGGATGATTGCAGCAGAATGGGGCTCTTTGTGGTTAGATGGGATATGTTGTCATGGTGAAAAGATCCAGCTAACAACTGCAGCATCATGTCACATGGCTATACAAAGTTACAAACCACCACTTAATGGGGGAAAAAAAAAGCAAATTCCCTTACCATCTCTTAAAGGATACTGTAAGCCTGATAATAATAGAACAAAGGGAAGGGTATTTTTGTACAGGGGAATTTGGTGTGGGTTTGAAGAAAATGATGAATTGTTTGGGGGGAGTGAAATTGATTACATATAACACAATGAATACCAATGATACATGTAGGTGTTATTGTGAAGATTGGTGGTAATTGGTTGTAAAGATTTTTAAAATGGGAGATCTCTTGATCGTGTGCTAATGAATACTAATTATAAAAGGTTGTTGATCAGATTGTATATCTTATATCATCTATTATCATCATCTATTATTTATCGTTAAGCCAACAATTATGATGATCTAAGATTTATTTCTACTCTGACAAAGATCCATGTATAGGAAAACTGGAAAGGGAATTGTTTGCCAAAAATATTCCATGAAGAAGGGTGCTTGCCTTGGATTGGAAGTTTTCTATGTGGCTCTTTGGAATGGAATCTGACAGCAAGGGCTCAACTACAATGTAAGAATGTGGGTTTTGGCTTCTTTTTGGAAATAAATAGCCTTTTGCTTTTATTGGAGAGCCTTAGAGAGCAAGGCAGAGTAGGAGAGATGTTGGCACTTGGCAGTGAGTTCTTGCTTTCTCAAGTCTTTTAGTACATATAATATATTTGTCTAATACTTGTCTTTGAGAATTTGAAACTCTTCCCTTGATTTTAACTAGAGTAAGAACATTCACTTTATAATTTAAATCTTATGAGTTCCTTCAAAAGTTAATCCATTACGAGTTTGACTCATAATAATGTTTAAATGTATCTAATTGTACATGAACTTTACTCTACTTTAGATTTATTTTTTGCAAAACATCGAAACTTAAAGCAAGATACTTCACTTGTTTCAGAGAGTGTCATATTTTTAATGTCTTGTCATAAATAGTTCAGAAAAAATACAACTTATAAGACAAAATTATAAAGCTAGGATTCTAAAAGGATAAGTAATATATGAACATGACCTTAAATATACCAATATCTTATCATTAAGCTACCATGGTATCGACAAGCCTGCTTCTACAAGTCCATTTATCTGGGACTAACCTTTGGATATTAGTGTCATGATGGAAGCCAATAAGCCAGCCATTTTCACCGGGACAAAGGTTGTTCTTTTCGAAATATTGATTGTTACCATTTGCCTTTATGTGTTGGTTGTTGGAGCAGCAATAGTAACGTTTACCAATGACAATCCAGTAACTTGCAAGTTGTAGGGCAAGCTTACCCACCTTAGGAAAGCCAAAACCATTTGCACTCTTCATCATGAACTTGGCTCCAGGGACCATATGTCCCTAACTTTGTCTCTCCCGTGTGATCTTTTTGTAGACCATGTTGAAAACCTTAGAGAAGGGCCATGTTGAAATGTTTCTGTGTGAAACTCTTGTTCAACATTAAACACGAGTCGAGGTAATATCCTTACTGATATAGTGCACTCGATAGGGTGATTCATTCTAATATGTTATTTGAAGAAAAGTAATATTATAATCCCTTTTTAACCATCATTTTTTACTCTTGGGCCCAAGTGCCCAACACTAGTACACTCGATCCAACCATGATAGTAGGGGGGGGGGGAAAGAACTTCAGAGCTTTTGGGGCCATACATGATACATCGAACTACCCCAAGATTCAAGTCGAACGGATCTTACTATCACGCTCTCATCATTAGCTACCGGTGTGATATTAAAATAGAATCTTCAAGTCTTCAACGATATTTGCATTTTCCTCTCCTCCTGTACCTAGGAGTTGATTTAATGAGCGGAGGTCTTTATTCCAAGTAGGATCAAGATTTGGATTATAAAATGCGATTCATACAGTAAACATATATTGAAAAGTGATATAATGTAGTTTAGTAGCTTCCATTATCCAAGATCCGAGTTCAATTCCTCTCTCGTCTCCTTTGTCTCCTTCTCTTTAATTGGATTTCGATATAAAGATCAGAGATCTTCATTGCAAGTGGGATCAATATCTGAATTATAAAACGTGGATACAATATAGTAAACGCCTAAACGGATATTGAAAAGTGATGTAATAGTGATGTAATGCATTTTAGTAGCTTCTCTTCTTCAAGTCTGCACCATCTCATTTTGGTTACATTACAAAGTACATCCAAACCCTAATTCATCCCATTCCCATACATTGCTTGAGGATAACTTTAGACATCCCAATTCACAAATGTGAATCATTGATAAAATTTGAGAGCTGGTATGAAGGTATGGACTTGAAAGTTGTTGGGCCCAGACATTGACCGGCCCTAAGTTTTAAGCCCAATGGAGTACCGGCGCGATCTGGAAAAGGTAAAAATATTTAACAGTATTTGCATTTTCCTGGCCTTTTCTCAACGTCAACGACTCGAAGTCGAAGTCTCGAAATTTGGATGCACCGTGAAGGAAGGTGAAGGCTAATGGCCGTTCAATTTCCCGAGCAGTTTCCTCCTCCTCCAACCCCAATCCCTTTGCTTCAATTCCGCCGCCATTTCCCCTCTCCCACTAATCATCACGCACCTACTGCTTCGTCGAGAAACAAACCCTTCTGCAAAAACAACTTTGAGGATTCATTCCAATGTCAGGAATACTCCCGGTGGACTGCTTCGCCCAGAAGCTGGATTCCCTGCTCCAAAACGAAGCTACCCTCTTTCAAGGAACTCGCGACCAGGTCGAAGAGATCAAACGCGAGCTGGCCGCCATGAGGTCGTTTCTCGAGGATTCCGACGCCGCTTCCGACAAAACCCACTCCTCCAAATCCAAGCAAACCCAAGTCGCCCACGTCAGGGATCTGGTCTACGACGTCGAAGACATCATCGACGAGTTCATCTACCACCGCCGGAGGTACGCCGGGTATCTCCGTACAGCTCTGTGCTTCCCTCTCTTATTCTGGGAACGGCGTCGGATTGCCACCAAGCTTCGCAAGATCAACTCCTTGATCAGGGCCATACCGGAGAGGAATCAGCGGTATGATCAAGTAATACCACTGGAGGAAGATCATCATCATCAGAAAGAGAACGCGGCCGTGGTCAATGCAGAGTCGGCTCTGTTTCTGAGAGAGGAAGACCTTGTTGGGATTGAACCATCTCGGAAACTAATGGTCGAATGGCTCATCGGCGACGACGGTAGGCCCTCGCGGAGGAAGACTATCTCGGTGGTCGGGATGGGCGGCTCCGGTAAGACCACTCTTGTTGCAAATGTTTTCAAATCCCCAGCTGTGAAACGCTGCTTTGATTGTGTCGCTTGGGTAACCGTCTCCCAGTCCTTTGTCATTGAGGATTTGTTAAGAAGCTTGATTAGGGAATTAGGGATTCAAACTTTGGGGGATCAATTTAGCCATATTGGGTATCGGGAGCTTGTTGGGAAGCTTGTGGGTCATTTGGAACAGAATAGCTATTTACTTGTTCTGGATGATGTTTGGGATGCTAATGTATGGAGTCAGATCAAACTCTGGCTTCCAGAGACGGAGAACAGCAGAAGCAGAATCATTGTCACAACCCGGATTCAAGACATTGCAATGTACTCTTCTTCCGAAGATGGAAGTCATGTTTACAATATAAAGCCGCTGGACAAGAACAAAGCAATGGAGCTGTTTTGCAGCAGAGCGTTCTCCTCCAAGAAGAACTGCCCACCTCAGCTTCAGAATCTCGCTATCGACATTGTGGATAAATGTCAAGGCTTGCCCCTCGCAATTGTGTCGCTGGGCGGCTTATTGTCAACCAAACAATGTTCCGTAGCTGACTGGACGATGGTGTACAACAACTTGCAGTGGGAGTTGAGCAACAACCAGATGCTTCTGCCTATCAAGAACATTCTTCTGTTGAGCTACTACGATCTGCCTTACCGGTTGAGGTGCTGCTTTCTCTACTGTTGTTTGTTTCCAGAGGATTATAAGATATGGTGCGGCAGGCTGACCAGGTTATGGATGGCTGAGGGGTTCGTGGAAGCGGCTGATCATGATGGATCAATTACACCTGAAGAGGTTTCTACGGGATACCTCATGGAATTGATTCGTCGAAACATGCTCCAAGGTGTTGATTCAGAACTCTGGGTGAACGACAGTTCATGCAACATGCACGATATGTACCGTGAGGTAGGCCTTACAATAGCGAAACAGGAGAATTTCTTTCATCGTCGTCTGTCTGTTCACCAAGCAAGTAAGGTGAAATTGGGAGAAATGATCGAATCTATGGAGGGCAGGTCGGGGATTCGGTCTTTATTCTTGTTTCATAACGATGGATGCAGTAGTACTGATCCTTTCTCCTTGAGAGGATTGAACTGCAGCCATTTCAGAGTCCTGAAGGTGCTGGATTTGGAAGATGTTCCAATCGAAGAGCTACCTCGCCACATGGATAGCATGTTCAACTTGAGGTTCTTGAATTTGTTTGGCACTCCACTGAAGATACTGCCCAACTCAATAGGGAAGTTGCAGAACCTGCTGACTCTAGACATCATGCACACAAAAATCGAGACTCTTCCTAAGGGAATCATGGAGTTGCAGAAACTACGTCACTTGGCTCTAGGCGGAGTCCGACGCCCCATCTCAAAGGAGTACAACGTCATGGATGGTGTAAAGCTTACTCCAGGATCAAACATTGGCAATCTGAAGAACTTACAGTCACTACGCTTGGTGAAAGCCAGTGGAGATTTGATTAAGCAACTGGGTTCAATGAGACAGCTAGTGGTTCTTGGGATCATAAACGTTACAGGCAGGGCTCAAATGGATGACTTGTGCAGGTCGCTCAAGAACATGCCTTTACTGCAGAAGTTGAGCATAGCAGCCAACGACGAGGACGAGATCCTTCGATTGGATGCACTTGGTGGCGACCAATCAGCTCAATCTCAATCACAATCTCCTCCACTAAGAAAACTTCAGTACCTCAGCTTGTACGGGAAGTTGGAGAAGTTCCCTTGTTGGGTCTCGTCCCTGCCATGCCTTGTCGATATGCAGATGCACTGGAGCAGGCTGCCGGTGGAAGAGGACCCGTTGCAGCATTTGCAGCGACTGCCGAGCTTGAGCAATGTTGTTCTTAACAACGCGTACCAAGGGAGTGAGCTGAGGTTTCCTAGAGGGTTTGACAATCTGAGGACGATGGCTTTGAGGAATTTCGAAAGCGCAGAAGGTATGGTAATAGAGGAAGGAGCCATGCCGATTATCGAGATGTTGCAGATTGCTAATTGCTTGAACCTGAAGACTGCACCAGAAGGGATACAACGTTTGAGTGTGCTTGAAGAGTTGAGACTTGAAAATGTTGCAGCTGATCTTGTCAAGCGCATTCGTGGACCAGATCGTTGCTACGTTCAGCACATCCCTCTTGTTCGTTGCCACTACTACACCGCCGCAGATGGCGACTACATTCGTGAAAACTTGTTCTAACTGTTTACTAGCTTAGTTTGGTCCTGCGGTAGCTTTTGTAGAAGCAGATTCTGGCTGAAGCTTTTTTTGACAAGTACTTAAAAAAAACAGTTGAGTGTTTGGCTCTAAAACTATTAGAAGTGCTTTTTAATATGAAAGATTGTGTAAAATGACTATAAATGACTTATAATATAAAATATGAATAAAAATTCTAAACAATAAAAAGTAAACAAAATGGATCTTGTTAGATTTCTTTTACATTAAATAATATAATTTTATAATTTATTTTATTTTTAAAATGATATAAATGAAGGAAAATTATATTTTCTGAAATAAAATTAAAATATGGTAAGGATAATCTTGTATTTTCAAAACAGCTTTTCGCAGAAGTTTCAAGTCGGAGCTTCTGCTTTTATGTTATACAAAAGCGTTTTTCGATTTTTCAAAAGCCGAGTTTTAACAAATATTTGGCTCTGCTTCAGCTTTTGAAGTCTAAAAGCACTTCTAAAAGTGGAGCCAAACATAGAGACTGTCTGCTGTAGAGATTAGAGAGTCAAAGGTTTTGAAGAGCTGAACTTTTTTCTATGGCCCAAACATCAAATCCATTTGATCCAATCCTCGTGGTTGCAAAGCCCAAACTTGATCAGAAACGGCCATGCTCCGATTGGGCCCAAATATGGAGCCCGTCTCCAAGATCCTCAGTAGGGATGTCAATCCAACCCGTAACCATGGGTACCCTACCCGACCGTACCCGGTCAACGAGGATAATTACCCGCTTTGACGTGTTAAGGGGCGGGTACGGGTAATACCCGGTTTCAAAATAAAGGATAGGGTACGGGTATGGTAATCGATAATACCCGCCCCGTTATACCCGCCCCGCTAACAAAAGGGTCAATTTCCCTTGAGAAATTTAGTTTAGCTTGAGAAATTGAGTTTAGCTACCATTATTGATGATGAAGATGTAGACGATTATTATGTTTGTGTGGATTGTAGAAGCAAGAACAATTATTATGTGTTTGATGTTTTTATTTGTGTGGATTGTTGAAGTTAGAACAGTTACAAGTATTGAAAATTTTTAATGGACAACTCACAACAGTATGTACGTGCATATATGTGTATAAGTTCATAGTTTAGGATTCGTACCCATGGTTACCCGAATACCCGTGGTTACCCGGTGGGTAGGGTATGGTTATATAATTTTCATACCCGGTGGTTATTTGGTTGGGTATTTTAGAAGGCTCTACCCGGCGGGTTAGGAGTTGGTATAGGGTAAACCCGTACCCAACCCTACCCATTGCCATCCCTAATCCTCAGCATACCACCGAGCTAATAAGTATATGGATGTATTTGTAAACAATGATAAGTGTATGGAACTTTCTGTTAAAACTATATAGTATGGTGACTGAAAGATGACATTAACGGTATCTAAATATTTATTAAAAAAGAAGCTGCGATTACCAAATTATCAATAAAATATAAATATCGGGGCAGAAAGTACCAAAGCCAAAGAGAAACCATGATCGAGAATTAGAAATCGGAGGGTTACTGGCTTACTGCTAATTTGCCCCGTTGCCCGAACTCGGAATCAGAGCTAAAGGAGGGGAAAGAGGAGGGCGGCAGCAAGAAGTTCCACCGGTGCTTTCCATTTCTCTTTTCAGTGCCTTGACAGAAATCACTTCTAGGGTTTAGGGTTCCATTTGACTTTAGGTTCGACATTCCCCCATTAAGAAGAAAGAAAAGATCTCGACCTTGTTTGGTTATATGAGGGACCGGCGGTACGAATATTCGAGGACACGGTCACGCTCACCGCCTTCATCACCTCCTCCGTCGAGTCGGGGAAGAGACCGCGATTTTGGAGAGAACTGGCGTTTTCCGACTACCTCCTACCAGGCTCCACCTGGTCCGCCATGGCCCGAGCGGGACCCACCGTCCAGACCGCATCCTGGGTTCGTTCCCCGGCGAGGGATCGATTACGATAGCCTTAGGTCTAGGACTAGGACTAGGAACAGGTCTAGGTCGAGGAATAGGTCTAGGTCTAGGTCCAGGTCTCGGTCTAGGTCCAGGTCTCCGAAGCGATGGGCGGCGAGTCGGGAACCGCAAAGAATCGACGGCAACTACAGGCGTTTCTCCGGTTGGAACCCCACGTCAACAGATTTGGGTATTGGGTCAAGCAGGCGGCGGGAATACGATAGATTGTATCCTGAGGACAGGTATGGTCGTGAGGAAAAGCTGTCTGTGCCGTTCAGCGAGACGATTCCAAGGAGGGAACCTGCTTTCTCGAATTTTCAACGCGACAACCTATTGGACGATGACAATGGTAACCCTAGCAGACCCACCATTACAAGTCCAGGTCCGGCGGTGTATAGAGAGGTTCCTGCGAATCACTTCAGCAGGCTCTCTGATTCTGTTGGCGTGGCTCGAATTCCTGTCGAGACATATAGAAGAGATAGGCCAAGAACTCATTATAATTACATTGGCTTGCCACCCACCAGCAATGTGAAGAACTATGACCAGCTCAGGGATGGTGGTGGCTATGGATCTCCTTTGGGGGGAAGAGGAAGCTATGCAGATTCAATTTTGAATAAGAGTCAAGGAAATGGGAGGGAGGCTTTAAGCAATCCAGCTAATTTTCAGCAAAGGCGCATCGTTGGAGCAGACGATGACGTCGAAGATGATTTGTATTACAGGAGCACTCATTTTAACTATGGGAGAGAAGGGCACACCAATGACAGAGATTTTGAGTCTGACCAGGGAATTGGAAATCATGGTTTAGAACGAAATGTGGGTTCCATTCCTTCAGGAGGCGATTTGCAGAGAGTAAGATCACCTTGTGAAGGTGTATATAGGAGCAGAGGTGTTCACCAACCTGTCTATCCGCAGGAGGAGGTGGGTGTTCATGGTCAGCTGGAATTCTTTCAGGGGAGGAGTAGTGTGGAGTTAGAAGGTACTCAAGAGCATCCAGGAAGTTTGTTTTTTCATGATGAGAATCTATTGAATGAGGATGATGACCTGAGCATCGGAGATCAAGATTGGGACTACAACGACATTGATGATTCCTTACTCTTGGAGGATTTAGAACTAAGGCATACAGGACGGATTTATGGTAGCAACAGCCTTCAAGAATCATTGCTGTCAAAGAGGCATGGGGGGAGAGGGAGTTATGGCAACAACAATCGTCAAGAACCATTAGCATCTCATCATTTCCTGCCATCAGGACAATGGCATTCAGGGAAGCATGTCAAAGCTTCTAAAGCAAACTTAGAGAAGCGCCTGGGCCCTGTTCAAAGTGTGATGCAGCGATTAGGACCAAGGTTGGGGCATCCTGCTAAGCAACAAGCATCTTTCCGTGCTGCAAAAGTTAAGGAGCGTTTGGGGCCTGCCATAAAACCGGTGAAGAAATCTGGAGAGGATCGAAATGCGGTTAAGCAGCTTCCCTGGATGAAGATTCGTGAAAAGGGACGTCAGGGGTCTTCTGAAGTAACCATGAGCAATCAATCATTAGAAATGAAAGAGAAGGACATGAAGTCTGAACCCCAGGAGAACTCTGAGGAGTTCATCCAGCTCGTAAATACTGCTTTCTTGAAGTTCTCAAAATCTTTGAATGAAAGTTCAGCCAAAAGGAGAAAGTACACAGAGCATCATGGAGATGGTATGTTGAGATGCAGTGTATGTGGCAGGTATCAGATCTAGACTCTCTCTCTCTTTTCCCTCATTTTGTCACAAAATTGAGAAAGTTGATGAACTGCCTATGTGTATGTTTTCTCTACTCGAGTAATTAGTCAGTGTGATACTGTCACATAGGAATTCGTTGAACTGCAAGCATGAAATATGCTGCTTCACGATGATTTGAATTTTCTCTATATAATAATTGTATTGGTGAATGACTTTGACTGTCAGCTCTGGATATGGATATTTGCTGCTGCATTGACTTAGTTTGAGCCCCAGCCAGTTATGTCACGTTCCATCAAGGCATAGGAAAACCTGAGAACACTACTAGAGGAAAAGGGATAAATGATATAATATTCTCCATGATTTGGAAACGGTCTAGCTAAAAGAAGAATTCAGCCTTTGTCCATGCTGGTAGGAAAGTGGAGTCTCATTAAGATGCCCTTTCTGTGTTTAAACAATGCTATAGAACAGTGAACTGGTTTATGTTGACTGAACTTGAGCCAGTACTGCTTGTTATGGTGCTTAGGGAAGTAGAAAGTGTATGGGTTTGAGCATGATTGGAATATAAACATATTTGGTCTTTGCTTGTCTTGCTCATGGTATGATGGTGTTCTTTAGTGATCTAGGTCGTGGACACTTCTCACAGAGATTCATTCACTCATTTTAGTGACCTAGGTCGTGGACACTTCTCAAAAACCCACTCCAGACTTGTATATATACGAGCTGATATGCATTTGCCTGTCTGTATCCTAATTGTGTCATTATTGTTCTAATTTCATTTCACCTGGTCATTCTATGTGCTTATTTTTGTAATTTTATTTCAGTTGTGAAATGACTTTGAGTGATTGGCCAACTGAATGTTATATTTCAGTGACTCCAAAGATTTTGTGGACACATTAAGCTTGGCACAACATGCGTTTACGTCATCTAAAGTGGGTTCCAGATCGGAGCATTTAGGTTTCCACAAAGCCCTTTGCTTGCTGATGGGTTGGATGTGGAACATTGATGAAGTCCTAAAAAATGGTCCTTGGGTAAGGCAGAAATTGCCCAATGCAGAAGCTTCATTACTCAAGGAGGACCTAATCCTCTGGCCTCCTATTGTCATCATTCATAATGTTTCCATATCAAATGGAATTTCCAAGAAGCGTATCATTGTAAGTATTGAAGAGCTCCGGTCTGTTCTCAGAGGTAAGTGAGCTAAGACTGTACTGAAAATTTTGACTCAGTTCAGCTGATTGGTCTTCCTATTTGTTTTCTAGTTGGATACTCATTTTGTTTGGTCTGGTTGGATGCCATTTCAAGCATATCCATTCAACTTCTGATTGTCTCTATAAATGTGCCGTGCCTCTACACCTGCACTCTAGAATCATTAGTACTTTTTTGAAGACCCTAACTCTTCTATAAATTAACTCAAATCACCTGGAGCCATCTCATGCCATATGCCATAGCTATGATTTTTGCTTTAGTTGATGATGGCATCCGAATCCTTGCTTCCAAAACCAAATCTCTATTCAGTACTTTTTCTTATGAATTTGTCTCTAGTTGTCTGAGTGATCAATGGGTCGTTTGGGAGAGGCAATTGAAAAATGTAGGATTTGGGTTCAAATTCCTAGAGAGATGGGATTTGGGCTCAAAACATGGGAATTGAAAAAGACAGGGCCGGTATGTGTTTTCCAATTCCCACAAAATTTGGGAATTTGAAACCATATCCCAATTCCCAGGCAAGCCAGAAATGAGTTTTTGTGTCTTTAGTTGTTGTTTGGATAGCTGAATTTGCCATAGGAAGTAACCTCATTTCCTTAGAATGATGAATTATCGCACATTCCATTGTTTGGATGTCCATTTTAAGTCGATCGTTAAATTAGAAACAACGGGAATTGTGTTTGTGCATTTTAAGTGAAATTCATCAGCTACATTCACACATCTCATTTTCCGTGGTACGTTGACATTTTGAAATTCGACAATGTGCCACCGAAACCACACTCCTGAGATCTTGGTTCCAAACAACTAGATGCTCATCTGAAGTTCAACATGCTTATTTATTCTAGTCGTTAGTTGATATGCTTATTTATTGTGTTGGTGGATCTTGTTCTGCTCTTTTTACTTTCCTGCTTTTTTGAACCGCTAAATGCAGGCAAGGGATTCAGTCACTCGGTTATCAACATCTGTAGGGGGAAAGCTGCAAACCACAGTATTATGGTGGTAAGTTTTGCCGGCACATTTTCTGGGCTGCAAGAAGCTGAGAAGCTTCACAGACTCTACGCTGAGAATGGACACGGGAGATCCGGATTACAAGGAGTCAGTACAAGAACCGGCAGCAGGGAAGGCGACAGCAGGGATGGCGGCATCAGGGAAGGCGACAGCAGTGATGGCGGCATCAGGGAAGGCGACTGCAGGGAAGGCGACAACAAGGATGGCGGCATCAGGGAAGTCAACAGCACGGATGGCGACATCAGGGAAGGCGAGGACGCTGTATTAGGCTCTCTAGTGGACGCAGTGGAAGCAGTTCTATATGGGTATTTGGGGATAGCATGCGACTTGGATAAGCTAGACTTTGATATGAAGAAGAGATGTGTGGTGAAGAGCAAAAAGGAGATAGACACAATTGCAGATGCCCCTGTCGGGGGTTAAGCAAAGGTTAATCTAGACTTCTCTTATCATTTTGGTCTGTGCAATGCCCCTCGTACGGTAAGTACGCAAGATACGCATCGACAGTCGGTCAAGTCGATAACTTTGGTTCGACTGGCAAAGCAGAATGGGTGGAAGAGTTTATATGATTGTCTCTGCCACCACCTATGCATTTTGGCAAATACCGGACAGATAGAGGAGAAATAGATTCGAAGAACACTGATATTACTCGCGATCTTTGCTTGTTAGGTTTTTGTTTAGTTTTAGAAGGCGGTATCAGGAACTTTTGGGGAGAATCGAAAAGGGATCAACCAATGTGCTTTCTTGGAAGGGCTACCTCAGACTTGTGACGGGTGATGGGAGATTGGGAAGAAGGGTGTGGCGCCAGCTTTCTCAAAGTTCAGTTTGCTTGATTGAAGTCTCAAAGTTCAGTTTGCTCTGCACAAAGTCTGCATTTTGTGTATGGTGAATGGGAAGACCACAATGTTGTTGGAGTACCCAGAACTCGTGAGTGAATCTTTACATACATCTTTTTGTAGATCCTGCCATACCATACCTTTTGCCCTTTTCTTTTGCTCTTCTTCAGCCCTACGACATTGGGAATCTCCCCTTTTCTCTTGTTAATACGTCCGTCAATATTTAGGCTGAAAGAATTGGAGCTGGAAACTAATCCTACTTTTCGTTCTGTGCAATTTCATTTGAGTTTGCACGCTGTCGATCAGAAACTATAATCGTATGGCGAATCTCCCTCTTTCCGAATCCACCAAAACCAGACCAGCTCTGTGTTTAAGTATATGGAGTCTGACTGAAGCAACAGCTCGAGGAAAGTTGCAGTAGGCAACAGGCTCCTGACAGTTCAACATGCAGTGTGAATGAAGGAAGATGGCAAGAAGGAATCTGCAATTCTGCATAGTCAACTGTACCCATAAATGAAATATATTTTATTAATACCTGCAAAAGTAATTTTCATGAATGAAATGTCTGTCAACCAATATAGACAAGTAATTTTATTAATTACTGAAATCTAAGTAGCCGGATGGAATCTTACAGTTTATGGATACAGATGAAAGTAGCGATAGCCGTATGGCGTACAGAGGTAGGGGAGTGAAAACACCCAGATAAACCAAAAACCCGTGCTTTACGAATTTATCTTCATACAAAAATTCAGAAGCTCCAAAGCGTCGGTGTTGATAGAAACTAGAATTCCCGCATGGGGATTTAGGGATGGAGAAGAGAAGAAATTAGGAATTTGGGAGAATTAGGGAAGTACAAGAGAGAGAAATGATATTAAGGATTTGATAGTTTATCGATAATATTTCCATAATCCGAAATGCACTGTTCTGAAGTCTGAATCATTTGGAAAATGCCAAAATAGGTCCGGAACAAATACGCCCAAATCGGTGCTTAATAGACTAAATCATCAGTGAAGGATAGCATCAGGCCGAATCCATGATCCGTAGTCTTCAAAATCCAAGAAAAATGGCCTTATGAAAAAAGCGCACGAAAAATTAAGAAAATGCCCCAAGAAAAAGTAGCCCAAATCAGCAATTAATTGACTTCATCATCGGTGGAGAATATCCCCAGTTTGCCTAAGGCCGAATCCGTGATCTGCAGGCTCCAAAATACAACGAAAATTGACATTCCAAAAAATCCCCCGAAATCTGTGATACTCTTTGGAAAATGCCAAAAATGGGTCCGAAACAAATACGCCCGAATCGGTGCTTAATAGACTTAATCATCGGTGAAGGATAGCCTCGGGCCGAATCCGTGATCTGTAGCCTTCAAATTCCAAGGAAAATGGCCTTCCGAAAAAGCGCACGAAAAATTACGAAAACGCATCCCGGAAAAATTTCGCCCAAATCGGTGGAGAATAGCTCCAGTTCGCCTCAGGCCGAATCCGTGATCTGTAGCCTCTAAAATCCAACGAAAATGGTCATTCCAAAAAATCGCCCGAAATTTGTGATGCTATCCCTTTGGATAATGCCAAAAATGTGTCCGGAACAAATAAGCCCGAATCCGTGCTTAATAGACTTAATCATCAGTGAATGATAGACTCAGGTTGAATCTGTGATCCGTAGCCTTCAAAATCCAAGGAAAATGGCCTTCCGAAAAAAGCGCACGAAAAATTAAGAACCACCACCACCCCCCCCCCCCCCCCCGAAAAAGTCGCCCAAATTGAAATCGGTGATTAATTGACTTCATCATTGGTGGAGAATAGCCCCAGTTCGCCTCAGGCCGAATACATGATCTGTACCCTCCAAAATCCAACGAAAATTGCCTAGGAAATTTTCCGCCCAAATCGGTGTTTAATAGACTTATTCATCCCTAAAGAATAGCCTCAGGCTGAATCCGTGATCTGCAGGCTTCAAAATCCAAGGAAAATGGCCTTTCGAAAAAATCGCCTAAAAATTACGAAAATGCCCTCCGGAAATATTCGTCCAAATTTCCGCCAAAATCGGCCATTGCTAGACTTCATCGTTGGTGGAGAGTACCCTAAGGCCGAACCTGTGAGCCATCGCCTTCAAAATCCAAGAAAAATGACCATTCCAAAAAATCGCCGAAATCGGTGATGGTACCCCTTTGGAATCTGGCAAAAATTGCCCCGGGAGTTTTCCGACCGAATCGCTGTTTGATAGACTTATTCATCCCTAAAGAATAGCCTCAGGCTGAATCCGTGATCTGCACCCTTCAAAATCCAAGGAAAATGGCCTTTCGAAAAAATCGCCTAAAAATTACGAAAATACCCTCCGGAAATATTCGTCCAAATTTCCGCCCAAATCGGCCATTGCTAGACTTCATCGTTGGTGGAGAGTACCCTAAGGCCGAACCTGTGAGCCATCGCCTTCAAAATCAAAGGAAAATGACCATTCCAAAAAATCGCCGAAATCGGTGATGGTACCCCTTTGGAATCTGGCAAAAATTGCCCCGGGAGTTTTCCGACCGAATCGCTGTTTGATAGACTTATTCATCCCTAAAGAATAGCCTCAGGCTGAATCCGTGATCTGCAGGCTTCAAAATCCAAGGAAAATGGCCTTTCGAAAAAATCGCCTAAAAATTACGAAAATGCCCTCCGGAAATATTCGTCCAAATTTCCGCCCAAATCGGCCATTGCTAGACTTCATCGTTGGTGGAGAGTACCCTAAGGCCGAACCTGTGAGCCATCGCCTTCAAAATCCAAGGAAAATGACCATTCCAAAAAATCGCCGAAATCGGTGATGGTACCCCTTTGGAATCTGGCAAAAATTGCCCCGGGAGTTTTCCGACCGAATCGCTGTTTGATAGACTTATTCATCCCTAAAGAATAGCCTCAGGCTGAATCCGTGATCCGCACCCTTCAAAATCCAAGGAAAATGACCTTTCGAAAAAATCGCCTAAAAATTACGAAAATGCCCTCCGGAAATATTCGTCCAAATTTCCGCCCAAATCGGCCATTGCTAGACTTCATCGTTGGTGGAGAGTACCCTAAGGCCGAACCTGTGAGCCATCGCCTTCAAAATCCAAGGAAAATGACCATTCCAAAAAATCGCCGAAATCGGTGATGGTACCCCTTTGGAATCTGGCAAAAATTGCCCCGGGAGTTTTCCGACCGAATCGCTGTTTGATAGACTTATTCATCCCTAAAGAATAGCCTCAGGCTGAATCCGTGATCCGCACCCTTCAAAATCCAAGGAAAATGGCCTTTCGAAAAAATCGCCTAAAAATTACGAAAATGCCCTCCGGAAATATTCGTCCAAATTTCCGCCCAAATCGGCCATTGCTAGACTTCATCGTTGGTGGAGAGTACCCTAAGGCCGAACCTGTGAGCCATCGCCTTCAAAATCCAAGGAAAATGACCATTCCAAAAAATCGCCGAAATCGGTGATGGTACCCCTTTGGAATCTGGCAAAAATTGCCCCGGGAGTTTTCCGACCGAATCGCTGTTTGATAGACTTATTCATCCCTAAAGAATAGCCTCAGGCTGAATCCGTGATCCGCACCCTTCAAAATCCAAGGAAAATGGCCTTTCGAAAAAATCGCCTAAAAATTACGAAAATGCCCTCCGGAAATATTCGTCCAAATTTCCGCCCAAATCGGCCATTGCTAGACTTCATCGTTGGTGGAGAGTACCCTAAGGCCGAACCTGTGAGCCATCGCCTTCAAAATCCAAGGAAAATGACCATTCCAAAAAATCGCCGAAATCGGTGATGGTACCCCTTTGGAATCTGGCAAAAATTGCCCCGGGAGTTTTCCGACCGAATCGCTGTTTGATAGACTTATTCATCCCTAAAGAATAGCCTCAGGCTGAATCCGTGATCCGCACCCTTCAAAATCCAAGGAAAATGGCCTTTCGAAAAAATCGCCTAAAAATTACGAAAATGCCCTCCGGAAATATTCGTCCAAATTTCCGCCCAAATCGGCCATTGCTAGACTTAATCGTTGGTGGAGAGTACCCTAAGGCCGAACCTGTGAGCCATCGCCTTCAAAATCCAAGGAAAATGACCATTCCAAAAAATCGCCGAAATCGGTGATGGTACCCCTTTGGAATCTGGCAAAAATTGCCCCGGGAGTTTTCCGACCGAATCGCTGTTTGATAGACTTATTCATCCCTAAAGAATAGCCTCAGGCTGAATCCGTGATCCGCACCCTTCAAAATCCAAGGAAAATGGACTTTCGAAATTTTTTTACTTTTAATTACATTTTGGTACCCAAAACTTCTAAAAACACCACAAACCATAGTAATTCAATAAATATCATCTCAAACTTAGAAACCACCTTATAGGCACAAAATTAATATAATTGCTAGCAGAGTTTGATTTTCCATTCCCTCTTCTGTCCGATTCTATACATTTCAAATTTCCTTTGAATTACCTATATCGACAATTACCATCGTACAGCCCCTGACAACAATATATTGTTGTCACGTTTATCCCTTACAATCATAAATATAAACAATATCATAACACGAAATACAACAGATAACAACTCATCAATCGCAATTTAATATCATTAAACCAGCTCAGACCAAGTGCAGATCAGAAATCACATAAAAGGAAGAACAGCTCATGAAGAATCCGTTACCAACTGGCCTGAGGTTCCATTTCTGCAACTTGGAAGTTCTCTGCCAGAGGTTTCCATTGTTGATGAGGATTCTTCTGTATATACACAAACGTACGTCGAGGAGTATGCATGGATGCTGGCTGCTGGTAATATATCTCATGCATGGAAAATACTTTTGCAAGTAGACCAACTCACAAAAATGGTAAAATTCTTTACCTGCAAAAGTATTTTTCATGGCTGAAATATCAACCAATATATATATTATAAAGCTCTATCGCTCTCTCTGGATGCATGTTTATATATATAGCAAGCTAGGTGGTTTTGTGAGCAAACCGAGGAGCAAATTATAAAGAGGATCGAGGAGGAGCAAGAGGTCATCCTTCCTCTTTTGTCCTCTGATATGCATGCAATTTTAAAATGTCTCCATGCTGTTCTGAACTTTCAAATTCATTTTCTTTGAATTGGTGTAGGATTATAAAAATGAATCGATTTATATCGAATTTGTGGATTTTAGCCATTTGTATTTTTTTTATAAGGACGATATAGGTTAATTTTTATGATGAGATACTACTAAAAAGATTCGAACCTGTCGCCACTAGGTTCAAGGTTAGTGATATTATCACTAGACCGGCCAGTTCCTTTTATCCGTGTAATTGGTATAGTTCTTAAAATGAAGTATTTGTAATGTATTTGGGTAGTTATGGATTTGGAACGTTTATTGTTGGATATTAAGTATACATAGGGTTGTGGATTTAAATTTAGTATTTGGGAGATTTCAACAAAATGGTACATAAAATTATGGATTTGTCATGTAAGTTGAGTAACTTTGAAGACCCCATCGGGTTTTTTTAAGTAAATGAAACTTTTGGCTCACAATACCATTTTAAAGTGCGAAGTATTCAAAAAAAATTCAAATTTGTGAACGAAGTTGGTACATAAAAACTTATGCCATAAAGATGATTATGTTCGATCTCGCGTGTATTTTTTATTAGCTTAAACGAACACATCAAAGAGGAGTGTAAAGATTTTAAGAAAGGTGAAAATTTGATCGTTCGTAACAATCAAATGAGATCCCGAATCATTTCGTCAATGAGACTCAAATCCAAAATTCAAATTAATCTAGTTCTTATCGGTTAAAATTGTTCTTTTTTTACGGACGTGATTAAAAAAATTGATGTGGCAAAATCAAGTGCTCCTGAAAAGAAAGTAAAACAAGTGGAGGAATCTTGTTATCATCAATGGACTCCAATAATTCTTCTAGCAGTACCGGAGGGTATCTTATTGGTCAAGTTGACTCCAATCTTGTCGGGACATCAAGATTCAGTTAAGAGACCAAAGCTTTGTGGATTTCTATTCGTTAGCTGACAAATTGAGGGAAAGATTCGTTGAAATAAATAAAAGAGACGTATAGTAGTTATAACCTGGAGGATTTTTTTTTACCTCCAACCAGCCACACGGTATATTATTATTATGGGAAAATTTAGTTCCATATATATTTCCCCTTGAAATTTCATAAGGTTTTAGAGTTTGCTACGGTAATTTTGCTAAAACTCCAAATTATAGCAACGTCGATTCTAGCGAGTTAATCTTTGACGTTGAGTATACAGTACTATGAGTATTTCTAGTGATGTATTTATATTTAAACCATGACATAAATCGAATTTGGGATGTGATACTATACTATAATCTTTTATGAATAAATTTTAGGTCCCGATTCTTTAAACTCATGTATGAAGATCAGTTTAATATACAATAACAACCCCACGATTAGAATAGTTGAAGTAAATCCGATGATAAGATTATAAGAAATGTTGTATACTCTAAGAGTACGGCAACCGTTACTAAATGTTAAAAAAAATGAAGATCTATGAAAATTGGGCGAAAACTAATACTAACACCAAATTCAATTCTCATTGTCTTCTTAAAATAAAGGGTCGTCTCAATAAAATAACATAAAAACAAAACAATTCCGTTCACCCCTTATTGCCGAGGTTGCAACTCAAACATGAGGGTGAATTTTCGGGTTGGATATTAGGTGTCGTTTGGAGAATATGAGTATAAATCTATAGATTGTTCACAATCTAAAGATTCAAACTCTTCGGATTGTTGAAAATAGATTTTAAAATATTTATTGTTTGGTAACTGTGATTGTTAACATTCAAAGAAAATAAAATTTACAATTTTATATTAAATAACATGTTTATCTTTAGTAAGAAATTAGATTGGTTCTAGAAATATTAAAAACTTTGTTAATGTATATATTTAATGTGATAAATAAATAAAATGAAGAGAAAAAGTAGGAGAAAAAAATCTCACGAATCAAGATATAGAATCTCTCTGATTATGAGAGATTTGATATCCATAAATTTTAGAGATTTGAAATCCCTGAAGCTAAAATCCACACAACAAAAAACAACAAAAAAACATGATTTTCTACAAAATCTACGGATTCTACAAATCCACGCCCAGAATCCTGTTAATTCAATTTTTGCGAGTAAGTGTTTTAACCATTTGCCAAATTGGCCTTCGTCCAGCACCATCCGGTGTATTAGGGATAGAATGTCAGAGTAACTTTTTCATTTTGAATCGGATGGGAGTAAATATAATAGACCTTTATGGATACAATGACACAAGCATAGTTACCGTATATAAGATTTTCTCTTATTTCCTTCTCAGACAATGAGGACTTTTACAATGCTATATAGCATTGGTGCTATAGGTTTTTATTTTTATGGTACAACTTCAAATTGTACCTTTAATGTTATGGTACAACTTCAAATTGTACCTATACTTTTTGTGCAAATTCTTTTATGGTACAACTTGAACTTGTACCTTTATGTGATGGTACAACTTCGAGTTGTAAAGTTATACCGTAACATAATAATACAAATTCCTTTATGGTACAACATAAACTTGTATATTTGTTGTTATGGTACAACCTAAACTTGTACATTAAAGCACCAATATTATATAGCATAGTAGAAGTGCTCCTCAGACAATATGTATATATTATGATCATATATTTCAAGTTTTCAACTGGAAACACAAATGGTTTTACACTTTCACCCCACCTATACAACAAGCTACTACTCAAACTTACTAGGGTTTGATTTTCCTGGCAAAATGAGCATTCTTTCTAGTTTCTACACATGCATAGAGGTATCTATCTCCTAATTTTCTTCTTCTTGTTTCCTATTGAACCGGTTCGATGTTTTCATCGTTTTTGGAAATTGAGGAATTTGATAAGACATGTATAGGTCGCTCTTCTCTATAAGAGAAGAGAGTGATTCAGTGGTGCATTATAACTCCCGTGGGCCTTGGTGCCGAGTTGGGCTCAGAATTAGGGAATTATTTAGTTAATTATCATATTATTGTGGTTATTCGTATTAGTTTATTGTGTCTTGTTGAGTAAGTTATTAGTTACCTTGTTAGAGTGGGATAGGGTTAGCTATTAGGTTTTCTATGTTTTCCTATAAATATGTACTTTGCGATTCAGTTATTATCAATGAGAAGAAGAATAGTTCAGTTTATCGTTATGTTTCTCTAGGAGTAGTTGTAGTTAGCTAAAGATTCCCGATGCAGGAAATTATAATGCATCATTCAGCCCCCCTACTCGCATCACCGTCCCCCCACATCGGCTTTATATAATTGTTATACCGGACACATAAGCAAACTTCGTTGATTAACATAAGTGAAAAATATCACTCCAAATATGTCACATGAGCACGTAGTTAATAATCGTAAAATTTTTCGTTACCCGATATTCCAAAGTAAGTATTGACTTATACTTCATTATTATTTGTATTGCTTAGAACATATGAGAAGACCAAGCTTACTACATTAGTGTAACAAGGAGAACAATGTCAGTATTGCTTAGAACTTGTCAGGACCATCAGATTAATTAAACACAAGCATAGTTACCATATATAAGAGTTTCTTTTATTTCCTTCACAGACAATATGTATATTATTATGATCATATATTTCAACCGGAAACACAAATGGTTTTACACTTTCACCCACCTATACAACAAGCTACTGCTAGAACTTAATAGGATCTGATTTTTCTGGCAAAATGAGCATTCTTTCTATACATGCATAGAGGTATCTATCTCTTCAATTTTTTCTTCTTGTTTCCTATTGAACACGTTCGATGTTTTCATCGTTTCTGGAAATTGAGGAACTTGATACTGTAGGCAAACACAAAAATGAAGAGAAAGACACATACAAGGTGGGCAAACACAGCTTCCCCCAACTTGTCAAAGTCATAGCCAAAATTTTCTTTAAGGAACACATCCACCGGTACCAGTTCTGACGATGTAGGAACTTCTATGAGACTGTTTAGATCGCCAAACTGAGAAGTGAAAGTACCCTTGATTGTCCATGCAAGCGGGCACATCCAATAGTACCATCTCCACCACACTGGAATTTCCTGATTGTCAACAAAGGGGGAACGAAAATGTTCACTATACAATTAGAGATTTCTTTTCAAGTAACGAGTGTAAAAAGGATTCAAAATAGGGGGTATGTATGCATGGTCTAACTCAGTCTAGAATCATCTTAAAAGCTCAATCGATTTGATTCGGTTTTGGTACAACGTTCCTATGTTTCGAAAATACCCATGTAATCGAAACAAATAATCATTACGAATTTGGGAATCAAAGTAAAAGCATATTGTTTTTGTCCAATCCATTGGACCGACTAGTGTCCTTCCCCATACTGGGAGACAGAAGCTAGAAAACACCAAAGGAAATTTGGAGTTGAAGAACAGTAGACAACTTACCATTCTTGGAATGAAGATGCCGCTAAACAAGTTCCATACAGTTGTGAAGAACAACATTACGATGGAAGCAATCTCTAGATTTGGAGACACAGAAACCGTCATCATTCCATATATAGAGAAGTATGTGAAGCACATGAAGAGGAAGTAGTAGAAGTAGGCGAACTTCTCGAAACTCCAATGATAGCCAATCATTGAGTACAAAAGAATGGCATAGATCATGGATTGCATAGAGACATAGATCGCCTCTATGAAAACCTATTCCAAATAACGAATGATCATTAGTTAGGTTGTGTCAGCTGTAAGAACTTTGTTGATTACTACCTTCAAATGTACTTACTTGAGCAAATGCGTAAGGTAATGCTGAGTACATTCCGGCTGCTCTTTCGCGATAAAACACTGTTCTTTCCATTGCTACAACGGGTTGTATTGCAGCTGCATTGCTTGCACCGAGGAAAAGGAGAGCAGCGTAAGTCGCTCCAAGAAGATTTATTAGGTCTTGTTGTTTATGTCTGCAAAAAAAAAAATTAAAGAGGATCAACAAATCATTCTGTTTAGAAATACAAGATTTTTTTTGGAAAGCAAAATGTTTGAAATGTACATTTTGTCTCCCTTGCTCCAAAAAACAATACCAAACATGATTCCAATGACTATTGTCACATAAAATCGGATAGCATTATATTGTGAGTTCCTCCAATACGACAAATGTTGTTTCCAAAGACACGCTTTGCATTGAGTGAAGAAATTCTGTGAGAATCGAGTTGGAAAGTGGAGATTCTCAGAAGCTGCAGTTGGAGTACTTAGTTCTTTGATGAGCTCCTCATTCCGCCTGTGTGCATAAACCCAAATTGTTAAAAGTGCCGAACTTTTAGAAAATTAAACACAACATGATGCTAATTATCTCTACCTGTAGAGATCGGAACTTGCATAAATTTCAGCAAAGTCAACACGAAGTTTTGCCTCGACTGTAGTAGAGGTGACTTCCAGCATCCAGGTAGCTGGATTATAGCCTTCCGCGATCTTGGTCACTCCTGGAATGGTCTAAAAGAACATAGGAACTTAATGTGATATTACAAACAAAAAAAATCGAGTCAATTAGTTCAATATATGAAGAAGATGCCTATAGTGATAGCTAACCTCAAAATATCGAACTAACTCGATAGACTCATGGCCTAAAGGGCCAGCATATATCACTCTCCCTCCTCTTTTCATCAACAATAACTGCATCAATAGATGATTACATTTGATTGTTATCAACACAAAGAAATCAATTGAAGTTGTGATGGTATCATAGATTAACAAAAAAAAATTGATAAGTACCTCATCAAAAGCTTCAAAGATACCAATGCTAGGTTGGTGAATCGTGCAGACAACTGTTCGACCTGTGTCCACTGTATTCCTTACAGTACGCATAACTATAGCTGCAGCTCTAGCATCAAGGCCTGATGTAGGCTCATCCATGAAAATTATAGAGGGATTAGCGACTAATTCCACTGCTATAGTCAACCTCTTTCTTTGTTCTGTTGAAAGTCCGTTCACTCCCGGGTCTCCCACAAGAGAATTCCTTATTGGGTTTAGCTCAATCAACTCCATAACTTCTTCCACAAACATCTGGAGAAAAAATTTCAATTAGCAAAAATAGGGGAGAAAAGAAGTTAGTAATCCAATTACGATGTTGTTAGATCACTTGCCTTTCTAGTTTCTGCATCTATATCAGACGTTAGGCGTAACCAAGCGGAGAAAATAAGGGACTCATAAACAGTAACGTAAGGTGAATGAATGTCATTCTGCTCACAGTAACCAGCGACTCGAGCAAAAGTGTCTTGGTTTTTTGGGTAGCCTGATACACTTATGGTTCCTTCAATGTATCCACCAGTTTTTCGTCCTGCTAGCACGTCCATCAAAGTGGTCTTCCCAGCCCCACTAGCTCCAACTAATGCTGTCAAAACACAAGGTCTGAAAGCACCACTAACATCTTGTAGTAGTCGTAATCTACTCTCTTCAAATCCTTTACTCTTCATTCCCTACAATGCCACAAAAATAAATTATTATTTTATACAAAGAAATCTAGTAAAAATCTCAATATTACATCTATGAATTCAAACCATTGCTACTTACAGCAGGCATATCCACATAATAATTCATATGGTGGAAAGCAAGCGAAAGAGGTTGGAAAGGTAGAACCATCCCCTTCTTAGTTCGATGCTCAATATCATTGTTAATGTCATCAATGCTTCCTACGTAATTCTTGTCCTCCAAGTCAATGTTTTCTGTAAGGCCGACAAATTATCAATTTTGATAAATGGAGAGACAAGTTTCAAGCATGTTCAATCAATAGAGGACTTACCTTTTAATCTGGGAGCCAATGGAATATGTCCTTCATCTGTTGTTTTCTTCTCTACAAGCACAACCTTATTATCGCCAAGAGCTTAATGAAAATGAAGAATAATGATTCGTTAGTACTCAGTACAAGTTTCAACATTGTATCAGTATCAAATATGAAGAATTTTGACGTTTTCACTTACGTTTAAGGTACTTCAAGGCTAGAATGAAGAGTAGATTGAAAAGAAGACAAAACCCAAAAAGTGCCACAATAGAAATCCAATACCATCTCTCTGTTGTAAACATGCCTCTCTGCTCAAGGAAGGCAATACCAATACTTGGTTCTGTAGAGTTACCTATAGGCTGATAAACAAGTAGAATATGGTTAGTAACATAGAAGCAACAGTTAGTAAGTGATTGCATGAAAGTTGAGTAGATTTCAAAATATGAATACGAGTTTAGCCGTTGACGTAATTCAACTGAATCACTTACCATATTCCATCTCTCATGGAGAAACTCATTGATAGCAATTGCATTTTGACCGTACATCACAGGGGAAATATAGTAACCCCATCTTATCCATGAAGCAATGTCATCTGTACAAACAACATAAGATCAATCATTCAACAATACAATTATGGAAATGCTTAGATTAGAAATAGAGGTTTGAGTTTTTGTTAGTTATGGTCATACATCTTGCAACAATGTAGCCTCCGAGCACAAAGAAGACTAACAAGGCAAATGTAGCAATTGTAGTCGCAATAACCTCTATCCTTCCCAATACTCCTGCAAAATGGTATAGAGATAGAGACATTTGGTGGATTCCGAATAAGGCCAAAAACTGCTTCAAGAACCTGATTAAGCAAAATAAAAGTATATCAATACCTAGTAGTCCATTAAAACTGTTGCAGTGGAATACTTAAAATTGTTTCAAATGCTACATTACTCGTGATACCTGCAAGCGCCTGGTGCAAATCCAATGGGATAATATGTGATGATTGACAAAATTCCAGACTCCATCAATGAGACAGGAATGCTGAGCAACCAAATGGGCAGTGCAAATGCCCATGCAGGGTAGAACAAGAGATCCCTTTGCTTGAAGAACACAGGGAGTTTCATGGTAGTCATTGCAATTTCTGGTAACCCATTGAACAAAACGTTATTCAGACTGAAAAACAAAGCTCCCCCGTATTTGGCCGCACCTTCCATCTGACCAGATTCCATTTTTGTCCTCACAAACACAGAAGATGCTAGCATAGCCATGATAGCTATTTGCACCGTCTTGAACACAAAAACAATAGAGTTGCGCTTCATCCACAACCATTCCCTTGCAAAACATGCTCTGAAGAGTTCCCATTTGGAGATAGCATACTTCATTCTCTCCAAAGCAGCAGGGTGAGTGCCACCCTTATCAAAGGGATGCCTAAGCTCTTCAAAAAGATCCTTACCAATGTAAAACGATTTGAAGGCACTTACAAACTCCGTGACTGGTACATATCTGTAAGGTTTGTTTCCATCAAACCAGTAATATAACTGATCCTTGGCAGAAGTAACTTCCTGTAAGAAATCAGCAGTCCCTTTCCTCTCTGGACATTTGAACCCCATAGACTCGAAAAACTCGAGAACATTTTCTGTCGGACCTTGGTAGACAATCTTTCCCTCAGAGAGTAAGATAATGTCATCAAATAGATCAAATGTCTCGGGTGCGGGTTGCAAAAGAGAGATTACAAGGGTCTCGTCCATGATATGTGCTATCTGCTTAAGATAATTGACGATTTGGTAAGTCGTAGAGCTGTCTAGCCCAGTTGATATCTCATCCATGAAAAATACTTTCGCAGGTCCGGTTAACATCTCCCCTGTAGTCACTCGTTTCTTTTGTCCACCAGAGATGCCTCTCCTCATTTCATCTCCAACTACAGTATCAACACATATATCCAATCCCAGAATCTACAACAAATGTTCAAACTAGGGTTATAAAAGAGACTCATTCATGATAGAAAATCCCAAAAAAGATAAACCCACCAACCAACCTTGATAACGTAGTCGATGAATAAGCTAGCTCGTTTGGTAGCCACCGTGGTCGCTTTCATAAATGCATCCACATCAAAATTAGGGACAATGCCAGCAGTTTTCTCCCGTCTCAACAACTCTTCCAGCATCATTTGACGGCTTCCAACTCCTAAGCATCGCCGAGAGAACTCCAACGTTTCTCGCACTGTCATCTCGCCGTAGTGAAGGTCGTGCTGGCTAATGTAAGCGGAGGTTCGTTGAGGGATGAATTCGGTGAAATCATGCCCACAATATGTGATTTCTCCTGAAACCTAGAATTCAAAGTGTTTTTTTTAAAGAAAATGAGAACTGAAATTAAACAGCCTAACCGTGGAAAAAGGAGAGGAAAAATAAATTGAAAAACTATGCAGGCGAACCTTTAGGTTTTTGTCGAGTTTTCCGGCGAGTGCCTTCAAGAGCGTGGTTTTGCCGGATCCGGGAGGTCCAAGAAGCAATGTCAATCTGGAAAATCGGAATTGGGGGAAGAAGTTAGGGATGGAAAACACGAGTCGCCATTGGCGAGCAATTGGAGAGAACAAAAGAAAAGCAATCAAGCATTGGAAACAAAAATGGCTTTTGTGATCAGACCTTGATGGCTTCACTATCCCGCTGACATCTTGGAGTATCTTAACGGTTGTTTTCTTCGATGATGAAAGCCCGATGATTTTAAGAACTCCCTGTAATTTGCCATTGAAATGAGCACAAACGAAGTTGAGTAGCTTTGCATATGTAGTTACTGGGAGGGAAACAGTGTGTAATGTCTGTTTGTTTTTTGTTGTTGAAGTTTTAACGACGGCTTGGGAATGCAAAGAGGAGGGAGGGTAGTGGATGCCTGGATGGCAATGAGACGGGTGGGACAAATCAAAATTCAAAAGTAATATTTTATTTTAACAGTTATTAGTGTTGGGCTTTTATTAAATTAATGCACTAACAAGGCCCAACACTTTGGGTTCTGTGGGCCTTACTATTTTATTTTGTTAGATTTATTTCAAATTTTGTGGGCACATTTTGTTTTTTTTTTTTTGGTAAGAGGGCACATTTTGTTTTCAGAGTAGAGCTCCAACACTACAGAACCGACCGAGTTGAGTAACTCATCTAAACAAAGATTCCAATTATCTGGTAATTAAGTTACATAATTTTGTACTTTGTAAAAAATAGTCTTTTTTTTTTTGCATGATACAGTAACACAATTTTGAATTTGTACGAAACGGTGATTTCCATCCATCTCCAAAAACTCAAACTCCTTTCCTCAATCTCATTCAATCATAAATTCATAATCCATAAACAAACTCTCTATAAAATAAACAAATAATCCATAAACAAACCGAGTACTAGTAAAAAGGTGCATATTAGTTGAACTGAAGTTACCTCAATTGCGTTAAGGGTCGAGTTGAGCAAGGTTGGGAGAGCCCTATTCCCAACATACGCCTCGCCTTCAATCGACAAACTCTGGAACCGGACTTCAATTTTCGGAATTGCAATTCCCACCCTGAAATACATGCACCAAATTAGTCGTAATTATCACCCCCGCAAAAAAAAATCTCGTATCGAATAAACTATTCAAACGAGACTAGCTTTTGTATAAACCAACGTGTTGAATCACGCCACACATGATCTAAAACTCGCAAGTAATGAATCTCCATATCATAAATCAACCGGTCTCAATAACTGGAGTTACTGGGAAAGATCCATGTATGATACTTAACCTCTTCTTTATAGGCCGTTCAAACGAAAGCCAACTCACGAGCTTAAAGTTTGCACAGACTCATCGCATACCATGTGTTTTAAGGACAAAGGTTAATATTAAACATCCTAATGACTTAACTAACACACGTGACCGGTGACCTCAACGACAAACCGACTCCGATACCATATCATAAACACCCAAGATAGTAATGAAAGACGACAGTGGTATAAACGAACCGATCTCAATAACTCGAGTTATTAAGAAAGGTTGGTTCATGTATAATACTTAATCACTTCCTTTCAAGCCCCTCGAACGAAAACAAACTCATGAGCCTGAAATATGCACGTACGGGCACCACCATACCATATATATACTTTAAAAACGAAAATTTGAACACGTGAACAAACCAACCCTGATACCATATCATAAACCGCGTAAAACCTTTCATCCATTACTTACCTATCGATCCTCTTCCGAATGGTACGCAAGAGATCCTCGTTGTCGGTCTCCGGAACCTTGAGCAAGCTCTCCAACAACATCACCTTGTCCTTCACCTCCATCTTCCTCACGTCCACCTCCACCGGCACCACCACCCCTCCGCCCTCCCCGTACCTCTTCAGCACGATCCCTTTCCTCACCCTCCTCCTCGTCGGCAGCCGCTCGATCGCCGCCCACCGCAGCTCCTCCTCCTCCGCCGCCGCCTCCTCGGACGACCCAAGGCTGCTCCGACGCATACTCTCAAACACCGCGTCGCTACTCTCCTCCTCCCTCCCACTACTACTCCCCGACGACTGCATTGCCCCCTCCTCCTCCTCCTCGGCCAACACCCTCCCCGCCATTTGCGAAAGGCGTCTATACGATAAAATTGGAACGATGGATGGCTAGCTTCACCAGTAAAACGAGAGGCCAATGGTGTGAGAAGGGGGAGATCAAGGCCAAGTCTTATAGGTAAAACACAGAAGAGAAGGGAGCGTTTTGTTCGGCTCGAATTCTTTGCTTTCGATGAGCTGTTTAGTAACGTTCTCTTGCTCGATCGTGCCATAGGGGATTTAATAATGTTTTTTCTTTGGTGGTGGAGAGGCGTACGCCAATGGCGGAGGTGAGGTGTTGCCAAAGATGGCCGACTTTGGCATAGTTTTTTTCTTTTTTTGGCGGTTGGATGTATGCTTTGGGGGCCGTCGAAGGAATCTTAACGTATGGTAGGCCGTCTTTGGTTGGATCTTTTTGAAGAGAGTTGCATTAATTAGGAATGGTTCGTTCTTCATGATGGTGCATTTGTAGTTGCTACGTGGATCGATCCATATAAAATAGCCGACAATGTGGGCGTATAGCCGATTAGCTAGAGAACACGAATGAGGATTTTGTGCCGTGAGGTAAAAGTTGGCATTAGGGGATGACAATTTCAACATTGGCCTATTTGATTTGATTTGTTTCACTTGTTTTTGGGTGGTAAAGTAGGGCGTGAGATGGGACATGGATATACTACTATGCTTAATCCGTCTTATTTTCGATCCAATTTTTTTTTCTCTCTAAATAATATGTCACGCACGGATTGGGGGCAATCGATAATGCAAGAATGAAAATGATAGCGCGAGGAAAGTAGAAAACACGCATATTTACATGTGGTTCGCTAACACAACGTGGGTTAATTAGCTAGTCCATACGGGCGGGAGAGATCAAGCTTTCATTATACTTGAGGAGAGATACAGATTACAACGAGATCCCCATCCGTGACTTCCGGTACTCGAATGCTGATAATCCGATTAAACCATATCGACAATATAGTTCTCTTTTTTACCATTGTAAGCGAATTCATCGGTCCCGGTATTCCAGCAAAAGGATAGACACGGCTGAAGCACCCGCGCCTGCGCTCTCGCGATCCGAAGGTCATAGGAAAGGTTACTCAAGTTAGTTAGAAATTTACTTTACATTACCTCATATTTTAGCGACACTAAAGTTGTAAACAGGCGAGAACTTCAATTTCTCTAGTTATTTAACTACATTTTATCGTGTTATAGTTTGTTTCTTGATTTTTTAATGAAAGTTCAATATTTTTCTACATTACCCACCATGATAAATTATTTGATGTACGATCAAACGAATATCGGCTTACCCCCAACCTGTCCCATTGACATTTGTACTTGAGGTAGTATCGATGATATGGATTGGAGGCATAGTAGCGGAATGCATTATTACCAAGATTGTCTTGTTTACAATGCAAGTTTGTATGGACTCTGCCATGTCAAGGTAACAATGTATACCAAAAAGGAAAATTTGTTATATTTTTTATGCATACTAGGTGAATTATGTGCCGCGTTTCGCTGCAGCTTCCCATATGATTAGATATATTGTTTGTTAACCCGTATTTGATTTGTAACCGTGTTTAGCAGTGGTCTAGTAGAAAAACTTCTACCGGAATCTAAATTGTTAGGAGATTTTAATTGTATGCAATGATTTAATCACAGTTGAACTTCAATTTTAGAAGAAAATACCCTTATGCTAACTTTTTCGGTAAGACCTTCGGTATGGTTTTACAATTTTTTTCTGTTTTTCCTGAACATGCATTGTAGCTCGGGTTGGAGCAACGTGTCAACCCTGATTTAACGACGATTGAACTTTGATTTTAGCACAAAATATCATAATTCTAACTTTCCCAGTCGTAAAATCTCATCTACGAGGGGGAAATGTACTAGCAGCCAATTTTACCTCTTTTAACTAGAGTACCACCTTCGATGTGGTTTTACAATTTTTGTTAGTTTTTTTTCTTGAACATAAATCAAGGCTCAGCTTGGAAGCAATGTGTCAAGCCTGATCTTAACACGGTTGAACTACAATTTTAGTACAAAATACTGTAATACTAACTTTATCCGTACAACCTTAGGTATGGTTTTACAATTTTGGTTTTTTAACATCATTCGAGGCTCGGTTGGAGCAACATGTCAAGCCGTATTTAATCGCGGTTGAACTACGATTGTACCATACTGACGGTGCAATCAAAAAAGTCCTAACGAAATCTAAATCGGTAGGTGATTTTAGTTGTATGAAATATTTGACGACAATTGTACTACAGTTTTAGGACAAAATGCTCTAATGCTAACTCTTTCGGTACGACCATAGGAATGGTTTAAAAAAAAAATCTGAACATGCATCGAGGCTTTGGTTGATGCAAACTGTCAAGCCTGATCTAACCACTATTGAACTACGATTTTAGCACAAAGTACCCTAATGCTAACTATCAGTAGTGTTCGAGGTTGTGAATCCAGTTTGGCCCATTGACCCGGTCGAGTTAGTGAGTCAAGAATTAATAAGTATTTGTGAAACCATACGGTATTGGTGGTTCGGCCATAAAAATATTCTAACGGTAGGTGGTTTTTAACCTATGAAATGGTTAAACCATAGTTGAACCACGACTTCGATACAAAATACTCTACCACTAACTTTTTTGGTACAACCTCTAATACCAAACCTTCAAATTAATCCCATGCAAACCAAATAATTGTTTGTGAAACCATACGGTATTGGCAGTTCGACCATACAAATATTCTATCGGTAGGTGATTTTTAACGTATGAAATGGTTGAATCACAACTTCGATACAAAATACCCTACTGCTAACTTTTTTAATACAACCTCTAATACCAAATCTTCAAACTAATCTCAAATTTTCAAATTAATCTCATGCAAACCATAAAATAAATAAAAAAATGCCACTACTTAAAGGGACACGCATAAGTGACAGGAGAGGAACTATTTTACATGGAAGCGGAATTCTTGCGGGTGAACTAAAATGATGACAGCTTGTTTATATTAGCAACACTCTTATGGAACAGTAACACAATTGTATCTTTAATAATATTCATAGATAAGCGGAATTTTATTCAGCAAAAGAGTTCAGGGTCGATAAGAAATGGATGAATTCCAAAGGACTCTGTTAAAATAATTGGTGACTTTTCGACACTTGAATTAATGAATTTAGAGTAATGTTTACTTCCACAACTAATGGCGATAAAATTATTGCAAACCAAAGTACAATGCACATACAACTCTATTATATTAGGACAAAAAGTCAAAACCTTGTTTTCGTTTCTTTCTCTGCCTTCTCTTGTTTTAGTATCGTTGTTTCTCTTCTTTCTTTCGGCTCATGCCATTGCCAGCTGTGGTGGAGATTTTGTACATTTCTCTGCCACCTTTTAATTTTCTTTTTTATTATTAATATACATCGTTCCGTCTTATGTATGTTAGACTTGCGAAAATTCTATCGTACGAGTTTTGATATTTAGATCATGAATTAACCGAATTCGTACATAATATTATATAATTTTCTCTATTCGATGAACCTCAATCCCAAATTCTCTACCAAAATTGTAAGAATTACTTAATTTATAAATATAACGAATCGAAATATAATGAAGTACATTTAATAGATGTCCACGCAACAATGTTAATTATTGCTATAAAAGCTTATCAGACAGCTAGCTTTCTTGAAAGTAAAACAATGCCCACGCAACAATGTGAAGTAGTTGGGCTCAAGTTCGTTTGTTTGTACTGTTTCCAGGTTCCAAAATCATAGTTTCCAGGGTTTGAAACTCCCGAGAAAACTCCAAAACAAACAGTCCTTTCTTTTTCAATGCGAGGAGAAGTAAAACCTCATCAAGATCAAGTTAATCAGCATCAAGAAACTACCATCAGTCAAGAACCTGCATCATCATCATCAGGATCCATTACCATAATTTTTGTGGCTCCAATCGGGTTTAATTGAGAAAGCAAAGAAACAGGGGTTTGTTTACCCAAATTTCACCTTTCTCTCCTGTGTGACATACAACTTGACATTAATTTTGTATAGCCTTTCCCTAGCAGTCGATGTCGTAGTGGTGGATCTGGTGCCGATCTTAGATGTCCAAGAAATTCCTTCAACTATCGATTCGTATTTTCCAAAATTTCTCCCTCTTCATATTTCTACTTATTCCAAATCTCACAGTTACTTTCATCTCAAATGAACTAGAAATAGTCATCAAAAAATTATCCAACTGTCCATCCGACACCATCTCTTCGAGAGTACAGTACCATTCGTTACAAGTAAGTTATTCACCCTTTAACAAATCTAAAATAGGACTAGGCATCCGCACCCTTCTCTGTCATCAAACCACACTTCCCAAAGATGTGTTCTTGATATTCCTTAAATTGCATAAATGACATTCCATCACATTTACGTGGTATTCGATCCTTACCTCCTGTCACAAGTACATAGTTAAACTTTTCTCCTTAAATTTTTAGTAGAGTTATTAATAGTGCATCCCACAAATTATTAAAAGCTCAAAGTCACGTTAATAAAGAAAAAGATGGGGTAACTGACACATTTGGTCACTGAGATTATTAAATTGTGTCATGTTTAGTCACTAGAAAATTTTAATATCAATTTTGGTCACTCGAATTACCGAAACTGGTCAAATTTAGTCACTCTCCCGTCAGTTTCCGTCCAACTCCATTAATGTAGTTGGACGGAAACTTTTGAGAGAGTGACTAAATGTGACATGTTTCAGTAATCCGAGTGACTAAATGTGATACTTTTCAATAATTCGAGTGACCGGAGTTGAACGGAGACTACAGAAGAGTGACCAAATGTGACCTGTTTCAGTAATTCGAGTGACCAAAATTGATATTAAATTTTTCTAGTGACTAAATATGACACGATTTAGTAATCTCAGTGATCAAATGTGTCATTTACCCGAAAAAGATGATTGCAAAAGTTGATCATTGAATTAACATGAAAAGTCTAAAATACCAATAAAACACTGAAGCCCTCATTTTCGATGACAAAACAGAAATTGGCACTAATCCAATCTAAACTCTATTTTTTTATACAAACCTTGTTTGTTTGGACTGTTTTGACTGTTTCCCCACAACATAGCTTTTAGTGTCCAAGTAAAAGAAATAAATTTTTAGTTTCTAGAAGTTTAAGGAACACTGAGTACTGAGTAGATACCACCTATAAAAGTTGAGGACAAGTTTGTTTGTTTGGACTGTTTCTGTTTCCCCACACACTGTTTGCAGTTTTTAAAATTCTTAGATAAGTAGATAACTTCAAAACGAACAACCCTTATTTTAACTTTGAGGAGAAGTGAAACCTGAAGTTTATCATATACAATCCGGACAAACTCAATTCAAGATCACAAAGCAACTGTTCAATACTTTCTATATCTCAACGTTCACTCAACCAGTCAGTCAACAACTCCATATCATTTGATCCATTAACAAAACTCGATAACTTCAGGATACTGAAGCTATAACACTACACATGCTGAGTAGTTACTGTGTTGATCATTTTCCGCTATGCAGAGAGATTACTTAAAGAAGAGGATATTCGGACCTGGGCTCCGAATACAGCTTCAAGAAGGAGACAGAAGGGTTTCTTCCTTAGCAGCGGCAGCAATCAATCTCCACTTGCGCAACCCTTGCAGCCACAGTGTACACATTCAACAGCCTGCTCGTCCCTCAGATTCTGAGGAACTCTGCACACACACGTCGTGCCAAAGTTGTGATCCCTCGTCTGCATGCATCGGAGGCAGCACAGTCGTTCATATCCTGGCTGCAATTCCAAACAACAGAGTTCTGTTATCAATTGCGAACCATTGCCCAGTAGGAAAGAAAGAAAAGAAAAAAAACTTCTGTCAAGTGCAAGTCCAAGTATAAACACGAGCCTTCTTAAACACGAAAATATTGTCACAGGTGCTGAAGCAGCACCCCTTGTTCAAAATGTGGAGAACAGCTTAATCATTCAAGAAACCAAGCTTATAATGACATGAGCTTTACTAGAATCCCCAGAGTCGAAAAGCCTTGATGCACAAATTAAGGTGATTCATGGAAAGCACATACCTTTTTCCATTTGGCGATAAGGTTCTTGTCCCCATAGCCTTGGTCCAAGCAGAACTCAAAGAGCTCCTTGGATATCTCATTCTTGTTGTAGTAGAGGTCGAAAATGTATCGGCTTCTCTGATGGGAAACCTTGAAAATAGGCCACAGAGTTTCGCACTTCCTCTTCCCATCGTGAGGATCAGTTTCCGCTGCCAAAATGTCAAGAGGATGATTCATTAGCCGCCATGTTAAAACAACAAGTAAAAGAGATCGAAAAACAAGCATAACTGAAAGGGAGTGGGATTGAAGGGAAAAAGTAAAACGATCAACAAACCTTCCTTCATCTTGGCATCTAGCTCTCGAAGGGTGGGCTCAATCAGCTCCCATCCATCAGGATACTGCGTACGGTTTGTTCTCACCTTCGGCATCACTCTACCTCACTGCAGTTGGGGCAATGCAAAAAGCAAGTACATTCACTGCCCTCAAACCAAGTTCATCCCACCAACTAGTACAAATTAAATAAGGAAAACAGTAACTGAAACGCCAGTCCAGAATTCCTCAATAGATGCGATGGCTCGATCTCGTAACAGCAACTTTGCATAGTTCATTGTGCAGAGCTCCACCAACAGAGTACAACTAAAGAGTATGCAACCCTAGAAGCAGATAGAGCGAACAAATCCTTAGATGGTCGAACAACCGCCACTTATTCGAATTTTCCGAAGAGTGCAATAATGCATTTCTCAAGCTCCAAAAACGGCCGCCTGTCTATTGGTCACCATTTAACCTAGCGACATCCAGGATGCAGATGCTACCCGATTATGTTATATGAACCGAGTAAGGAAACCTCCTATACAGAAGAAGCCGTAATACTCTAATATCAAGCGGAATCAACAATCAACATTTTCTTCTACTTGTTCTCTTTGTACCGCCATATCAAAGATCCGAACAGTGTAAAGGTCTTGAGCAGACTAGGAGCGAGAATAAGTGGAATGGCGGGAGATGGAGGTTGAGAATCACATACCAGTGAACACTGGGGCGGTGAATGAAACGAGCGGTAGTGAGCGCGGCGGAGACGAAGCCCTAACAGATGACGATGATGATGACGCTTCTTCGCTGAAACTTATGCGGGTGCAGCAGGAGAGGAGCGCTTTCCTTCCACCCAGCAAAACTTTGCTTCGTTTCAGCGGAGTGACAGTCGATTCTTTTGCTAACAAGCCCTTTTGCTCACGAAGGCGGAAATCAGGGTGAATTACCATGAAACCACTTAATTTAGAGGTTGATAAACATTAGTCATCGTACCCAAATTTCAATCAATAAGTTACTTAAATTATTGGTTAATCACTTCTTCAATCAATAAGTTACTTAAATTATTGATTAATCACTTCTTTAACATCTAGTTGTTTATGATATTATATCATACCGACCACCTATATCAATGAATTGTTTCCATCAACAAACAGTCGGCGAAGCACAACCTAAAAACAAAGCCAATAGATCACAAGAGCCAAGATACCAACTGAAGCACCAACACCGTCACTAGCGTAGAGCACTGAAACTTACAAGTAGTAACCGAAGAGGGCAAGCAAAAAGATAGCACCTTTATATGATCCAAAAGAAAATAATGGCATCAAGAGAAGAAATTTTTGGGCAAACAATGCCATCAAGAGAGAAGAGCTTTCAACTTCTGGAAGGGTGGTAGTAGCTACATTACTGTAATTATTAAGCGAGGCGGTACTAAACAAGAAATTCAAAAGCCAGCAGTCTGTGTTGACATGCCAAAAGTAAAATAGTTGTCCTCAAGGATGAGAAAAGAACACACTGCCTCTTCATTCTTTCTTTCCGATCCCATGAGACATGTTGTAGATTCCGCGTCCCTGAAAAAACACAGCAGCACAAACGAGTTGGTTGCTATGTTTTGTAGGCATACCACTAACTAACGAAGTTCAGGTTAACTGCAGAAAGTAAAATGGACTCACAATAAGAAACAGAGAGCTGGCGGCCAATGCTATGGGGATAGCAACAGAGGTGACCTTGTCAAAAGGGCCTTTCAAGTAAGTATGCTTGTGGATGTTCTGGAAATACCTCTGCTTCTCAAGAAGCTTCTCCCTTGGTCTGAAAGGTGATTCTGCTTCAACCATTCTGCATTTCAAGTTAGAAGGTAAGTAAACTCAATAAGCACATGGAAGTTACATTGCATTCCATGATGGAAACACTAACAAACATAGCTAACAAAAAGCTGAACTGACACAAGTAGATCAATAGCGCAGAACGTGGTTCGAGCTTCAACGATAGAGTAAACATGGATGACAGCGACAAAAAGGAAACAATTTAATAGTTAGATAACTACAGAAACGAATACCAGGGCAGTCGCCAAACAGGAAACGGGCACTACTGTGCAGCCATTGCATACACAGGCAAACTGGCTGCCCTAATCTCTGCAATTTTCTCTCATCTAAGTCGCGCTGAGCATCAAAAAATATAATAATCGCTGATCCTAAAGAAACACATTTTGCTCAATGGCATAATCTGCAGCACATCTCTTCCCAATTCCCATCAAGGCAAGTGGAATCACCATCCATTTCAAACACCCGTCTGACCCGAAAGGGGCTAGAAAGGCTCCAAATGCAAAACTTGGGAGATCAACACGAGATACAATTGACTCTTCTCGGCACCCAAATAAAAAAGAACAAGACTTTAGCCGCAAAGTTCCCATACCCTTTTCGATTTTAGTAATTCAGACACCTAAAACACTAGGGGATAAATACGTTCAAACAAAGATCCAATCACGATTCGAACAATTCAACAAGTACCAGTCGATTCAATCAACAAACGACAACTGAATCACAGACAGTAATCTTCCGTTCCCGGACATCGCATCCACAAAACAAAATCTGAAAACATCATCGAGTGTAACCCTAAATCTAAACAAGAACTAGATAAAAGAAAAAGGATTTGATTGAGCAGTCGAGAACGGCGTGGGCAGAATTCAATAGACTTACTTGGCGCTAGGGCTGCGAAGGGAACCGGAGGTCGCAGTGGATCGGCGAGGAAGCTGATTGAGAAGCGCGACGGAATTCACAGGCGAACAAATGAAGATGCCGAGAAGAGTCGGAGATGCGATAGAACCCCTACACAGCTATGTGGGAAAGGGGGGAAGAAGAAGTCAGCAACTGGCTAAAGCAATTGGGCTGGGACCATGAAACTCGGGCAGACGGCCCATGTTTTCGGCCCACTACTCTGTTACGCCATGGGCTTTCGCTGATGCTTTCGTCCGGCTAATAGTACGCTGCGTTTAGTTTCCTAGAGCTTCCATCTTCTGCGTTGGTTGGCTCTTGGCTGGCTCTCTGCTCTCGGCGTGAATGGGAACTCTTTCGCTTTGACTGTCGAGCTCTGGCGGCAATGGCGGAAGAGTCTTGGTAGCCAATTTTTTTTACTGTTTCCGTTCTTTTCATCTCTCGTTTAACTGATTCTCTGCAACCATGCGCTCCAAAGACAAAATCGCATATTTTTATGATGGTATGGTGCTTTCTTCCTTGCTCTTTCCTTCCCGTTTCTTTCTGCTGCCGATAGGTAATGATTCAAAGCTATATAGGCGAAATACTGGAGGGTAGGAACTGTTTCCAATTAGCTATGTCGTAAGCCGAATCGTTTGGAGAAAACAGTTTGTTCATGGTAGTTCTGGGAACCCTCTAAAACCCTCCTTGTTAGGATGTCTCTAGCTAGGTTCGGAAGAACTGGTTTTGATTGTTGGACTCATTAGGGATATGGAGGTTTTGAAGTTTTGCACCAGCAAGATTGTAACTTTTGGATTTTGGTGAGATTGGCTCTAAATGGTTTGATCAAGTAGTGTGCAAATTTTTATGGTGTTGAGGTATTTGTGATGTTTTCTTTGTCTAAACAATTCTGATCTTTTGTTATCGACGTTGCAGGGGACGTGGGTAGTGTTTACTTTGGACCAAACCATCCCATGAAACCGCACAGGCTGTGTATGACCCACCATCTTGTTCTTTCTTATGACCTTCACAAGAAGATGGAGATTTATGTTAGTCTTTAGTGTTTGCTGTATATGATTTCCTTTTCCTTTTTACTTCTAACGACAGTGATGAAACTTTTGGATTACTCTTATTATGTGTTGTCTGGTGCAGAGGCCTCACAAGGCATACCCCAGTGAGCTGGCTCAGTTCCATTCCGAGGATTATGTTGAATTTCTACATCGGATTAGACCTGATACGCAGAACTCGTTCAGAACTGAATTAGCTAGATGTATGTCTTACCCCCAAAATGAGTTAGACTCAATTACGTGCTTTCGTGCCTACTTTTTTATTGTGCTGCATTCTGAAAGTGTGCGACGTTATTGATTCTGGTTGATTTTGCCAATGGAAAATGCCTTGATGTATTTTAAGTGTTTCAAAGCTGTGAAGTAAATATGTAAGTGAAGCAATTGTGGCAGACTTGTAACTTTCATTTGGATACAGCCTGCATTTCAATGATTTGAAATACTGCATTTCATAATTGTTAGTCTGGTTACCTGTTTCTATTCTTGCTCATATGTCCACTTGTACTTCGCCCAGATGAAGCAACTTATGATTGAGAGCATTCTTTGATAAAAATACTCTCTGTTTAATGATATTTGCTTCATGGCTTCTTTTTTCCAGTTAATCTTGGAGAAGATTGCCCTGTTTTCGAAAATCTGTTTGAATTTTGTCAAATTTATACTGGAGGAACTATAGGTAAGTCGAAAGCAAGCTGACTTTTTAACTTGTACTTTTGTCATATTCATTATTGATAACTCGAGCTCTCAACACTGTTAACAGATGCGGCTCGCAGATTGAATAACCAACTATGCGATGTTGCTATCAATTGGGCTGGTGGATTACATCATGCCAAAAAATGTGAGGCGTCTGGATTTTGTTACATCAACGACTTGGTCCTAGGGATCTTAGAGCTTCTTAAACATCATGCTCGGGTTCTGTACATAGACATAGATGTTCATCATGGAGATGGTGTAGAGGAGGCCTTTTATTTCACGGACAGGTAAGTCGCCTTCTTTTGTTACAAATTAGGAGAAGAATGGATAATGGGAAATTAAAGTTTCCTTTGTTTTCTACGATATATTTTTCATCAAAAAAATGTAAGCTGCGTCGCTTGCTCAGTCTCGGCGGATTTAATAGTTTTCCCTCCTTTTCTTGGTTTTCGGGATATACTGTTTGTTAAAATTATATATCTTTATCCTGGTTAATCTATTAGCATTCACTTGCTTGTTTGAAGTCGTGCCTGATTAATAAAGATATGTATGTATGGCTGGCATCTAACCAAAGCTTGGTAGAGTAAAGCTTCGGACAGGTTAATGTTTCAAGAAATGTACTGTTTGATCGACATTTATCTTCCTAGATTCTCCATTCCTTGCTTTATTCATGTAGCAAATTCATTTAACCATTCAGCAATCTCATTAACCAGATAAGCATGTCATGGCACATGATAGAGATATACTTATTTTGGGGCTTTGCTTTCAGCTTAAATACTGAACTTCAACAAAAAGCCTGTTATTAGCATCAACTCTGATTTAGTGGGACACATTCAACTGGCAGGGTGATGACAGTCAGTTTTCACAAGTTTGGGGATTTGTTCTTCCCTGGAACTGGTGACGTTAAGGTGATTACTCTGTCCTTTATAACTATTTACTATCTCTTTTGGCTAAATTTGTTCAAGTGTTTCCTCGTGAAGACGCTTTTTTATGGAAGTTCTAAACTTTTGACTTGCAAGTTCAAAATATGAAGTGTTTATGGTTACTCTTTAAGAAGTTGAAAAGGCTCTTTATCTACTTGTTTTAATTGTAATCGGCAATGTATGTTAGGATTTGTGGGTGTCTTGTACTTTTATTGTAAGCCGTTGTGCTAATTGCTATAGAAAGAGTTGCCATATATACTTTGGAATTATATGTATGAAACCCAATATGATTCTAGTATTCACTACTCTTGATCAAATTTAAAGTGCGATGAATATTCACATTGGCCCTATTGAAGGAAATAGGAGAAAGAGAAGGGAAGTTCTATGCCATCAATGTTCCACTCAAAGATGGAATAGATGACACAAGCTTCACCCGCCTTTTTAAAACTGTAAGTTACTGGCTAAGCTACCTATTTCAGGCCTTGTTATTGCTTGCTTATTCGCCTCGATGATTAATGTTTGTGCCTGGTTGCTCTGTTACTAGATAATATCAAAGGTCATAGAAATCTATCAACCAAGTGCTATAGTTCTTCAATGTGGAGCAGATTCGTTAGCTGGGGACCGCTTAGGCTGTTTTAATCTCTCGATTGATGGTAAACGTCTTCCCCTTGCGGATTTATCCATGCCCTTCCATTTATAGCAACCATGGAAGCATGAAAAGCTGTTTATGTGTTTATTATCTAGCTGTCTTACTTGAACAGTTTGTGACTTTTAAGGCTTAGACTGGTGCCGAAAGTTACTGTTGTCTGTTATCATGATATGCATTGCAGGTCATGCTGAATGTGTCAAGTTTGTCAAGAAATTCAACCTTCCTTTACTGGTATGTTCTTATCACAGTAGAATGGACTCCCTGCATTGCAGCTATTTCATATGAAAATAACATACCTTCTGGAACTATGTCATGTTCATGCAGGTTACTGGAGGCGGAGGATATACAAAGGAGAATGTAGCTCGGTGTTGGACAGTTGAAACAGGGGTTCTGTTGGATACTGAACTACCCAATAGTATGCATTTATAATCTTCGGTATTGTCTTGACATGATGGCTTGGATTTGAATATGTGTTCACAATATGTTTTGAAATTCTCCTTGCAGAGATTCCTCAAAATGAGTACTTGGAATATTTTGCCCCTGACTATTCGCTGAAGATTCCAAGTAGACTCATAGTATGGATTTGCTTATCACTTGCTTCAATTAAAAATAGAAGTTTGTTAACTTGCTCTTCTATTAATACTGTCTTCATCTACTTACTCTGTCTTCTTCTACCATGACTGATGAGAGCAGGAGAATTTTAACAGCAAATCTTATCTTAGCACCATTAAAGTGCAAGTAATGGAGAATTTGCGGCACATACAACACGCTCCAAGTGTGCAGATGCAAGAGGTGGGGACTCTTCTCTCTATATTCAGCAAAAGTAGTGTTCAATATAAATCCTTGCTTGTTTGGTCTTGTATGCAATTCAGATCAAGTCTGTAGGATTTTGGCTAACTGCTTGCACTAAGTGGAAGGAGCCAATTTGCACCATTCTAGTAGAGTGCAAAATTTGAGCTTGATAATCAGCTTTGAGTATGTGATAGTAGTACGTTCCCTGTTCATTTTATGTTTCTATAAATATCCTAACGAGAATGAGTTCTGCAGGTTCCACCCGACTTTTATATCCCCGACTTTGACGAAGATGAGCACAACCCAGATGAACGAATGCATCGTAAGTAGAATTCTCTGATAGAATGTTCTTCCTCTGTACTTCTGTGTTTCCATCACCTTTTCTCACAATAGGTTTCCATTTTCCCTCCACTTTAGAGCATACACAAGACAAGGAAATCCAGAGGGATGATGAGTACTACAACGGAGACAATGACAACGATCACCCGGCTGGATCATGAAGCGCATTCGGACGGGATTCAGTGACTGTGGGTCTGTAGCTATTTGTTCAGAAGATTACTACTCCCTGCCCTGATTTAGGGGTTGACTGAACTCATCAAACTTAAACTTTGCATATCTTGTATTGTATGTAGCATATCATGCCATGCTTTTGTAACTCCGCCTGGGGAATGCTCTATTTATGAAATGCAAGGATTAGTGGATGAAACCCTTTCCGTCTAGTGGATAGTGGTAATCCTTGAACTAGTTGCAGGTTCGAATTCATTAAGCCGTATGTAATCTCAAAAAAAGGAAATTTTCTCTCTATATTGGCGATTAGGATTTGGAAAGCGTCCAGCAGAGTGTTTTTTCCCCTCAAAATTTCCTCCTGCTACCGTGCAAATTTTGGAGAACGGTGGGTTGTTGATTGGGAAGGACAATTTCCCCAATTTCCCTCCTTGACTTTCGTTCCCCCTGTTCTCTTCCCTTCCAGAAAAGAGAGGGTAAATGGAAAAGATGGCAAAGTCGCCGCCTTTGGACTCTTTCCTACCCACAAATTCCTATCATTGAGACCTGCAGCGGACTGTTTGATTGCGCGCGCAGCGTAACTGCGAAGGAAAGCAAACTGAAAAGGTTTTGAGATTGGACGGCTGTTCCCTCTCTAACGTCTTCCCGCGAAACCGAACGGAGTAACGGTATACCCAAAAAAAGGTTGGAGCAGGAAACTCCTCTGTCCTCTCAGTTTTCTTCTTCAGTTCTTTGTCGATACTTCCACCAAACACATGGCTGGTATCTGTGGATAATATATTTGTATTCACTGCACTCTTTCCTTTTTCCTCTTCTCCTTCTCCTACCAACCCTGATTGGTTCCTCAATTCGTTTCATTTCTCTGTTCCTGTTAATGAAGGCATAGGTTGAATTTCCACCCTTCACTCACAGGGAATCTGTTGATCCAATCTGTGTAGAGCTTGTCGTTCTGAAGCCATTAGATTTTGTGGGGTTTTGTAGTTGTGGTGTGTGTCCGATTGCGATTACACCTCCCTGGTTTTCATTGAATTCTTTGAATTGAGGATTATGATCTCTCTGTAGGTTTCATGGAACTGTGAAGTTGGGGACTTTTTATGTTAGCTACAAGGAATCCAACAATGGCTACTGCTGAAGCGATTTTCCGAACTGGGTTGCCGCGGCTTCATCATTTCGATCCTTCGTTTAATTGTTCAAGCTCGCTCCTTTCTGTAAATCCCGCTGATGGTCGCTCCAGAAGAAGCAGGAGGAATCATGGTTCCAAAGCTTTAGTAAAATGCCCTGCCAAGGTTCACGCACGACGAGGGAACACTGGTGCCCATTCTTTTGGGAGGATCAATAAGTTCGCTGGAAGACAGGATTCTAGCAGATGCAAATGCCAGCAGCAGTCGGAAACTTTTGGCAGCGATGGTGGTAGTGGAGGGATGTCAATTCCTGTGTTTGACGTTAATGGCGGTCAGGAGTTTGCACTGCAGCAGCAATTAAAACCAGAAAATGGAAACGTTGCGGTAGTGGGAAATGGTGCATTGATGGATGGAAATGGAACAGCTACAACTACTACAGATGGCCAACCGAAGGGTTCTTCATCGAATCCAATTGAGGATGAAGCTTGGGACTTGCTTCGTGCCTCTGTTGTTTACTACTGTGGTAACCCTATTGGAACCATTGCTGCTAATGACCCAAACAGTAGTACTGTATTGAACTACGATCAAGTCTTTATTCGCGACTTCATTCCTTCTGGAATTGCGTTCCTTTTGAAAGGGGAGTATGATATCGTGAAGAACTTCATTCTTTACACTCTTCAATTACAGGTAATGTAGGATTGATGTTCTCGGTGTTCTCTTATGTATCCTCCATACTGCAATCTTTTTTAACATGCTAGTTTACTGAATGTTGGTAGAGTTGGGAGAAAACCATGGATTGTTATAGCCCTGGTCAAGGGCTAATGCCAGCTAGTTTCAAGGTTCGAACTGTTCCTCTTGATGGTGATGAGGATGCCAGTGAAGAAGTCTTAGATCCGGATTTTGGTGAAGCTGCAATTGGTCGTGTTGCACCAGTTGACTCTGGTAAGAGATGAATGGCTGTTAAAATCTTGTGACCACAACAATTTTCTTTTCTCTTATTATATGTGTTGCTTGCTTAGCAAGTTGGTAATCTTTTATGGGAATATGTTCTTGTTCAGGATTATGGTGGATTATACTCTTGCGAGCTTATGGAAAATGCTCGGGCGATCTCTCGATGCAAGAGAGAGTGGATGTACAAACTGGGATCAAAATGATTTTGAAACTGTGTCTTGCCGATGGCTTTGATATGTTCCCAACTTTGTTGGTCACGGATGGTTCTTGTATGATTGATCGGCGCATGGGAATTCATGGGCATCCTTTAGAGATTCAGGTTAATACTCATTATATTGGTGTTAATTGTCTCAATTGCATACTATCATGTGTGATGCATTTGCTAAAACATGGTTTGGTCTAGTGAATTTATGCATGAAATTGTCGCAGAAAGTGAAAAAGAAGATATATGAGACACCACTTTCTAGAGTGCGTTCCTTGTTTCCGTATTTCCTACTCCTGAGTATTCAAGATTGCATCATTTTGATGCATTTGAGATTGCGTGTGCAATTTTCCAAATACACTAAAAAATGCTTGTGCTGATAAAAGGCTCTTTTGCAGGCCCTCTTTTATTCAGCTCTACTATGTGCACGTGAGATGCTTGCTCCAGAGGATGGTACATCTGATCTCATTAGGGTCCTCAACAACCGTCTGGTAGCCTTGTCATTCCACATCAGAGAATATTACTGGATTGACATGAGAAAACTGAATGAAATATACCGTTACAAAACCGAGGAGTACTCTTATGATGCGGTCAATAAGTTCAACATCTACCCAGATCAGATTCCTCCCTGGTTGGTTGAGTTCATGCCCAGTAAAGGAGGCTACTTGATTGGAAACCTGCAGCCTGCTCACATGGACTTCCGCTTCTTCTCTCTGGGGAACTTGTGGTCCATAGTGAGTAGTCTTGCTACCGTGGAGCAGTCTCATGCTATATTGGATCTGTTTGAATCGAAATGGGAAGATTTAGTGGCTGAGATGCCTTTCAAAATCTGCTACCCTGCTCTTGAAGCCCAAGAATGGAGGATCATCACGGGCAGTGATCCAAAGAACACGTATTGTGATCTCTTACCTTGATCCTTTTAAGGTCATTAGTAATCTGTGTTTGTGTTTGAAGGTGAAGATGGTTCTAATCATGCCCCTCTTTGTTGTTCTTGTATTGGTTGCAGACCCTGGTCTTACCATAATGGTGGTTCTTGGCCAACTTTGCTTTGGCAGGTAACTTTCTTGTTTTTATTCTAACAAAGTTTTTTTTTTTTTTTTTTGGGTCAATCACTACATAAATGATTAAATGGTTACCAAGCATTGGGGTCACTAACAAATTGGTCGCCAAACTTTGATCTTTATCAAATTTGTTGTATGGAGTAACTAAAGTAATAGTCACTTTTTCATCTCTGTTAAGCTTTCTGCTGCCATTAATCGTAATGTGAGATGGATGTAGTGACTATTATGCTAGTTATCATTTCAAACTGCAGTAACAAACTCTTTAAACAGAACAGAAAGTTCAGTGGCCAATTTTGCTAGTGATCCAGTGACCATTTATGCGTGTAATAGTCTAATACAGTTCTTATTATATACTTCTGACTTGTCAATTGGGGGCATTCATTCTTCAGCTCACTGTGGCAAGCATCAAGATGAACAGACCGGAGATCGCAGAAAGGGCAGTTGAGCTTGTCGAGAAGCGGATCTCCAGAGACAAATGGCCGGAATACTACGATACCAAGCGAGGGAGATTCATCGGAAAGCAGTCAAGGCTGTTCCAAACTTGGTCGATTGCTGGGTACCTGGTATCGAAGCAGCTTCTTGCCAACCCTGATTCAGCAAAGATTCTGGTGAACGACGAGGATTCCGAGCTCGTGAATGCCTTGTCTTGCATGATCGGTGCCAACCCTAGGAAGCAGCGTGGCAGGAAAGCATTCAAGCAGCCATTCATTGTATGAACGAATGCCTATAGCTAGGTAGTGGATTTGTAACAGGAAGATCCAGTTTGTCATGTTTAACTGATCATGAATCTGGGGAGAGTTCGTTATGTCATTAGGTTGGTTTTAAAAGGTTGTATTGTTTCAACCCGGTGTAGGTTACTGACTGTAAATATTCTGCATTCATTTTGGGATAGGATAGTTATGAGTTTGGTTATAATACTACTGTAAATTTGCCAAATTCATGTGTTGGAGAAGTAAATTTACAGCCTGTGATATGCTTGTAAACTTTCTCGGGACTAATCTTTTGATTATGATATGCTTAGGAGTTGGGAACTTATTTATTTACTATGCTTAGGTTAGACACATTGGCAGCATCGCACCATTCACTAAAGGTCAGACAAGTTTATTAATCATCTAGTGGAAGATTATAGTTTTTCTTTAACAATCAAGATTTGAACTTGTAAATGATAAATGAGTAATAGAATGAGGTTGGAAACAAGTAAATAACAACTAAAGGAGATCGTGAGATTTGGTAACCATTGACGAGTTATGGAATGAGGTGGTAATCAAGTTACAGCATTGGGGAAACTAGGTCAATGGACGAGAAAAGATAGAACAAGAAACAATCATAAATCGAAGAGCAACAAAAACTAAACAACACGAAACTAAGTTGGAGAAGTCACGGCAAACAACAAAACTTCAATACGAAACTGACCCGGTTGGGTAGGAGAAACTAAGTTGGAGAAGTCACGGCAAACAACAAAACTTCAATACGAAACTGACCCGGTTGGGTAGGAAAAAAAATTTGGACCATTTCTCGATTTATGCGTGTCATCCTTGCGCAGGGGCCATGCTAATCTTCTCTGTATCGTTCCAATTTTATCGGATGTCCCCGAAGGGACAGCACAGTAAGTGAAACTTGAATTATATAAACATTGGTTGAATGCCATCGTTAGCCGATGTGGTAGAAGAGCATGAGATGAGGATCATAATAAGAAGTTGGGCCTTGTGTTTTGAAAGCCCAAAACAGAAATAGTATAGCAAAAGTGTAGCTAACTAAAGAGTGTATCCAAAATCGATATAGGACTCGACCCTCGAATCAACGAAAGCCCATACAGATGACAAAAAAGAAATTCGCAAATTCTGGTCAGTAAAATTTTATCGAAGGTATAAAACCAAAAATAAAAAAACAAGTCACTAAATAAACAAATTCAAGCATGGTATAGCTAAGTAGAAAATCCGAAACAAAAAATATTATAAATTTTGAAATAGCTAAAAATTATAAATGAACAGCCATTCCATTGATATTAAAAAAGAAAAAGAGTGAATTTTAAGTTCAAATTTAAAAAGCTTATTATAGAGTACATATGGTTTAATATTTACGAATGCCAAAGGCAGCCCAACGATATAATTAGCTAGAAAGGAACCCTTGGAGACAGAAAGTTCACAAACTATTTTAGATTTGATATATAAAATCGAGAAATGTATTTCGATATACATAACCTCCTTCATGGTAGGTCGAGTCCAGGTCAAGTATTTTATTTTGGGGCGTCGGTCTGTACATGCGGGGCCATACAGATACAGGTATGTATTTAAGGGGGAAAATATTTGAAATATTATTTTTTTCAACAAGATCAAGAAACAAAACTATAACATGATAAATGTAGTTAATTTATCAAATAAATTGAGATTCTCGCCTATTTATGACTTTATAATATCTAAAATATGACATAATAAAAGTAAAATTCTAAACAATTTTAGTAAAATTACATATAATTTAAATAAAACGAGTTGATAACAAGGAGAGGATCCATGCCCACCCGTCCTCATAGCAAGTTAAACATGTCAAATTTGACGGGTCATGTTAAAATCGTCATCCCTAATAGTGAACTGGTGATTGATTGACATATGACAATAACACGTAATGAGAGCAAGACTCAACAGACCCATTAGTTCCAGACATAATGACTCCTTGAAAGAAATTGCATTTTCTGACGGATGTAATAGGAGAATTATGTTAGAGCAACCAACTATGTTATCATGAAAGATATTGTGTAAATTTTAGGGTTAATACCCTGGTTTGGCCCGAAGTTTGATGCAAGTGACAGTTTTGGCCCGATTTTACAAATAAGACATTTATGTCCTACTTTTCAAATTATTAGACAGATTTGGCCCGAAACATATGTTGACCGTTAGTTTTAACGGTCAAACATTTTCTCCGTCAGCATTCAATGTTGGGGTGGCAAACTAGCAATGACATGGCTTCCACATCATTTTCAAATAATTTATTTATGTTTCAAATTCTAGAAACTGAAAATAAAATTTAAAAGGACATAATCCCAGCGATTTGGCTCTGTAACCCTAGCCGCCTCTTCTTCTTCCCTCTCCTCCGTGACTCTTCCATTTCCAATGGGTACAAGAACGGCGTAACCCTACGAGACATACAGACTTCCCCAATCTCTCTTCATCCCTCTCCTCCCTAACCGAGACACAAAAAACTTTCCCCAATCTCGCTTCTCTCACAATCAGCCATCAAAAGGGAGTATCTCTGCATCTGATGGGACTCGCCGGGACAAAGGAGCGAGAGGAATAGTCATTGAAGGTTCGAATCCAAGAAGATCGGGCTGCGGTTGCGACAGATCTTGATGGCGACGATGATTGCAACGACGGATGGGGAAGTGTCGAGCTTTAACGAGGAACGCGGGACTGGAGGTTCCCTTCCCCTGTTATCTCCTTCCTCCTTCAACGGTGACGACAGAGAGCAGAGAAGAGTGTGGCGCGGCGCGCCGGAACTTCTTGCTATTTTTTGCTTCGATTGTCTTTTTTTTTTTTTTTTACAGTTTTGTGGGGAATTCTAGCTATTTTTGTAATTGGATTGGAAGGATTGAGAATTGGCCATTTGGGTCTCCCTGTGACTTCGATGATGAGGGGGAAAAAAGAGAGACGAGAGGAATTGGAATGGCAATTATTGAGTGGGATTGGCATGTGTTGGTGACGGCGAGGGATGGCGGAGGAAAAGTTTGATTTGTGGCAGATTGGGGAAGGTTAGGGATGGCGGAGGTTTGTTGGTGGGGATTAGTTTTTTTTTATATTTTATTTTTAGTTTTTAGAATTTTAAACATAAATAAATTATGTGAAAATGACGTGGAAGCCTTTCCATGGCCACCTCAATACTGAATGCTGAGTCACTGACGGATTAAATATTTGACCGTCAAAATTAACGGTCAATGCATGTTTCGGGCCAAATCTGTCTAATAATTTAAAAAGTAGGTCATGAATGTCTTATTTGAAAAATCGGCCAAAATTGTCACTTACCCCAAACTTCAGAGGCCAAATTAGGGTATTAACCCTAAATTTTATCATACTTATTCGAACCTTTTCTCCTAGAACTTCTGGCATTACGGGATGCAATGGACTGGTGCTTAACACATGGTATCTATTCTGTTTGTTTTTGTGGGGATTCCCAACTCGTTATCCGACGAGTATCGGAGGATGTACAGGAACATAATCGTGGCGGGGCGATTCTTGAAGAAATCCGGCTGATGAAAGCATCCTTCGCGTGTATTCGTTTTGTTTTTTCTCCCCGTAGAACTAACAGGGTTGCCCATTGCGTGGCGAAAACAGCTCTTGCATCGGCTAATCAGCATCTGGCTGATTTCCGTTATTTATTTTCCAACTCCTTGTAATTCCCTATCTAATGCATACTACCTAAGACAAAAAAAAAGAGATTAAGAAGTTACAAGGAATATAACTACAACAAGGACAGAGAATCATTGGGGGGCTAAATTATAAGCAAGGAATATAACTGTAACTAGGTTCAGATTATATATTTTTAACTTTGAAAGATAAACAAATAAGGGCATTTGGTCTAGTGGTATGATTCTCGCTTAGGGTGCGAGAGGTCCCGAGTTCAATTCTCGGAATGCCCCTTTTTTTTAAAGCTCAAAAATAAAATAAAAAAATGATTCAACCATCTCTGTTCGTTCACTATCCACCAGAGCTCCACGAAATCAAATCATTCACTGCTCGAACATTTGACATTAACAACTGTGTCATGTATACAACACTTTTGCACTTGGCCATTTGATAATAAAATGAGCTCAGGCAGGAGCTAAAGCTATATAGTAAATGCAATGCAAACAATGTTTCTGTCCAGATAGAAGGTAAAAGCTTCCAGCTTGTTCACGAGACTAGCTAAATAGCAGTTTTGGTCATCCGATGAATGAGGGAGTTCAAGAACTGAATATGTGGCTGTTCTCGGCCAATATGCTGTCCAGCAACGATTCACAAGCATCTTCGAGCAGATCCAGCACCTTCGACAACCAAAATGAATAATGACATTCAGGCAAAACTAGTACTTGAGAGGCAGGCATGCAATGGATATTTAACTACCAGACCAGAAAGGTTGCCAGCAGATTAAACCCTAGAAACTTGGCTAGAGAATCTACAGAGACTTTGACTATGAACATGTATATTTTACGATAACCAGAATGCTGCGACTGGGTATCTCTGATCGATGTGATAACAAGACATGTGAAAGATTCCAGGAGCAGCATCTAATCTCAAATTCTCAATACATACAATACAAGGGCAGTGAGAGTGAACCACCATGTTCGGATTCGAAAAGTGAAACAATAATATGTTTCATCGCAAGCTGCCAGCTTTGGCCTTCAACAGCTTCAAAATCTTATCTCATTCATTTCATTACTGACCAGACGGTTCATACTATCATATACCAGTTTGTCTCTCTCACAGCTTACCTTCTCGAAACCTTGTGCTCCACCGTAGTAAGGATCCGGGACTTCAGTCTCCTCATGCTTCTTACAGTAGGAACACATCAACTTAACCTGCAGCAGAAGCACACATGAACTCCTCTCCTTCAATAAACAGCTCTACAACCCAACACCATCCACATCAATTCTTTAACCAACCTTCTTATGTGCATCCTCGGGAAGAGTTTCTCTAAACTTCCACCTTCCAAATGCCTCTAGTATATCCTCTGTGGCAGCAGTGGCACAGCAGCAGCAGCCAATATCAACAACTTAGATCAAACCAAGTAAACCCACAATGGGAATATAAGCCAAAGGAACTCCCACTAACCTCTATTCTGCCTGTCCATAGCAAGGATGAGATCGAACTCCACGAAATCAGAAGGTCGAATTGGCCTGGATATGGATGTTATCTCCACCCCACGCTTCTTCGAAGCAGCTCTCATTCTCGGATCCGCCGGTCCACCCTTTTCCCCACAAATTTAAAACCAGAACAAATATTCAGAAACCCAGATGATACATGATCGTAAAGATCCAACCTTTTTTTCTTTTTTCATGTCTACCTCGTGGTAATTGATGGTACCGGCAGAGTCGATGTTGAACTTGGAATCGAGGCCCTTCTTGTGAACAATGTCTCTGAATACGCCCTCGGCGGCTGGGCTCCTGCAGATGTTGCCGAGGCAGACGAACACAACGGAGAAAGGCTTTGTGGTTGCGGTGGCGGGGTCCGCCGCCGGCGGAGGAGTGGAAGACGCCGCCATGGGAGGAGGTGCGAATTGGGGATGGGTACGGCGAGGATTGAGGGAGTGATGATGGAATCGGGGAATTGAGTTGGGGGTAAGTTGGGGATGGAGGGAGAGAAAGCTGGGAGCCAAGTGGTAGAATCGTAAATTTGGAGATGGGGTTGGTAATGGTGGCAACCTGATACTCGTTGTCCACCACGACTCCACTGCCTTGCTCATATTTTGGGTCTCTCTGTTTTCCTGCCTCCTCTCGGACTATGGAGCTGTCTGTTTTGTGTTCTGTGCCGAAGTGGTGAGAAATTTTAGGACCAGTGTTTCCCCGAAAGGATAGGGTTGGAATTTTGTGAGTATTTTGCTATGTTACCATGCCTTAAACTTTAAGTCATCACTCATGAATCCATTAATCTTCACTTTTAACTGTTTATACCAGCGATGTCAGCTCTTCAGCCTGTACTTTAACCTCACATTACACACTGAGAACTCAGGAAGAACAAAAAGAGGCAAATCCATTACTGATATGAAGCAGAAGGAAGTTTACACTGAGGAGCCTACAAGGAAAACCAGAATATAACTCATCTCCAAACAAACATCAGCATCACAGTCACAGACTCGCACTGCGTTTCCCTTGAGTAAACCTCCTCTCTCGAAACCTAAACTCGTGTGGAACTTGTACACATCCAAGTTCTGGAACTACATTTACACTATATTACATCCATATATTTGGAGGTATAGGTAAAGGAAAGAAAAATGTACATATACCTGTTACGGTCAAGCATCTGAAAAAAGCAAGTCATTCCTCGGATAACAACTAGAACATATCAAACTCGCCATTCTCTTCTGCACCCTTACACTTACTGCTACTAGTTCGACCATCAGAGTAACCCTGAAGCTCTGGAGGTATAGCACAACGAATAAGAGCCCAGTTCAGGCCTTCAAAGAAAGGATGCTGTTTGATCTCCGCAGCACCTCTAGCTGAACCAAGTCGATTCTCGGGGTCTTTCACCAGAAGTCCCCTGATCAAGTCCCGTGCATGAAAACCGACCACTGGCCCACGTGGAAACTTGAGGCTTCTCGACACCACATTCGACAGCGTCTCCTCATTTCCCGATCCTTTGAAAGGAGTCCTGCCATACAACAGCTCGAAGAGGAAGATCCCGAACGTCCACCAGTCCACAGCACTGCCATGACCTTCGGATTTGATGATCTCCGGAGCGAGGTACTCGTGGGTCCCGACGAAGGAGTTTGAACGTGCGCTCGTGGGCTCCACCACCAGCTGAGGCAGTGGGGTGACCTGATGAGAGCTGAGGTCTGATTTCAAGGACTTCCGGGACCTTGTAGCAGCGACCGAGAGAAGACGAGGTGTGAAGCAGGAGACTTGCCAGGATGGGCGGAGACAGAAAGGGTCAATGCAGCTTGATTCGGAGCATGATGGGCTTGTTGAAGTCTTCTTTGGGGGATCGATATCTGGAGATGTGGATTGAAGTAAGACTGGGTTGACAGCACACCTCAGCGAGAGATCGAAATCGGAGAGCATTATATGGCCATCTTCTCTTACTAGAACGTTTTCTGGTTTGAGATCTCTATATACTACTCCAAGCATGTGGAGGTACTCCAGGGCCAGGAGTACTTCGGCAACGAAGAACCTGAAATGTCCATTTGGCATCATCAGATTATTATGTGAAAAACTAAAGGCAAAAGTTATCAGGTTCTATTGGCATTGCAAACATATGTCAGTGAAAGTGGTGATAAGATTAATGACTAGAATTTCCAAATCAAGAGCAAGAAAGCACTCGGAAACTCAACCATGAGATGGTACCTTGTTGCATGTTCAGAGAAACATCTGTCGGGTTGCTTCTGCCGAAGTACATGGAGATCTCCACCAGGGCAGTACTCCATAACCAAGCAAGATAACTTTTCTGATAAAAAGTGAGCGTACAATGTCGGAAGAAACGGATGATCCAGCATCTGCAGAATCTCTCTCTCAGTTTGGGCCCTCAGCATCTTTTTCTTGCCCGCCAAAAATTCATTGTCCATTACTTTGAGAGCGAATCGGGAATCAGTACCAGAAAGCTCAGCCAAATAAACAGATCCAATATCGCCTCCACCAAGCTTCTTGATTAATTTAAAATGCCTCAAAGCTAAAACTCCATCCTGCCTTTGAATCTGTCGAATGGCTTCCCATCTCAAGTCCTTTGACATATGAGGCCTGTAACCACTATGATAGGACGAGCCACTGAGACTGCTATCTACACTCATACTTGTGCTACTACTACTATATTCACCAATGCTACTACTCTTTGAATTCTGGGAAAAAGATTCACCCTTTTCTCTTGATATGGATCTCTCGTCAATTTTTGTCAATTTGGAAATAGATCTGTCACCACAACCAGAGCTGTTGCATCCCATTTTACTTGAACTCTTGTCCACGGTGCTGAAGCTGGACTCGATACTATTACTGGTGCTACCACTGGATGCCGGGGAAGCTCTGTCACCGTATTCCGTTGCACTACCAATACTAGGATCCACATCGTCGCGTACCTTGATGTCACGTGCATTGGAGCTACTGGAAGCAAATTCAGAATCTTTCTTTCCTTTCTTCTTCATAAAGCTCCTGTTCCTGAAGATTGGCTTTATAAATCTCGTAGTGTTGCAAACAGGAGAGATTCCCATTATACCGTTACTTGAACCTGAAGGTGAAGGAAAAGCATTAGACTGTTCTCCTGAACTTTGGATTGAGTCTGAAACAATTGTGTCGTCCACATTCTGGGCTTGCTCATTACAAGATGAAGAATCTAAAGCACTAGGGCTCTCAATTTCCAGCTTTGACACTTCGCTAACAAAGCCTGTTGGAGCTATCTCGCACTTGGAAGAATCAGCACTTTGATCAGATGACCCTGCCTTATCAATCTGTGATAGTTCAACTATATTCTGAGAACAGCTTGATGTGTCTGTTTCAGGTACAAGAGAGACTTCCACCACCTTTCCATCACCTTTGCTAGGAGTAAGACCAGATGAGTGATTGGCCTCGACTACAACAGTCCTGTATAACATTTTGCTGGATCCTGCCTCTGAAGCCCTAGCTGAACCTGTTGGCCTAGACAATCGCTTCATAGCAGCCATCTCTGATGCTTGAGATATGCATAGTCCCCGCAAAGCCTGCTTCAAACTCACCGACTCTGAGATGCCAATCCCTGATGCTTGAGGTGAACCCACTCTCATGGGTCTCTTCATGGCTTTCTTCAGCAGAGCATCTCTGCCACTGCCACCTTCATGGGATGAACCTTTAGTCCTTCGTATGTCTATTGCTTCAAAAAGACGATTGATGTCATCTTCTATCGAGTACTTGTTGGAAGTCGGAATGGAACTGTTTCCACCGTTCTCACCCATCTTAACTTCAAGACTTAATTCTGGTGTTGATTCCACAATCTCCGAAGTGCTTGATAATCGATCCATCTTGAGCGGATTCATCAGATGCTACAAAGGGGCTGGTGGGTTCAGCAAAAATAAAATTACCCAATCTCCAAAGAAGCAGCTTGAAGACAACCTAAGATGGTAACCAATGACGAAGTCATACTTCTTTCAAATGTCTCGTTAATCACTTGATCTTAAACCACAAAGGAGAGAACACTTCATTCACTTGAAACTGAAGCACCCAATCCCTGCCATGAATAGCAAAGCTTCAGATAAGCAAAGCACACGCCTTCATCCATTTCACAAACTTAAATCGACAACAGAAAAAAAAAAGAAACTATAGTTTCCACCACTGCCTTTAGACAGTAAAAAAACCGGGTAGCAACTGAATTTGTAAAGTGTTAGTTGCTTCAGCTGGTCCACTGTCTTTAGATCATTCATGGTGGTGGTACACAAAGGTAGGACATAAAAAGTTATCTACCAAACTAAATCTATCAGTATCTAAGACCGTCATTCCAAATGTAGATAAACCCTTGTACTTCCAGAATAGAGCTCTCAATTAATTTCCTACCATCTTGGACAAAATTCAGAAGCTTCACTATCCTGTAACCCTAAAAAGGATCAAATTTTAGAACAATTGGTTCCCAATTCCGATATCTGAGCCTATGATCATCAGCTGAAGGGGACCAAACTGAAATTCCAAATAACACATAAACTCAATAAAGCTAAACTCTAAGAAAGCAGACACCAAAAGGAGCTCCGAATTCTCAAAACCCAGAAAAGCAAATGAATCATCAGAATTCAGAAGAAGGACAACAAGTAGCAGTGACCCAACAACAACAACAAAAAGCCTCCAAACCCCATTTTCCACAACAGTGGCAGCAAACAGAGAGTTAACAGAATCAGGGGGGGACGAAGAATTACCAGAAGACTGATCGACGATCAGAAAGCCACATAGATCGAGAGCAACTCAATCAGAGAACAGAGACGGCAAAAGGAGAGGAAGGGGAGATGCTACAAAGCCTACAACAACGCGTTGCTGGGGTAAAAGGGTTAGGGTTCGGAGCGGGGGGGCACGAGAGAAGGAAGGAGGAGAGTGAATGAAGAGAGAGAGAAAAAGGGTTGCAGTAAAAGATTTTGGTAGGAGGGTGGAGGAAATGCTAATCACGAGAAGTAGCGCTGCTTTGCCTTTGCACCACTGTTCTTTTCTCCCCTGGAAATGGCGGAAGAAAATTTCTGAGTACTGGAAGGGAAAGGGACGCTACTCCTTTTTTTCTTCTTCCACCTGTACTAATTTAAATTTGTGTTGAGGTAGCCGGAGCTGCTGACGTCGTCGTTTCTAGTAGTCGCCCATTGCAGTACACGTACGGTAGAGGCGGTGGTCGGGTGACGGGGAGTGATTCGAGACGGAGAAACAGAGCAGTCTTGGAGAAAGCGGCATTTGGACGGCAGCGGCAGAAACTATTTTTTTTTTCTTGTTCTTCTTCTTTTTGTGGGTCAGCGCCAAAATTTCCTATGAGGGAAAGTAAAAGGTAGGTTTAAATTACTAAATTGAAACCAACTTTTAGATTATTTTACCGGGAAAAAATGGTTAAACTCATTAACTGGGTAAAGTAATAAGAACCAAGATGCAAAGCTTTTGTGGACAGTTCTGTTTAATATTTGAAAAGGAAAGCTCGTAAAGGAGACGAACCCAGTAGTCAGTACCGCTAGGGATGGCAATGGGTCGGGTTGGGACGGGTTTTGTCAAACCCAAACTCATGGGTTTATTCGTCAAAAAAACATGGGGTAAAACCCGCTGGCTTTGAAGAACTCAAATCCGACCCAACCCGCTGGGTATCCGCGGGTTCGTGGGCACCCGTGGGTTTTTGTGGTAAAAAATTTACAATAACAAGTTTTTTCAAAATTAAAGTTTAACATTAATTTCCTCATACAAATTATTCATACAAAAAACACCAATCTCGAGCATACAAGCAAACCGCAAATGATCAATACAAATTGTTCAAAATTAAAGATAAACATCTATAAACAATAAGATTAATTGAAAGTTTCTTACTCGTCAACTAAGTTTCTTCACTCTCCACTTCATAATATCAACTTCATTCTAAACAATTAGAAACAACAAATTATATATGCCTCCACAAACATAAAGAATATTAATTGTTTAAGGAATATATATTATTTAGAATATTAAATATACAGGGAAAGTAATTATATGTATGTAGGCGGGTACCCATGGGGTGGGTTTACCTAAACCCAAACCCAACCTTACCCGGTGAATAGTGTAGCGGGTTTAAACCCGAACCGGCCCAAAATCCGTCAACACGGGTTTTATCCGCGTTGACCGAATTGGGTCGGGTGGGTACCCCTGGGTTCGGGTTTTGTTGCCATCCCTAAGCACCACTACCACATAGATTTTGGGTATTTGCAATTGGATTTTATGGGTGAGGACTGAGCAGTGAATTACAGATTGGATTGGGCTTCCTGAAAGCTTGGGTCTGATTACGTGTTGGGCCGGGATGATGGTAGGGAACACAGGCTGAGGCCTGCCAAATGCCAATATGTGGACGATCTGCATATATACCTTTTGAATGAGCGAATTTGCATCGAAAACCAATTAAACAACTGTTTTACTATTATTATGTCATGTCTTTCTCCGATAGATCAGAGAGCGTCTTATCCTTGTCACCATTCCCGACGTCGCGGGGAGGAGAAGCGACTCAGGGGAACAAAACGATGCCGTCTCCGCGGCGTGTTGTGTGGTGTGCTTGAACCAGATGTCCAGATGAATCCGGAGGACGACGCCGTTGGTGACTGGATCGCAGAGCCGTGTGGCGGCGGAGCAGTAGCAGCCGAATTGGGCGATGTTGTGACAGTTGTGTGTGCCTACCGACGCACCGACGCGACGGTTACGGGTCCGGGGCGGTGTGGCGATACCACCAGGCGACGGTTAAGCTAAGTATTCTTCCCTATTCAATTTTCTTATTCATTAGTAATGTTTATTTGTTTTCTTTTGTTAATTATCCTCCCTCATTTTCGACAAAAAAAAAATATCCTCCCTCATTTATTAATTTTATTTGTATCTTTATTTGTTTGTTTTCTTTTCTATGTCTTGTATCGTTTTCCATCAATTATTGCATCAAATTTACTAGTTATATTTTATTTTGTATAACTATATGCTTCTTTTATTATTTCTTTTTCAATTTCTGCATCAATTTTCCTAGTCATATTCTAGAGGATGAAGTTCTTTTCAAGTTTAGGTTTGTAGTCTTTTATTTAAAAAAAAGGTTTGTAACCAATGTTGGTTATTTATGGTTTCCCGATGACCTGATTCACTTTTTCAAGGGAGAAAGTTGCCTTGTGTACATGTTGGCCTGTTGGCTCATTGGCCTGGATTGTCCTTGCAGAGGCTTTTTGTTTGTTCATTTTGCAGGTGAAGATTCAATTGCAAAATATTCGATTGGTGGCAGCTCTGTCATGTCCACCAGGTGGCCTTTTGATGAGATTTGATGGAGCGCTGCTACGAAATAGTGGAGGCATCATTGGCTTTGTGGTGTTGCTATTGCTAAATCGAATTTTGGGATGCTGTCGTGGAGGTTATCCTTTTGAGTCCTGCTTCTTCACCGGATCAAGTTGGCGTCGTAATTATCATGAAGTTGTATCCTTTCGATGGTTTGAGTGGTTTCCTTCACTTTTTTCTTAGGAACTAACAGAGCTGGCCATTGCGTGGCAAAAACGGCTCTTTTATCGACAGCTCAATTAGTATTGACTGTCGCTTTTATTTTTCAATCCATTGTAATCAACTATCTATTACTATTCTATCTATGGCAAAAAAAAATAATTTGTTTTACTATTATTATGTCATGTCTTTCTCCGATAGAAAAAAATTCATGTATGGATTAATTAGGTATCAGTGTCTTATTCAAATCTCATACTCATATCGACAAGTTATGAGAGAGATCTACGATTTATAAAGAATATCAAACCTTAACTAACAAGACACGTTTTTTAGTAAAATGAATGAGTTTTAATGAAAATTCTAAAATTAAATGTGCGCCATATCAAGCAGTGCAAAGATGGATAATATCTCTGCAAGTCATCATGATGCACCCCCTAAAAGCAAAACCGTGTGGGTAGACAACAAAACATACAATATCTTCGTCAGGGAGAGATTCATGATCCACAAGGAACACCAAATTTTAACTGGTAGTATGCATTTTTGGGTCAAATAGAAGAGTTTGTGTCCAAACTTTAAAGTTAAATATGTTCAACATGAAACCGTGCAGAGGTGTGTGGCTTCTCTAAAGATCATCATGATACACTTTTTACATGCAAAATAAACTTAATAAGTACAATATTTTAGTGAGGAAAAAAGTCGAGGCATTGCAAATTCCGACTACAATACTGATTAAAAGTTGGCGCAAGTCTTTATTAATTGTTATTCAAATTCAACCCATGAGTAGGGGTGGGCAACAATTCGGTTTACATCGGACCGAATCGACTCTCACATCGAATCACATCGAACTGTTTATCTTTCGATTCGACTTTGGTTCCTAAATTTGGTTAATTTTTTGGTTTTGGTTCGTTCCAGAACGAAACCGTAAAATCAAGCTAAGGATCGAACCGAATCGTAATTAAATGAATTGCCTATTATATTATGCTCCGAGAAGGGAAGTCAACTTGGAGTTGAAAAGTGAGAACCGTAGTACCCTACATGACACTTAACTACCTATAAATATGATTGACTTTCCCTGACTTAGACTCGCCACTCCGTCTCCTATAGTCTTACCCTCAAATCATGGTTCTCATCGGCATTGCTTCGATCAAGATAGCTGCTTACTTGCACTAGTTCTTGGAGGAAGTGTCACTTTGTTAAACTACTTTCTAATGCCTTGTATCATGTGCTTATATTGCAGAAGAAAGGCTTTCAAATGGACAAGCGGTCCAACGTGCACTGGAAATGAAAATGGAAGATTAGAGAGGCAATTAGTTCGACTACCTTTGAGATTGAATAAAAATACTTTTGTCTTGTAATTTAAACAGTAGTTCATGTTTAGCTTTATGCATAATATTTTGGAACATGTGGTTTTTTTAAGAATTGTGGAGTATTTAAATTTGGATAATTTGATTACCTTTTTTGTGTAGTTACATTTTTTAATTAATGTGTTGTGCTTTAAGAGTGTTTATTCGAATGAAAGATTAGTTGGTTCAATGGGATGGACCAGACCGAATCGAGCCATATATGGTTTGATCCATACTGAATCGAAGTAATAACGATTCGACTTTGATCCTTGATTTAGAAAAAATCTTGATCCGGTCCGAGAGTAGTTTGATCCGGTCTTGGATCGAATGGACCAATGTCCACCCCTACCCATAAATGATAAAAATAGGTTTCGACGTTGACCTTAGAAATTGTTTGCAATTTGGATACCTTATCGCAGCTTACCCATCTTAAAATAAAAATCACCACAATAAATATACCCCATAAAACTAGTTTATTAACCGTAACTATTCTAATTTACAGAATCATTATATGATTGTGACTAAAACAGAGAATGTAACCCATTTTTCAACATGAGATTCCATATTTCATTACTAACCTCATTGTGTTATTATTATTATCATACTATTAGTTTATTACCATTGTTTCCTTTTTTGACTCTCGCTATCACATATTATTCCAACTTTGCTTAAATCTCTATCAAAAAAATCAATTCCACGCCTAACATTTCCCCAAAATAGCATAACAATTAACAAAACAAACGATTCCTCGTTTTGAGCTTTTTATTTCCATTTTTTTCGTTGCTATTTGTCAAGACATAATCCCTTTGATTAGATACAATAATCTCGTTTCTTACTTCTTACTTTCTTAGACTGGAATATATCCTCCCGATGCACTGGCCCACTCGGACCCATTTCGGCGGACCCTTACCCGGCCCATTCAGGCCCATACCGCTCCCTCAAATCCCACTCTTCTTCCCCCTTTACCTCTCTCACTTCTCAATTCGTACTTCACGCTTCAGTTTCCTCTCCCCCCAATCAGTCTCCCCCTTCAATGGAGCCGCCGTCGATCGAGCACTTGGTCGACGACCTACAGAGCGTGAGCTTCACTTCCACGGGCACCGGAACCACCGCCACGCTCCACCGCAGCACGAGCTCCTGCTCCTCGTCGTCGGCATCCACCCTCACACCCGCTCCTTCCGCCCACACTTCCTTCTCTTCCAAGACGGCCCCCAAGCAGCAGCCGCAGCTGACGTTCTCGGATCTCCGATTCACCCTCCGCCTCGGATCCGGCGACATCGGCTCCGTCTACCTGGCCGAGCTCAAGAAATCGACGTCCACCGCCGACGCCAGCGGCGACGAAATCGCGATTTTCGCGGCGAAGGTGATGGACAAGAAGGAGCTGGTGAGCAGGAACAAGGAAGGGAGGGCGAGGACGGAGAAGGAGATTCTGGAAATGCTGGACCATCCGTTCCTCCCGGCGCTCCACGCCGGCATCGAGTCGCCGAGGTGGATGTGCCTGCTGACGGAGTTCTGCCCCGGCGGCGACCTCCACGTGCTCCGCCAGCGCCAGCCGCTCAAACGGTTCGACGAAACCGCCGTCAGGTGCGCACGTTAGCAACACTTCCCCCCTTCCTTTCCTTCTCCCTTTTTTTCAATTTCCATTTTTTTGAAAATAGTAAAAAAATAAGATTTCAATTTTTCTGGAAGTTTAGAACGGCGTGTGGCCGTCCCTTCGTCCTCGATTCCCGTTTCTCCGATTTCACGGCCGGGCACCCTTTCTCTCTCTCCCCTAAACCGTTAGTTGCGTAATGAAACGACGCCGAGGCGAGGGAGACGGCCGACGGGTCGGGGGCCCCGTTTTCCTCACCTGGGAGCACTGGCTCTGCCGGTGCCAGTCATTTGTGGTCCCCTACTGCACGGTCGCATCGACCGGCTTTTTCTTTTTTCCCTTTTTTCGCCCCCCTTTTTCGTTATTATTTAATTGATGAAATTGGGGGAATTAGTTATTTACTAACGGAGTGAAACAGTGAGTCTCAAATCATATTCAGAAGGGAGGAGATGATCACGTGTGGTGTAGTCCACGTAATCATCCATGGTTTGACTTCTTCTTTGCTTCCTTCTTTTTTTTTTCTTAATCACAAGAAAGAGATCCTAGATCGCGCTAATGCTTACTTAACAACGTAAATTACGTGAACTTCCCGTAAGGGTAAACTTTATAAATGGCAAGGAGCTGAAGGGCCTGCCAATAATACTAAACCATATGAAGGAGCCAGCTGTTGCTGTCGCTAGACCAGTTAATTGGATCGGTGGGTGGTTGGATTGGAAATCTTGTGAGTTGTGGCTGGTGGTGGGCAGAAGCCGTAGCCAACTCAAACAGCCTCATAGAGGCATAGAGTAAATCTGCGGTTGCGGTTGATGGGTCAAACCTAAGGTCCACCAACTGTTGTCAACAGTATTTTGTCCGGTTCATGAATTCCCTGTTTTTGACTTTTGAGTTGACTGAAGGGGAGCAACCCTATAGGAAGTTTGAAGTTAGAAACCATCTACAGTGTTAAGGCATTAGATTGGTAGTGAAATATGGGTCTAGTTTGGAAGGATTTGGGCATCGGTGGAGTACAAATGTGGGGCAGCTAACATTTTGCATGGTAAGTAGAAAGGGGGCGTGGGATTAAAGAGGGTGGATTCATGTCTACCCGTTTTTTGTGGTGTGGAGTCATTTTCGTTTTGAGTGAAAACTAGGCACCACAACCCTACTTTACTTTCCTTTTGCTAGTTTTCATCTTTTGATTGAGACATACCAAGGAAGCGAGCCATAAACATTGAGACAAAGACATATACTTGAACCTTCAAGGTCGTACACCTCTTGATAGGCAATTGGATATATGGTTCCATTTTGGAATTGAAGAAGAAGAGATGGACCGGTGGTCCTTTTCCTTGGGACAGAGCATATGTGCATCCTTGTCCATATATGAATTGTGTTAGCTCTTTTGGCATTATTGGTTGAGGTTTGCATTAGTGGTGGTGTTTTTGTGTACTGCTTTGGAGCTTGGTACAAGGTTAAAGATTATCCTTTAGCTGCATGATTCATAATCATAGGGTTTAAATCACATTATCCCCTAGAATCAGTGTGATTAGCCTACTGATTATCAGGTTGAGAATATGTAAACTGTTACCTTTTTAGCTGACTGCTTAGCTTCTTTTAGTGCTATGTCTCCAGTCTCCACCCCTAGGCATTAGCTATCCAATTGTGTTTGATTAACTTCTGCATGTAATGGATTTCCTCATGATTTTAGAGTACTGTGAGTCTGTGACCAATGGCCAAGATTACATCTTACTTCCCCTACTTGTCTGCTTGTGAGTGCTGCTAGAAATAAGTATACAAGTAACCACTCCTTAATTTAAGAAACAGGAACACTTCATCTGCTCCCTTTAATCATGGCACTCTCCCTTAGCCTTTTCTCACTTGGCCGTTTCTTTGTGGGCACTAAAGTGTTGGGAAGACCACTGCCATTAGTTTCCAATAATCAATGTCGTCGATTACGTGTTATGTGCTATAATTTATCATATCTACATAAAGCCATCATGAAAACTGCCAAGTGATGGATCATTATCCCTCGTCGTCTTTTGGCTATTGTATTGTTTTGTAGCATAAAGGGAATCCATATGAAGAGGTACCCCTGTCGATCCCTTGTTTAGCAGTTAAGGGGAAGCATGAACACCAAGCAAATCTTTGTGTTTTTATTTAATGACGTGATAATCAAAGAACAGATACATACATCTGGCCAATAATCTTGAAACATCTGTAGGTCCCATTTGTTTCCTTTGTTTAGGGGACCTCCTGTTGGTTAGTAGCTTCTCAATTATTTTCCTACTCTTAAGAATAGTGTTCACATCCTACTTGTCCCTCTAAGTCTTAGTTTTGTATGGTTTTGAACGACTCTAAGTTATAACTCAAGTCATTATGATAGATAAACTGCAACTCGATATGGTACGAGAGCTTACAATGGTCAAAAGTCGGAATATTGTAATATTTCGATCGCGTTTGCTCCTGAATCGAGTTGTGATGATATGGTTAACTGTTATCTTAAACTAGAATCATCTCGTAGATGAAACATGGTATATGAGTCATTATTGAGTATTTTTCGATTTGTAAGCTATCGGGACGGTTTAATCCATCAAAGGCAAAATATCTCTGTTTCAAGTCTTTCCCCATACTCAAATGGCTGAAAGTGTTGATTTTTTTTTCTTTCCCCTACAGGTTTTACGCATCAGAAGTAGTGGTGGCGTTGGAGTACCTTCACATGTTGGGAATCGTCTACCGCGACCTGAAGCCGGAGAACGTCCTCGTCCGTGCCGACGGCCACATAATGCTCACCGATTTCGACCTCTCCTTAAAATGCGACGACACCGTTTCAACCCCGCTAGTAATCCTCTCCACCCAGAACCCGTCGTCCGGAGTCGCATTACTTCCCAACAACAAAACCGACTTCGCCGCCGCCGATCACCGCCCAAATTTCACTTCCTCCTCATGCATCATCCCCAACTGCATGGTCCCGGCCGTCTCCTGCTTCCACCCAAAACGCAAGCGAAAGAAGAAGACAAGCCAACGGGCCGGGCCCGAATTCGTCGCCGAGCCCGTCGACGTTCGGTCCATGTCGTTCGTCGGCACCCACGAGTACCTCGCGCCGGAGATCGTGTCCGGAGAAGGACACGGCAGCGCGGTGGACTGGTGGACGCTGGGTATATTCATGTACGAGATGGTCTACGGTGTGACGCCTTTCAAAGGCATGGACCACGAGCTTGTTGGACTTGGTTTGGAAGCTAGAAGGAGAAGTAATCCGAATCCCTTGCGGAGAAGGATTGGAGCGGTTCGATATGAAGACTGAAGATTAAGTGAAACTGCAGCGTTTGGTTATTTATGTTTTGGTCCTTGTTTTATTTAGTTATGTTAGTTTGGTCAGTATCCGTTGTGATCAACAGATCGAGCAAACAGAGTGCTGATCTTCAGCTGATGTTTGGTTTAGTGGTTGCTGATTGTTAGGAGAGTAGTTTGGGTAGTTGTTTTCTGGCCGATTCCTATGGCTGAACCCTTTGTATTTATTCTCTCTTCATTTCAATAAACAAGCTGTCAGATTGCAACCAGATTTAGGCTTTCATTGTGGTATCAGAGCCTATCTGCAAGCTGTAACCAGAGAGTGAGTGAAATCTGCCAACAATTGCAGAGTGGGTATTTGGGAAACACGAGAGATTAACGTGAGGAATCAAAAAATTTGGGTGTGAGAAACATGAGTGAAGGTAGCAGCAGTTATGCACAGGTGTGCATACCCAGATTCGATGGAGATTTTGATCATTGGAGCCTGTTGATGGAAAATCTCCTTCGATCTAAAGAGTACTGGGAGGTGGTGAGTGAAGGTTTCAAGGAGCCTACAAGTGGTGAAATCTTATCTGAGGCTCAGTCCAAAAGGCTCGAAGAACTCAGGCTCAAGGATCTGAAAGCCAAGAATTACCTTTTCAGTTCCATTGATAAGGTGATCCTGAAAACCATCACAAACAAGAGAACTGCTAAGGAACTATGGGAATCCATGAAGATCAAGTACCAGGGAAGTGCAAGGGTGCAGAAAGCGCAGCTGCAAGGTCTAAGAAGAAGTTTTGAGTTGCTGGAAATGAAAGAAGGTGAAACCATAACTGATTATTTCAGTAGAGTAATGGTTATTGCAAATTCGATGAGGAACTGTGGTGAGAACTTAACTGATGTGAACATTGTTGAGAAAATTCTTCGAACTTTGACTGAAAAGTTCAACTTTGTGGTCTGCTCAATCGAGGAGTCAAAAGATATAGAAACTTTGACTGTTGATGCTCTTCAAAGCTCCCTGATTGTGCATGAACAAAAGTTTCAAAGGAAGAATGCTGGTGAGGAAGACCAGGCTCTGAAGGCATCACATGAGTATGCTGGAAGAGGTGGTAGAGGCTATGGAGGCAGGAGCTTTCAAGGAAGAGGACGAGGAAGAGGAGGAAGAGGCTGGAACAAAGAGTCTGTGGAATGTTTCAAATGTCACAGACTGGGGCACTACAAGTATGAGTGTCCAGAGTGGGAAACAAACCAGCAATCCTACTATGCTAGCTATCAAGGGAGAAGCCAGGGGGATCTAAAAGATGACATGTTGCTTATGGCCTATCTGGATGCTGAGCAGAGCTCCAAAGAAGTCCTTCACAGCAATGAAACCTGGTGGTTTCTGGACTCTGGTTGCTCAAATCACATGAGTGGTGACAGGAGCTGGTTTACTGAACTAGACACCAAGTTCCATTGCACTGTCAGGCTTGGTAATGACACCAGGCTGAATGTTGAAGGAAAAGGTACTGTTAAACTGCTGGTAAATCAGACTTCTTTCCTGGTACAGGAAGTGTTCTATGTGCCTGAACTCAAGTCCAATTTGTTGAGTGTGGGTCAATTGCAAGAGAAGGGTCTCTCCTTTCTTATTAAAGGAGGAGTGTGCAAACTGTTTCATGAAGATAGAGGTCTGCTGCTGCAAACAGAAATGAAATCCAATCGTATGTTTGTCCTACAAGCTGAATCAAGAAGAGGAAAAGAGGGCCAATGTTTACAAGTGGATCAGTCAAAAGAAGACTCCCTGGAGTTGTGGCACAGAAGATTTGGGCACATAAGTGTTCAAGGGCTGCTGGATGTTCAAAAGAAAAACCTGGTTCAAGACCTGCCAAATTTGAAAGGGGAAACAGGAGTCTGTCAAACGTGTATGATGGGGAAGCAACATAGACTTCCTTTTCCTAAGAAGAGCAACTGGAGAGCCACTCAAAAACTACAACTTCTCCATGCTGATTTGTGTGGACCTATAACTCCAACTTCAAATGGTGGCAAGAGGTATATCCTTACTTTGACTGATGATTTCAGTAGGAAACTTTGGGTGTATTTTATGCCAGCCAAATCTGACACCCTGGAACATTTCAAGAAGTTTAAGAGTTACATAGAGAAGGAAACTGGAAACAATATTCTGTGTCTGAGAACTGACAGAGGAGGAGAGTTTTTGCTGAATGAGTTTAAAGGCTTGTGTGATGATGCTGGAATAAAGAGGCAGCTCACTGCTGCTCTTACCCCTCAGCAAAATGGGGTGGCTGAGAGGAAGAACAGAACTGTGATGAACATGGTAAGGTGTGTTCTGGAGGACTGCAAGGTTCCTGCTTCTTTCTGGCCAGAAGCAGTAGCATGGGCTACTCATGTACTCAACAGGAGTCCCACTGCAGCTAATCAAGGAAGAACAGCTCAAGAGCTGTGGACAGGGCAACCTCCATCAGTCTCACACCTAAGGGTGTTTGGTTGTGTGGCCTATGTTCATGTGCCTGACCAGAAGAGGAAGAAGCTAGACAATAAAAGTGTGAGATGCCAATTCCTGGGTATTTCTGTGGAATCTAAAGCTTACAAGTTGTTCAATCCAATCACTAGAAAGGTGATAATCAGCAGGGACGTGGTATTTGATGAGCAAAAAGGTTGGGACTGGGAGACTGAACCAAAACCAGTACCTACACAGATCCACTGGGAAGGAAGTGATGATGATTGGCCTGACTCAGACACTGAAGGAGAAGAACCTGCTGATGGATCAAACAGCAATCCTGCAACAACTCAGTCGTCACCACCAGCAAGTTCTACACAAGTTCCTCCTAGCACAAACCAGCCAGAAGAGGAAGAAGAAGGTTTTAGCTCCCCTACTGATGTTCTTGGCCTGCCTGCCACAGAACTTGGACCTCGAGTAAGACATCCTCCCAGCTATTTATCAAACTATGATTGTGGATTTGCTGATACAGAATGGAGAGCTATGGTAGCTGTGTCTGATGACCCTGTCACATTTGAAGAAGCAGTGCTTGATCCTAAGTGGAGAAAGGCAATGAATGAGGAAATAGCTTCCATATTAAAGAACCAGACATGGAGGCTAACAAAGCTTCCAGAAGGAGTAGTTCCAATTGGCCTCAAATGGATATTCAGAACCAAGTATAAGGAAGATGGGACAGTTGATAAATACAAAGCAAGGCTGGTGGTGAAGGGATTCACACAAAAGCAAGGAATAGACTACAATGAGGTATTTGCTCCTGTTGCTAGATGGGATACTATAAGAATTCTGTTGGCATTTGCTGCATTTCATGGCTTTGAGGTTTATCAATTAGATGTGAAGAGTGCATTTTTATATGGGGAACTAGAAGAAGACATCTATGTGGAGCAGCCACAAGGATTTGTGGCTGCTGGGGAGGAAAGTAAAGTGTATAAACTGAATAAAGCTTTATATGGATTGAAACAAGCCCCAAGGGCTTGGTACAGCAGAATTGAAACTCATTTCCTGAAGTCTGGGTTTGAGAGAAGTCCATATGAACATACACTGTTCATTAGGAAAGAGGGGGAGGAGATCTTGGTGGTTAGCCTGTATGTGGATGATTTGTTATACACAGGAAACAGTTCCAGGCTAATGAGTGAATTCAAAGACTCCATGAAGGCTGAGTTTGAAATGACTGATCTCGGGAAAATGAGGTTCTTTCTAGGGGTTGAAGTCATTCAGAATGATGCAGGGATCTTCATTTGCCAGCAAAAGTACATTAAAGATGTACTGAGCAAGTTCAAACTGGAAGGCTGCAACTCTGTATTGAATCCACTAGCACCAGGAATGAAGATGACCAGAGCAGGAGATGGGTTCCCAGTCAATCCTACTGAGTACAAAAGGCTGATTGGCAGCCTGCTGTATGCCACAGCAACCAGGCCTGATCTTATGTATGTGGTCTGCCTTCTTAGCAGGTATATGGAAAGTCCTACCAGGCAGCATATGTTGGCTGCCAAGAGGGTGATTCGATACCTCAAAGGAACTATAAGCATGGGGGTCTGGTACAAGAGAAGAAGTGAAGAGGCCCAGCTACTTGGTTTCACTGACAGTGATTATGCAGGTGATGTTGATGACAGGAAAAGTACAAGTGGATACACGTTTTTCCTTGCAGGTGGAGTGGTGTCTTGGGCCTCCAAGAAGCAACCTGTGGTTACTTTATCAACCACAGAGGCTGAATTTGTAGCAGCCTCATTCTGTGCAGCTCAATGTGTGTGGATGAGAAGAATCCTGGAGCAGATTGGATGGAAAGAAAGTGTCACTGGAGCCACGAAGATTATGTGTGACAACAGCTCTGCCATCAAGCTTTCCAAGAATCCTGTGCTTCATGGCAGAAGCAAGCACATAGACATTCGATTTCATTTTCTCAGGGAGTTGGCTGCTGAAGGAATTGTGGAGTTGGAACACTGCAGAACCCATGAGCAGATTGCTGATGTCATGACTAAGGGGCTTAAAACTGAGACCTATCAACTGCTGAGGACTGAACTTGGAATGGTGAATTTGTCAGAGTTCGAAGATGCAAGCAAAGAGGTGAACTGAAGCAAGCAAACCTGCTTCAGTTCAGGGGAGGATCTGTTGGACTTGGTTTGGAAGCTAGAAGGAGAAGTAATCCGAATCCCTTGCGGAGAAGGATTGGAGCGGTTCGATATGAAGACTGAAGATTAAGTGAAACTGCAGCGTTTGGTTATTTATGTTTTGGTCCTTGTTTTATTTAGTTATGTTAGTTTGGTCAGTATCCGTTGTGATCAACAGATCGAGCAAACAGAGTGCTGATCTTCAGCTGATGTTTGGTTTAGTGGTTGCTGATTGTTAGGAGAGTAGTTTGGGTAGTTGTTTTCTGGCCGATTCCTATGGCTGAACCCTTTGTATTTATTCTCTCTTCATTTCAATAAACAAGCTGTCAGATTGCAACCAGATTTAGGCTTTCAGAGCTGACACTGGCGAACATTGTGGCTCGAGCGCTGGAGTTCCCCAAGGAGCCCCCCGTGCCGGCGGCGGCGAAGGACCTGATTTCGCAGCTGCTGGCGAAGGATCCGGCGAGGCGGCTGGGGTCGACGATGGGGGCGTCGGCGATTAAGCACCACGCGTTTTTCCAAGGGGTGAATTGGGCTTTGTTGAGGTGCACGAAACCGCCGTATGTGCCGCCGCCGTTTAGCAGGGATGTTGTGTCGGACGATAGTTGCCCCGAGACACCGGTTGAGTATTATTAAATCAAATAATCATAAGTTATGTGTAAAAATTATTAGAAGGAAAAATTGGCTAGAGGAAAGGAAATGAAACTTCCCCACTGCGTGTATTCGTTGGTCTGATTCCAGTGTTCATTTCTCTTTCAATTTGTTCTTGTTCTAGCGGTATATATTTGCAGTGGTTGTAAAGATGCAGAAGATGTTATAGTGGAGTGGAAGGGTTGGTTTTTGAAACCATAAGGTGAAAAAGTGTAATACAAAAGCTCACGTTCAAAGCAACGGCAGATCTAACTACATGTAAGACTTGTCATAAATTTTAAGAGATCGAAAGAACGCGAAGAAGGATGGAATTTATTTACTGTGAAAAAGTTTTGGAACTTATTCGTTCTTTTGCGTATGCATTTTGCTTATTCGGGGTACATAGTTCTTTTCACTCATCAATAAAAATCGAGATATGCTCCAACATCCTCCGCTACATCTAGTTAACGACTTTTTTTTCCTTTTAATTTTGAACGGCTCCTGAAAGTCTCATTTGGTAAGAGTTTGTTAATTCCCTCTTTACCGTCATTATACCAAGGTTCGAATTATTTCAACTTAGTTGTTTGACATTCTTCCGCTTAGGTTTCTGACTTCGTCAGTGGTCTGACGATCAATTACGATAAGTTTTAACTAAATAAGTTGATGAGATCCTGGAGAATAATGGGAGAGAATTGTATTTATTTCATCGGATTCATTGTTTAGTAAAGTTTCAAGCAATATGTAAGATGTAAATGATTATTGTTGATCTCAAATACCGAATTTAAACTTGTTGGATATTATCATCGTTACATCACCACTCAGTCACCCCCTTCAATTTTCCACAGTGAGTTGTCGTCAGCGATCAAAGCAGTTGCAATATTATGCCGGGAATAATGTGAATCCATATATATACGTAATACGTATCCATCGACCAGTCGCCTGCAGACAGTTTGATTATTCAATCACAGCCATAAAAGAGCGAGAGCGATGGGGGAAGAAAAAGCCGGTGAGGATGGTGGCTGTCGGGGGCCGGACATCAATAACGGGACCGGCGGCCGGGAAGAAAATCTGGAGAGTTTGTTGGGTGTGTGTGTGTTTATTCGTTTTGTTGGTAATTAAGAGCGTCGCAAAAAGTCCACCGCCCCCATGTGAATTGAATTGAATGGGCAATCTGTTCGTGGAGGCAACAAAATCTTCTAATAAGTGTGAGGTTCAGGAATAATGAAAATATCATCGACTTATCGTTTGTGTTTTCTTATTAGTTGTTCGGTTCCTTTCATTTTTTTGGGTGTGTTTTTTTGGCTCTATTAGGAGAAATTAAGGAGAATCACGTCATGATGTCTGCTGAATGCTACTGATGTTTTCATATCTGACTCTATGTATCCATCAAAGGTTTCAACAAAGAGGTATGGGTAGGACTCAAGGGTTGGAGTTAGCATGGGACATTGGCTCGTTCATGAATTCCAACAAGTCCACAACAAACATATATATACTAGTCTTGTATTAAACCTTTCCAGTTTTCTGATACGGTAGTTGTGAGGTCCGACTCATTTCTTTTAGCAAAATGCTAACTGCTTAGTTCGATTGTTTAGAACGTAAGAGTACCCTTTACCATTTGAAAATCATGTTGTTGATGCGAACACGAAGCGTGATCTAGTGTAATTATTACCGATTTTCAATTTGGAGGTTTTACACTCGAATAACCTGATTATCATAACAATAAAAGCGAACTTATGTTACCCATACAAAACAACCATGCTATTGAAGTTTTTGATTCTATTATTTGTCATTAGCAAGTGTATTCACAATCCACTCGTTTTTTATTGGGTTGTTTGGCAACCATGTATCGTAGATTACTTGAACTTAACATATCATGTGTTTTGTAGAAGGTTGTGAGAATTCATGTAACAAATATGGCCTAGTCCTTAGTCCCAACAACTAGGTGTGTGGAACGGTCTGGTCCATACAAACCACACCAAACCAAACCAATGATTAAGTCGGATCACACCGAACCAAATATAATATGGTCTAGTTTTTAGTCCCATAAATTTTATTAATACTGAAGAGAAATAGACCGAATTACAATTTAGACAAGATCAAATCAGAACAAATGCAATTTAATATGATCCTCGATCCTACAATATCTTTCACAATCGAACTGTGATTTTCATGAACAAATATGAAAGAACCAAACCGTTGCACACCCTACGTTCCCATTAGATGCTACTATTGGGCCCTCTTTTCTCCGTAACCCCTCGTCGCAAGCCCAGTCCAATTGCCCGTTTCTTCGACCCTTTAATTTTGTGTGTGGGCTAGTGCCAAGCGGGCTAGCGGCCCAATCTACTTTCACAATGTCGTTGACGTAGCCGGGAATAAATGTGTAGTTGGTAACGGAACTCGTGGGTTGGTTCAGTTGGGCGCTCAAACTATGTGTGAAAGTATATCAAACTTACTTGGCATGACAACTATCTAATTGAAGGCATTCTAGTTGTCAAAGCAGGATCACAATCTTAATAAGTGTGGGATTTGAGACCCGAAGACTCATCAGTAATTAGTTGTCATTCGCCTCTTATTCGGTTGTAGCGTAAGTCGGAAATATGTATCTCTATAAAATTAATTTGACAAATGTTTATGTGTCAGACTATCGATCGTGACACATATAAGTGACATTGAGATGCTATTGTATTGTCAATATAGTAGACAAAAAGTTCGAATCCATGACAAAGTATTCTGAACTTGTGTGTCGAGTAGCCAACTAACTTTCTCCTCTTGGTTATATACCAACATTTTTTGTGTGTTTCTATATAGTAGTTATCGCAGCCAGACTTTTCACGTTTTTCCTCGAAATTTTAAGATTATAGTAGTGTGAATAGGGAGTATCTTCTTCATTTATAAGATTATTATTAATATTATAGTGCAATGTCAACCATTTATGCAAGACACAATAGTTTGATGACCAATTATGCATTGAAAACCTGAAGGAGGTCCTAAAGGTAAATGTTTATTTAAGGCTTAATTGCAAGTTTGGTCACTCGAATTGCTATAAAATTTTACGTTTGCCACTCAAATTAATTTATTCCATTTATAGTCACTCGAATTAGTTGAACAATTCAAGTTCGGTCACTCTCCGTTAAGCTCCGTTAACTTTGGCTGACGTGGCAGTCAACTATGACAGTTGACCATTAAATATGTGACGTGGCAAATAAAAAATAATTAAAAATTAAAAATTAAATTTGTAGAAATTACACATCATTATCACAAACAATTATAATTATAAAAAATGAAAAAAAATTCCTTCCACATTATTATCACAAAAACAAACAACACAAAATTATAATAATTAACATTATCAAATTGAAAAAGAAACTCCTAACCTAAGATCGTCTTCGTCTCCACTCTCCAACACCACACTATATGTTAGCCCAAAATTGGAAAAGCCACCAACTGCTTACCTTTTCCCTTCTTCTTCCCCACATCAAACACCACCGCTACACCGCTTCCTTATCCGACAATTGCTTCCAGTTCGGCGGCGCATCAGCAGTTCCCAATTCCCATTATCGTTCAACACCAACAAATTCATATTCGCCTGCCGTAATTTTAGATCTGTTCCCCAGGGAGGCTGGGCTGGTTACCCGAATTGGAAATCCCTAATTGAAAAACAGAGACTCAATTTTCCGCATGACGAGTCGTTCTATCATCTTCATCGAAAAATTAGGGGTCATTTCTTCTTTTCTCACCCGTAATCACCTTCACCTCCTCCACACTCGACCCGGCCCCTTCCTCTAACTCCGTCAAATCTCGTATCTCGGCGGTGATAACATCCACGATGAGGCCCGCTGCCTCCGTGGCCACCATCTTCTTTTCCAAATACGTCGCGTTCAACGCCGGGCCGACCCTTCCGTCATCTTCCAACCCAACGCGAATAGCGCTTCATGCTCAGCATCAACACCAACTTCGAGGGATGCATGAAGCTGATCAACGAGGTGATCCCCGAGCTCCCCATCTACCTCGTGCCTTAATTACCAGACGATGATTTCATATCGTACCGGACTTCCTATGTCCAATGCTTCATTTCACTTCCAATCCCTTTGTCGAAATGCTCTGTTCCTCCGAAAAGCAGAGAGGCTGGAGGGTTTGATGGACCATGAGTTTCCTGAACTGAGTTTGTGCCCGAGAGACTGTGTGCAGATGATCTAATTGAATCGCTGCATTTTTTTGTCCAATTCCCCACCTGGAATGTCGACAGAAGTTCATCGGAAGAGATCCGAGGCCGGAGAATTTCTTGAAGAAGAAATCGGATTACGTGAAGAAGAAAAGAAATTTATTTTATTTTTCATCGTTTAAAGATTAATGTATGTAAGAATGAGGTGTAAATTTTAAATAATTAAAATTTATTATTATATTATTTTTTAATAGTCACTTCACACATTTAACGGTCAACTGTCAGAGTTGACCGCCACGTCAGTCAAAGTTAACGGAGGTTAACGGAGAGTGACTGAACTTGAACTGTTCAACTAATTCGAGTGACTATAAATGGAATAAATTAATTTGAGTGGCAAACGTGAAATTTTATAGCAATTCGAGTGACCAAACTTGCAATTAAGCCGTTTATTTAACTTTAAAAAGAGGCCCGGACAAGTTACGGCGGCCGGTGCTTATTAGCAAGTAGCAACTTCCGGTAGCTTGAAGCTTAAAATTAAAATCCTCCACAATCACAATTCACAAGTCCCGCGCTCAAAAAAAGACTTCAGAATCACAGTCGTTCGAGCTCCTCTCTTCCTGCTCCTTCGCCGGTCCTCTCTCACTCTCACCGTCCTCCTTCCTCCGTCTTGCCGTAGGTTCCAGCAACAATGGAGGAGCCACAAAACGGGAACTCAAACGACCACTCGGAGGCCCCGCCGGAGACCGAGCAGCCTGCCGTCGGCCCTGCACCGCCTCCTAAGGCTCGCACCAAGCGTCCACTCCAGTTCGAGCATGCCTACCTCGACGCCCTTCCCTCTGCAAATATGTATGCAATGCCTGCTTTCTCCCTTCTTATGCTCATCTTCGCCCTACGGATTGTTATTTTAGGGTTTAGGTTTCTTCAGAGCGTAGCATAGCTTCGCAACTCTGCGGGAAATGATAGAGCGAACTAAATACTAGAACTTATTCGTTAGTGCTTTTGCCACTATGGTAGTGGAATTTGAGCTCTAATTTTGAAGTTGTAGATGTTTTTGGGATTTGTTTTGTTGCTTGATATGTAGGAGTTATCTTTCACTGTTGTTACATTCGAGTAGAGCAGGAGATGCTCGTAACAGGTTATACATTGGCGTCAAATGGTTGTTCTGTTTGCCCTTTCCTTCATATGATTTACACTCTCTTCCTTCAGGGGATGAACTCTTGTTGGTACTTAACTTCTTTGTTTTATGAATCTCTTAATCTGCCCCCGTGCTGTCAAATTGGTCAAATTTTTCGTCTTCAGCAAGCTCAAGTAATTAGAGTGGGACGTTTGCCTTCCTTGTCGCGTCGGTCATGATTCTTATTAGCCAGTCGATGGTGCTCCGGTCTAATGTGTCAGGGAGGCAAGGCATTGCATCTCTTTCTCCCTCGTTCAAGTTTATTACCCTTCTGTTCTTTCATCACAAAAGATCAGATCTTGAAGTCTGAGCATATTTGTTTTCTATGATGCATCACATGCTTGAAACTTTGCCTTCTTCTTAGATTGACTAAAAGTTGTTGTTACTGAATGTTAATCTACAAGTGTGACAAGAGAACGTACTCTTTTATGTTTTACATGGCAGGTATGAGAAAAGTTATATGCATCGAGATGTGGTGACGCACGTTGCTGTTTCAGCAGCAGATTTTTTCATCACTGGAAGTCTTGATGGTATTGCTTTTGATTGTATATGCGAAGGTGTTTCATGCCCTGTCATTTTGTTCCTGAACTTTTTCCTGAAGTTGTTTCTTTCTACGCTCCAAAGGGAACCCTATGTTTGGATTTTATTACCAATCATAGCTATCTAGAAAGGAGATCTTGGTAGCATAATTTTGTAATTTTGTGGAGCTGCTCTTTAATTTTCGGTCTGTCTGTAAGCTTCAGTAGGATTGCCATATCTTAACTTAGACTTTCTTATAACATAAAGCATCATGCACTAGAATGTCTATCGGATACATTATTTTGGATGTAAGCTGTTCAGATTGTCTTCTTCAGTAGCTGTTGGCTGTTCTCTCAGAAAATTCATATATTTCATCAGTTAACATAGTGATGATAACTTTTCTATATTCTGTGGGCTGGAGGCCTGTATTCCAACGCCTGGGGTTTATCCTATGAAAGATGCAAAAGAGCTGAAGTTGGTGGTGAAAGTTGGTTTACACCTCCAAGGTTGTTGGCATTTTCCCATTTGTTAACTTAAGACGGAGTGCAGGGGTTAATCACAATTTAAATCAATTACTTTTTTGTTGTTGTTGATAATGGAGCTTATTCCAAATTGTTATCTTTGGGTTCCTCATTCTTTATTTCATGAATTCCATTACCTCGGATGCTGCAGCATTTGAAGTTGCATATGTTGGAACATTTCATGTTGAAAAATTGAGTTTGCTTATACTTTGATTCTCAGGTTATGAGTCAAGACTCTCAGCATGTTTGTATTATATAGCTTATATTGCCAGGGATTGGAAAATTGTGTTTTGATGGAGGCTTTTTTTCCCCCTTGTTTATTCTTCAGGACACTTGAAATTCTGGAAGAAAAAATCAATTGGTATTGAGTTTGCAAAACATTTCAGATCCCATCTTGGTCCCATAGAAGGCTTAGCGGTGAGTTCTTTTTGCTGCCTCGGTTAATTGTTAGTTCACTAGTTGAATGTCAATTTGATTTGTGTTGATAAAAAAATTTGATCTTGAAAACCCTTCTCATTGAAAATCTTGTAGTTTATTCGGTTTCAATTAACCTAGTTTGTATTTGCTGGAAGGGCACTTCACAAACTTAAGTGGGATTGTGAGTACAGTGACCTTTAGTTTCCTCTTTACCGTGCTTATGTATGTTCATAATTTTATTTGGCACATCATTGGCTTTTCTTGCTTGTTTAATTTCAGTTCGAGTTGGATGGTTAGTGAAGTCCTCAACCCTGACCCTTTTCCAGCTTTGCAGGTTAGCATTGATGGTCTGCTTTGTTGCACGATATCAAGTGATCAATCCGTCAAGATCTATGATGTGGTGAATTATGACATGATGGTCATGCTTAGCTTGCCATATCTTCCTGGGAGTGTTGAGTGGGTTTATGAACAAGGAGATGTGAAAGCCAAGCTTGCAATCAGTGATCGAAACTCCTCTTTTGTTCACATTTATGATGCACGAGCGGGTACAAATGAACCTATTATCTCAAGAGAGGTAACTAACTAGGGATGCAGTAGTTCCAATGAGAAGCCGCATTACCTCTTTCCTTGATGAAGATATCAAATTTTTGCTTTTTGATTTGTTCCTCCAGATTCACATGGGGCCAGTCAAAGTTATGAAGTACAACCCAGCTTTCGATACTGTGATATCTGCTGATATGAAGGGAATAATTGAATATTGGAGTCCTTCTACACTTCAGTTTCCAGAGGATGAGTATGTGCCCCTCTACACATAAATGTCCTTTATAAAAATAAAATTGAGCTGTCTGAATTCATAGATATGCTATTATCCGTCTCATTCCTTTTGCTTTTAGATTTGTATTAAGATGATACACTTCTTCTCCTTGTTTTCATCTAATGTCATCCATCTTCTTCATTCATTCGTAGTATTATTCCTGTTAAGTTCCATTCTTTTTACAGTTTACGCAGTTACTTTTTAGCTTTCCATTACTGTCAATGGTTGTGATGTCTAACGACCTTTTCTTTTAATTTGCAATGCAGGGTGAATTTTAAATTAAAAAGTGATACTAACTTATTCGAAATCGTGAAATGCAAGACGAGTGTTTCAGCTATTGAGGTGATGTGACTTCTTTTTGTATAAGTGTCATTGTGGATGCTGGATGGTTAGAATTAGAAGAAGGAAACTAATTAGTTAATCTGAAAATTTTATGCCCTTCAGGTCAGCCCCGATGGTAAGCAGTTCTCAATTACATCACCTGATCGCAGGATACGAGTATTTTGGTTCAGAACGGGCAAACTAAGACGAGTTTATGATGAATCTCTTGAGGTAAAACCAATGTTTGACTAGACTTTCATTTTAACTCTGCGCCTTTAGTTTTTTTTAAAGATTTTATCTGCTGTGGGTAGGTGGCTCAAGACCTACAAAGGAGTGATGCTCCTTTGTACCGACTAGAGGCCATTGATTTTGGACGAAGGATGGCTGTTGAGAAAGAATTTGAGAAAACAGAAACTGCAACTCAGCCAAATGCTGTTTTTGATGAAAGTTCCAATTTTATCATATATGCGACACTTCTGGGAATAAAAGTAAGTGAACTTTGATAATTTCATCTAATTGCTAATGCTTTATGCCTTAGGTTGTTATTCACCTCTTCAATTTGAGATTCAATGATTTTGTCTAACTCTTTTGACCTTCTATGTATATGTAGATAGTAAATCTGCACACGAACAAAGTGGCCCGAATCCTCGGAAAGGTGGAGAACAACGACAGGTTCTTGCGAATCGCCTTGTATCAAGGCGACCGAAGCAATAAAAAAGTTCGAAAAATTCCCACAGCAGCAGCTAATGCAAATGAGAGCAAAGAGCCATTAACTGACCCTACTCTTTTATGTTGTGCCTTCAAGAAGCACAGGATTTATTTATTCAGGTATGTGGCTTATTAACTTGTCTGATTTTATCCTAGTGACTGTTATGTAATTCTGACAAATTATGAAAGCGTGTCTTGTGAACATCTGACAGCTTTAGAGTTAATCTACAAGTACATTAGCTTTTGGAAGCCCTAAGCTTTATGATGAAGACCTTTGAGAGTCAGTCCTTTGTATTGAAGTGCTTTTTTCCCCGCTGAAGAGAAAAGTACTTCCTTTTATCAAAAAGCGGATAAATGTTTGCTTCACACAAGTTGATAAAGTGCTGTACTTCAAGGAACAAAAATCTCTTCAAGATGTGATCTAGTTATTTCCAATAGGTAGATGATCAGTAAGAAGGAAAATTACGGTTTATTAGTTTGAAACATAAACCCGTCCCTTCTTAATGTTCTATCATGATCTAAGGTACTTGAATATCAGTGAAATAATTGAATGAAATACTTCATGAAACATCTAAAGTTATGTTCTCTCGAAATGGGTTGCAAGTAGCTAGCTATCATCCAGCAACAATGAGGTTATGACATGTGGTTTTATCACTTTCTTAATGTACTAATAACAGCCGGAGAGAGCCAGAAGAGCCCGAGGATGCAACTAAGGGTAGGGATGTTTTCAATGAGAAGCCTCCAGCAGATGAACTCTTGGCTGTTTCAGAACTAGGAAAGGCTGCGGCATCATCACTCCCTGAGAATGTGGTGAGTTTTCTAATGATATGAATAGATAACCATTAACTAACACTATCTGCCATTCGGAATATGCTGTATTTACTCAATTCATTTAAATACATACGGTTGTAACCAAGTTCTCCTACATTAAAGCCGTATTTCCCCCCATTCCATGATGATAGAAGCAAGGGGGGTCATGCTGTTGTCTGATTAATTTTTCTGGTAACATTTCCAATTTTAATGCCAGATTCTGAACACTACAATGGGTGACATTCATATGAGACTCTACCCTGAAGAGTGTCCGAAAACTGCGGAGAACTTCACGACACACTGCCGGAATGGTTATTACGATAATTTGATATTCCATCGTGTCATCAAAGGGTTCATGATACAGACGGGAGATCCTTTGGGAGATGGCACAGGTGGGCAGTCCATTTGGGGAAGGGAGTTCGAGGATGAATTTCACAAAAGGTTGACCAACTTTCTATGAAAAATGTTTTGTCAATTATTAGATTGAGAAGTGAAGACTTTATCCAACTGATCCATTTCTTTCCTTTTCCCCTCCATTGCAGCTTACGTCATGATAGGCCTTTCACAGTATCTATGGCAAATGCAGGGCCAAATACCAACGGTTCTCAGTTTTTCATCACCACAGTAGCTACACCGTGGCTGGATAGTAAACATACTGTATTCGGCAGAGTTGTTAAAGGAATGGATGTTGTCCAGGTAACGCTACAACTGTCCATGACACTCTGTTTCTAATATATAGTCAATCAGCTCTCCCTCCTAACACTATTAGCTTTGCTTTTGGGACTAATTGTTATGGCGATTACAGGGTATTGAGAAGGTGAAGACTGACAAGGGCGACAGGCCATACCAAGATGTGAAAATTTTGAATGTTACTGTTCCAAAAAACTAACATCACCCCCCATAACGGAGACTTCCTTTAGAAGTGGTGTGCGTTTGTCAAGAATCTTGTGTCCCAAGTAAGCGGGTCAATCTCATCATCCACTTCGAATTGCTTGTCCACTTGAATGTGGTCTGTAGGCCATCAGTTATAGTTTCAGGGTAGTGGTAGGAACTCTTGATTCTGGAAATGTCTCGCTGTTCATAAGGTTCTAAAGTTGTTGTTTTTTCGCTGTTGCAGATCGCAGCATGGTAGCTTTCATTGTAAGCTTCCAATCGATACTGTATCCCGAGTTGACGCGTAGTCCTGAGTTCAAAAACCTTCTCTTTGGGTTGAGATGTACCTGTTACTTATCCACTGGTACTGATACAGAACCAAGCTGCAAACACTTTTATAAGCATCTTTCCATTTTTATTATAGATTTATCGTGAACATTGAATTCGTGAACAAACTATAGGTATAGGACACCCTATATCTTACTATATGGCCCAGCCATTCCTAAATAGATCATTTGGTTTAAGTTTGATCACCAGTAGAAATGTTGATTAATCAAATTTAATCCAATATTCGACACTAAATCTTGTCGTACTGGAGTTTAAATAATCTCTTCGACCATGATTGTTTCATGTTTGGACTTGTAAAAAATGCCTACAAGCATGTACAAACCTATTTCTTGGGTCATGAAGAGGAACTCAAGTTCTTGAGCCATGAAGGACATTTGTTAAAATGTAACCGCCAGCCAGATAAAAAGTAAGGAGGATAAGGATGAAAACTATAAATTGCAACCCAACATAGGGTTCGAGCAAGCCATCAATTAACTGCCATGCAGAAGAAGCAAAGTCCTACTGTCCCTCTCTTTTTACTGCCAAAACTACCCACGCCACCTTCCCCATTAACTTAACCACTAATTATAACCTTGTCAGAAAAAAAAAAAAAATACTTCAGGAGCATTCTCTGTTCCTGCAAATCAAGGTGATAACAATGGCGGCAGAGCAAACTGATGCTGCTGACAAGGACAACATTTCGCAACAGCAGGCGGAGTTCATCCAGAGAATGAAAGACGAGGCAAAACACACACTAGTTTTCTTTATATAAAGCAAACCTCAGAAACCATTGGGGTAGGTGGTAACTGACAACCAGTTATGTTTTTGTAGGAGACGCTGGACGTGAACTTCGATACGGTGGCGGGGCTCCGGTCGCCGGAGAACCCGAGGTTTCTGGTGGAGATCATCGACACTTTCGTGGCTCACTCTGCAACTGTTGTCGCACGGTTGGAGTCTGAAATGTAAATACACGTATACCACAACAACTGCCTAATCACTCACCATTTTATTTTACTGTTGGTGTTGGGGACTTTTTTCTTAAAAATTTTCATGCATCGTTTCGTTGTGGTCGCTACTACTCAGCAATCAGCCGATTCCTTTCTACGATGATGCAGTCAGGGAGCTTTTCCAACTCAAAGGCAGCTCTTCCAGGTATTAATATCTCGAGCAGATTGTTATGTTACAATTTGGTGCAATTTTGATTGATTTTGTCACTCTAAATCATATTGGTGGCAGCATGGGAGGTGGAAGAGTGGCGGCTGCTTGCCTCGAGTTGCGTCGGGCTTGCGATGACTCGGATAAACAGAGGTACTTCTGCCGTCTGCCAGTATCATCTTTGGAGGTTGATTGATTGTACGCTGAGATTGTGTAAACTGAATCAAAGTTTATTACCTACACTTATTAGATGCTTGGAATCCTTAGAGAAGGTGAAGGACGAGTACCAGACTTTGAGGGACACACTCATCGAGATCAGTAGGGTATGTAAAACAAAAACTCCATTCCCTGGAATTGTATGTATTATCTATCAACCAAAGATTTACAGTAATGGATTTACTAAATTGCATTATTGGTTGATTGCCAGATGGAGAAGATTATTCTCGACGAAAGTGTCACGCCGGCTTCATTAGCAGCAGCATTGAACTGATAAGAGCTCATTAGAAACTGCTATGTGAAATTGTGAACCCTCTTCTTCATTATTGTTGGGGTGCTCTGTTTTTATGATTAGAAGTTGTGTTTGGCCTTTCTGGGTCTCAGGGATATTACTGTGTAGCATCATTCTTTAGGATGGCTTCTGCCCATTACACCATAAACTGGGTTGAATGGTAGGTTATGGAACTGTTGCCTAAACTACAACACAAACCACAAAGCAATTAAATAGAAATAAAACAGGATACTGGAGCAATCAATAAGAGAATTGAAGTATCAAAGCTAACACTGCAATTTCATGACATCTTCATTAATAAATCCAAAATTAAGACTGCTCTCAGGAACATCCAATACATCTCGAAGTACAGATTACAAAACTTGTAAAAGTTCAACTAAAACACTAAGTAAAAACCAAAGTACAACAGTCCTCAAGGGACAACAATAGCCAGCAGGCAGAGCAATTTAGTCGAACAAGCTGAAGCCCATGTCCTGCAAAAACATAAAAAAAACAATCAGCACATTTCATAAACAGAGAAACAAGTAATAAACTAGATCAATAGTCAATCATAAGGAATAGTAGTAGGGAGTGGAAAATTTACATCATCAGACTCTTCCTTCTCTTCCACCTTCTCCACCTTCTTTGACTCGGCAGCTGGGGCAGCACCACCAGCAGCGGCAGGGCCAGCTGATGCAGCAACTGCAACGCCGCCACCACCACCTGAAGGAACTGAGGCCAACTTCTCCATACCAGCTGCAATCAGCTCGGTGGTGTCCTTTCCTTTCACTTGAGACAAGAGCAACTCAATCCTATCTTCATCAGCATCAGCGCCAACTGCAGTTAACGAATTCACAACCCAAAAAACCACAGTTAGCATATTGACCAGTCAGGCAGCACTTAACATATTCTGCTCTACAATCACCATTCACCAACCAAAGCAAACATTTTGAAATGGTCCTATATTACTTCAGAAAAGAATACATCCTAAATCACTTATGAAACTCAAATTGGTTATGCGAAGCTGAAAAAATGGATTGTTCTAGAAAAGAGAGCATCTTTAACCTTCAAGGTCCCTAATTCACAATATGATCTGTATCGACCTCAAATACATTTCAAGGATAACAGGGACTAATTCATGTTTACAAACTGACGAACTGAGCGGCAAACAAATCGAAACCCTCTATTGAAATGAACAAGGAAATGGAAGCCTTACCGGATCCAAGGATCTTCTTCAAGTCCTCGGCGGTGGGGGAGGAGTTGCCTCCCAAAACGGCGAGAAGGTAAGCTGCGACAACCTTCATTTCTCTCTCCTGAAATCACAAAAGAAATGAAAGATCAGATCAAATTGAGAAGCCGAACGGCAGGAGACGAGACCGGAGATAAACAAACGGCTTCGTACTGTGGCTTGAAGCGGGTGAAGGATTGGAGGTGCTGGCCTCTTGCGCAGATGAAGGAAAATCTAGGGTTTCTGAGGGACGACACAAATGGAGGCCGTATGATTTATATACATGTAGGGTTTTTGTGTTTCCGCTTTCTGGTTTCCATGATCGGATCCTGACCGTTCATTAAGCTACCCTGAATTTCCAGCCTGTAGCTCTTTTGGGCCTCGGATTGGGCCGAGGACAGACCCATTAACTGTTGGGTTTGTAGGAGTAACCCACCAAAAAAAAAAAAAAAAAAACTAGTGCATACAAGGAGGAAGCGTCTGGAGTGGATTCAACTCGGTCCAAGGCTTTCATGGTTATTGTGTAAATATTATAGCCTTCAAAGTGTACAGAAGATATGAATTGTTTACAAAAGAGATCATCTCGTGATTAGAGATATAGTCTATAATCTAATTTATGTAATCAAGAGTCACATCAAATTCCTGAAACTCAATTAACAGGGTAAATCAATTGCACAGGATTTTCATCCTGTGTCGGAATTCGATTAAACGAGTAAATTCAATAATTGAGGGAACTAAACTCATCTTAGGACTTTTGGGTGCCCAAACATAGAGGAATATGTCCCCAACAAATCACCTGAGAACCCAACTTTTTTTCTTGGGTGCTGGAGTTGAATCATCCCTTTCTAACTCTGGCATTCTGCTCTCCATCCCTTGTTTCAGTGCCTCCAGGCGTCTCCTGCACAAACCAAACAGAAAGATCATATCAGGTTCCTGTTACTGATACCCCTCAAGGAGGAAATGATATTCGCATCGAAAATGCATGTCAAGCTGTACTACCTACTAATCACAAGGCTAACATTAATGATTAATGAGCATTACTTGGTGTCAGTCATACGACCATGGAAGCTCCATCTTTGGCGAAAGCCTTCCATGCCTTCAACTCCACTGGCAAGAATCAGGCGCCTAATAACAAGTCAAGGACAGAGATAAATATGGTCAGCAGGACAATCCAGGAATCTAATTTTCACAAACCTATTCAAAAAAACCGGAGATGAAAATGAAGCACATTTTAATGTTTAAGTTTCAAAATGTGATGCATGAGGCTCAGCGCCCGAGTCATAACTAAGACAACCTCTCATAAGCTGTGGCTTCTGCTTCAAGTTGAGTAACTCGTTTCTTTGCCTCGTCCAAGGGCATTGATAACCCCAATTTGTGTTCACTATCTTGAAGGCGTTGCCTTAGCATCTTATCCTGAAACCCATCATCTCAAACATTAAATCTCCTGAGATGAAACACAATCCAATTAGAAATGAATGTTGTTATGCTGCGAAGCGAATCCAACTCACCCGCTTTTCAGCACATTCTCTGTACAAAGAAAGCTCATCTTGACAGAAAGGTTCGATGCCATTGACTTGCAAGCCTATACGAAGAAGTATGAACACTGATCCTTAGTTACCACACGAGGTCAAATTGGAAAAGTACTTTGATCTCCTCTATTATCTCTCAGAGACTCATGAGTAGCCACTCAGTAACTAGAAAGAACAGCTGTTGCTGCTCTTAACAAATGAATAGAGAGAACTCACATAAAAATAGATTCTTTAAGACTCCGTCGCATAATTCAAAGCCTTCCACCACATGGGAGGCAATTTCTTTCGGGATGAGAGGAGATGGTGGCCCCAACATCAGGTCCTCACCGACCAATATGGTTTCCTCCATGGTTGGCTACGCATCAACTGAAAGCAAAGAAGAAATAAGAAAACACTTTTTCCAGGTATCAATCAAGGATTTTGTGCGGTAGGTAGCAGTTAAGCATGCACCCAGGAACCCGATATATGAGAGAGCATGAACATGTTCCCCAAATCCCACTATGCAAAAATATCGAAAGAAAAGGGAACGAAGCTCAACAACTACTTCCATTCCATAGTTTACGACCCGACCCTGAACGTTGAAAGCACTAAAATCCAAATCCTCTCCTTCAAAATGCCATCTTTATAAACAATATAATTTCCATTGAGGTAGACAAAACAAAAGAGAAGCATTAGCATACCATCCATGGCAGCTGTCGAAATGAACTCTTTATTTCAATGTATAACAGGACCTGTAAAACGACGAGACCGAAAGCAGAGTGAGAAATCAGAAGAAGTTCCAGCAGATTACAAACTCCACAATCAGAACCAAGCAAGCATCACTCTACAAAATTCCACCTGGAAGCCTCAGACAAACTAACACTACTTCACTGAAAATGGAAGAAGGGATAACGGAATTGTAGCGGAAAATTTTAGGCTCGTTCAGGAATTTCATCGAACACTTGGAGCACAACCCCAATTCATACTTAACCAAAAACCTCACAGGTCATCCTCGGCACCCTCGGTTCTGACTTTCTTCAAACACCAGTCGAAAGAGGAACAATCTTTGATTCCAAATGGCGGAAAGGAGACGAAGGGAGGAGCCTGTTTGAGTGAGTGGCGTTATACACTTATCCTTCAGGCAAGGCAATAACCAAAAGAGAAGTCTTTGCTGAAGTGCCACCAATGAACGCAACCAGGTGGGCGGGAAGGGGGAAGATCGAAAGTGGAGCCTGGGCCGCAACGGCGAGGGCGGCGGAGCGGCGGAGCAGCGGAGCAGCGGAGGGAAGGGTGATGGTCTGATTTTGCCGGAGCTTGGGACGACGGCACAGGGGAAGGTGGATGGAGAGTGGAAGTTTGAGAGAAGGACAGAAAAACCACTGAACTACCACCATCCCAATACGACGTCGTTCTACTTCCCGTTAGGCAAGTGGTGGCCGTATCTTGGTCTGGCCAAACCGGTACCCAACCCGTATTGCTCGATAACATCAAATGTCTTTTTTTTTATAATGGTGAAATATTTTATTAAGTATACATATTTCTTAGTAAACTTTTATACATACATATTTTATTGATAATCGAATTATCCATGTTCAAATGTCAATAAACAATTAAACATACACATTTATTAGTAAACTTTTATGCATAAATTTGTTACAAACATGCATTAACACTTTTTTTTGCCACAAAATGGATAATCCGATTATAATTATGCTGCTTAGAGGCACGAAAAATCTGAACCTAGGTGAAAAAATGGACTTCCTCGTTTATTCATCCGAAGCAACAAAACCGCAAACAATTTTTCAATAAGCAAAACCAAAAACCAACCAGGGAAAAAAAAAATGTAAACACAGTGCTTCAGACGCCGACTGCAGCCATAAACTCCAGATCCCTTCCCAATCTCTCCGCCGTCTCCGGCAACAAGCAAATCTCCACGTCCATGCTTCCCGCCTCCACTCCGGGATACACAGTAACCTTGCCGTCGAATTTGTTGCCGGCCCCGCTCCTCACCGCGACCGGCTTCCCCCAACCGAAATCGTTCCCGTAGACGTCGTACCTCGGGGAGCTACCCAGCAGCATCAATCCCTCTTCTAATTCCCCAATTTTTAGGAACTTGGGGTTCTCGATCCAAGACTCCATCGCTTCCTTCAGCTTCTCGTCCGTCTGCTCCGCCACCACTCTGTTGACCGCCGCCGCCACGCGCCCCAGCCCCTTCTCCGCCACCAGCAATTCGCTCTCCTTCAATACGACCGATTGGCTCACAAGCGCGTTCCCAAAGTAGTCCTCCAGAACTCTGGGCTGGAGCCGCGATCGAAATCCGAAGAATAGGAGGAATTTCCGATCTCGATCTGGATCGGGATTGTTGCTCCGATTTCGGAACACCGCTCTCCAAATGTGGGAAATTAGGGATTGCAGAGACGAGATCTGGCTGCCGCCGCCGGCGGCGGCGGCGGATTCGGCATTGGCTTGCGCTTTCAGCGCCGCCAGCTTCTCGCGGCTGAAGTGGAAAACCCGCTCTTTTAGATGCTGCGGTGGGATGACTTCTTGTTCCAAATTTCCGACCACCATCCACGAAAACCTGCAAACAACGGATTTTACAGTTGGTCTTCAATCTATGAGTAATAAGGCACTTCAAAATTTAGCAACTTATGCTTTTACATTTACTAGTAATCGTGCCCGCCCGTTGGCCGGCCGAGTTTTTTATTTCTTCTTGAAAGAAAGATTGAATTTGTGAAATATCAACATAATATGTGAAACAAAATTTTAACTAAGTTTTGTCATACATTCTTTTTAACTTCAACAATACCAAATTTATCATGGCAGAAGTAAAGTGTGTATATAAAATTAAAGAAGTTGACAATTGAGAACGAATTGGATAAACCAACTTCATGTTATAAAGTTACACATTGAAACTCCAATTGATCACCTTGCAGAATGGTAAGCATTAAGCAAAACGCAAATAAGAAACAATTTAAAAATCCACTCACTAACATTCCCATATATGAAAATTGACCTACTAAATATTGACCTTATATATAAATTTGCTTGGATTGGTCTAAAAAATTTTAGGGCAACAAATAGATGAGGTTCGTTCTTTATTGAAATAATATCGTTTGTTTGTAGACTTTTGATCTCTATCCATAAAAGGCTTTCACAACAACGGTTGACATCTTTTCGTTATTACTCTGTCAATATACATTTGAATAGTTTATTCTCGAATTTAGGGATGCAAATTTTGTGGTGTATGATCATTATTGCACTTATCACTATTTGTGGAAACCTTGGTAAGCTTTTCTTGTCTTGGTAAGCATGAGATTACATTTTATATCTATGGTACACAAATTGGAGCACATATTTTTGTTTAAATTGGGTTAAATCTATTGCTTTGGTATATAATTGGTGTTAATCTATGAAGAGGCCAAGTTAGAATTTATCTGGCAATAGTATCAAAAGCTAAGGAATCACCTAAAATTGGACCGCCGTGGAGTTTGGTTATTGGAATTGCATGAAACTTGTTTATGTATAATAGTTTATTGAATTCATATTTGGCAAAGCATTAGACAAATCGATAGACATACAGTTGTAGGAAGTTAAAGCCGGAGTTTAGGACTTTGCCACATACTACTCGCGGAACTGCAGTCTCAGGTACAATTCTTTTTTTGAGGTGGGTAATCATCAAGTCTACATCGGAGTAAATTGTACTGAATCGATATCTAGACTTAATTGAATAAGATTGAGTATATTTTGATTATTGATCCTACAAATTATCTTATTATGAAAGAGAATTGTATCGAAGTTGAAATTAACGCTAGATAAAATCGAACACAATGAACAAAACATACTTTTGGTCGAATTTTTGTCCTCAATTTTCCTTTGTACTTTGGTCACTCTTATCCAAATTCCATATAATTTGAACAAAACATACTTTTGATTTAGTTTTGGTCCTCAATTTTTCTTTGACCTATTTCCAATCTTATTTATATTCCTTAATCCGCATATCATTTCCATTACGCAATCAATATAACATAAGGACTAATCTACTAATCTTCCAGTACCAACTTATTGCTGATTCCAATACCAACATTATGCTTCTTCCCTTTCCACCAAACCCATTCACTTTTATCCTTCTATAATTACTTCATCACCCCGTCAATTTCCAAGATCATTCACCTACCCATATTTTGGATGCACTTCGCCCAAGCAATCCTGGAGTAGAGAGCGATGTTGTGGAAGATGGAAGGGGTAGAGGGAGAGGAATACTTACGGACCGGGAGAGGGAGAAGCCACAGACAACAATTGTTGATTTTCGGTCGGCATCAACTCCTAACTCGGTACGATTCACCAACAGCTATTCAGTTTTGAAAGTTGAATCAGTGACTGGAAAAAGAAGCAGCGGCGGAGGGATTTGTTGCTTCAGCGGCGACGGACTTATACGGAGATATTTTAGGGATTGAAGAAGATTTATTGACAGCTGGTGTTGCGGAGCAGAAACGTGGCAGCCTGGGTTGTGAGTGTGAATTGCGCTGGGAGCGGGTTGAGTAAATTACAGGGGTGTCCTCCCTAGCAATACGGGGTGCGCAGGAAGAGCTGACGTGGCAAAGGCTCTTTATTGACATTCGCTTATAGTATTTTGTAGATAGTTCACCAATAGTGACAGATCCGAATGTAGTAAAGCATTGGGGCGCATTTGAATAGTTTTAGATATAGTAAATAAAAATAAATAACTCTCTCTCAAATTGTACTAAAAGTTCTTTTAATTTGACATATTCATCATTAATAGAATCTCTAACCATACCAATAGCATACTCGCTTACAAAGAAAGTAGCTAAGCAATCAACGAGAATTTCATCGCTCATTTTATTGCGCAAATTAATTTTCACATGTTTCATTGCTGAAAATGTTCTCTCCTTGGTATCCATTGAAACGGGCAGGGTCAACAGTAGACGAATCAACTGACAAAACAATTTGTATATGTTCATCTAGACCATTTTCCTAGTTACACAAAATCTCATTATCAAATAACACTCGACCTACTTTTAAATAATACCAGGCTGAATATCTAAGATCGAGAAATTTATAAGCACTACACTAACTCTGTATCTGAAGGAGGGCTGAGCCTTGACTCGGATTGGCCCAGCCATAGATTCGTCGCTGTTTACCAACACACTTTTTATGTAGAATCGTCCGTTCTATCTTACAAGTGTAGTCAAAATCTATTTTAAAAATTTACGATTTTACGATTGTAGATCATCAAAACGCTATCGCGATTTTGAGTGCATTATTTACACCTAACAATAAATTAAACATGTACCTGACCGGCCGATGCTTCTCATCCAGAAACCATTGCCTGCTGAAAACCTGCGACTTATCGGAGCCGTTCATCATCTCGGCTGAATAACCACCACTGCCGTCGCCGGACCGGCAGATTCCCGACCAGAAATTCATAAACCTCCAGAAAGTCGCGCCGTCGGCCACCACGTGGTTAATCGTGCAGCCGATGAAGAACCCATCGACGAGCTCCGTCACCTGGACCGCGAGCAACGGCTCGGAGAACCCGTGATGGTTTCTCATCCAGTTGAGAGGGAAAAACGACCAGAGCACCGGCGGGACGTAGAGCGGCTCGAGGACATCGGCGACGGACACGCCGTCGGCCGCGGCGTGGACGAACAGAGCGCCGGCGTTGTTGTTGCAGTCGATGTAGACGGAGGCAGTTCGGCCGCCGTCGGCGTCGGCGTGTTTGTCGACGGAGAGCCGGCCGGCGAAGGGGTAGAAGGAGGCGAGCGCGCGGGAGAAGGAGGATTTGAGGGCCTGGATAATGAATGTGGTTCGACCGTCGGTCGGACCGGTGGTTGGTTTGCGGAAGAGAATGCCCTTTTGGATGGGCCCGAGGAGGATGAAACGCAGGTCGCATGGAGTCAGGGGAATGCGTTCTGCTTCTGCAGTGTGCCTCCGCTGCTCGGCGGCTTGAACCAAACCGGTGGACAGAACTCGAAGTTGGCCGTCCGCCATTGTATCTTGTGCTTTACAGGAATAATGCTTTTGGCTATGAGGAGGCAGTGGGGATTTGCAAGATTATAAGGTGGTTGATGGGATGAAAAATTATTAAGTGGTGGGTCCAACTTTGTAGTGCCCACTGCAACATGTTCTTACATTTTAAAAAAAAATTGTAAGATGTCATTCATTCAATACTAAAGAGTAGCATTCACATAACTCATGGCAAACTAAATGTTGTTTCTACCGTTGCAATAGAGGTTTATGTACGTAGCAATAGCGTTATACGCGTTACTTTATCCAATGACCATGAAAAAAGCTCATGAATTATTTTATCCAGTTTAAGGCAATCTCTAGTCAACCTATAGTAATTTGATTGAGGTTCAAAATCTAAGATATTATTATCAGAGAACTCATGATTAGAATAAAAAGGAAGCTAGAACGTTTCAGAAAAAAGGAGGATCGGATGGAAGAAGAAGGAATAAATTTTTAACATTTGGAGATATCATGGATAAGGTTTACTTGTGGTTATGTGACAAAAATATTAACTTATATTGGCGACCTTTAAGTTCAAATCTGTTATAAACGCGCTGCTACGGATCGGGAAATCGTCGGGATCGACAAAACAAGAATACGAAAGCGAGAATCGAAAACACAGACACACGATTTACGTGGTTCACTAACACTATGTGTGTTAGCTACGTCCATGGGAGAGAGAGAGAGAGAGTCAGTTTCACTATATCGAGGAGATTACAGATTACAGAGGAGTATGAGAAGTATTTATAGTACTTCTCCATGTGGGTCTAGCGGCTGATACCAATCATAGCGACTGATAGTCCGATTCAAGTCACATCAAAAAAATTCATGTACATAATTTCTCCCGATTTGGTAGATCCATGAGACCCACCTTGCCTCCGCTATGGATGGCATGGTGATTAAAGAGTTGGGCCAATCATGGAAATGAAGTTGACTCCACATTCATCTGCCCATCATGTCCATTATCTTCTCATCAGTTTTTCCTCCCACGTGCTGGTTTACTGTTTATCACAGTCACACACCAATCACAAGGGTACTATTATTGATGAGTGTTGAAATCCTGCAACTCGATCCACTGCTAGAATGAGGCGCCTGAATCTTGATGAGCAGGAAACAGAGATATTTGGCTAGCAGGAGAGTCCATGAAACCTAATGTGTTGGCGATCGATCGATGTGATTCGGAAGAACTGAAGACTTAGCTATTGAAATACCGGTCGTGAGTATAGTTATCGATTTTCAGGATGAATACTTTGGAGGTCGTTTGCTTTAAGGATTTGGATGTGGGATTTGGTTCTTAAATCCAACACATGAAGGATTTGTCCAAAAGTCATTGTTTTGTTGAGCCAAAATGGAGGGTACCAAATCCATGGGAATTTGTAAATCCCACCTATATATTTACTTGGGATTTGAAGAAGGGAACAAATCCTTCATGAAAAATGACTTATATATGTCCCTTTATAATTTATTTATTCCAACTTTACCCGTCATTAGGTTATTCTTTGCACTACTACGATTGTCTCTTATAGCTACAAACTTAGCCATGAAAAGTAATATTGTAGCTAATAACATGCTAATGACTACATAATCTATGCCACAAGCTAATAACATAATAATGACTGCATAATTTATTCATCATGGCTATTTGTGATGGTCTTTGTTACACAGACATTTTGCCATAAGCGTATGATTATTTTGATTCAAATTTTGATTTGGATGGCAAGTAATACCCCTTAGCTACAAACTACATTTGTTGTTAAAATAGTAATTCTAACAAACAAATTTAGCCAAGAATCGTAAGATTACAACTATATATTGTGATTATCTACACATTTTACTATCTTGTGGCTACTAATTTTACGAGCTTACTATAAAATATCAATTTAAAAGCACAAATTAACAATTCGACCACACGAATAAAATTAGAAGCCATCCACGCCATGGAGGTCGTGCTGGGCTCGATCGTCTTGCCCCTCCGAGTCATGTCAACTTGTATTGCCAATGACATAAGTCGTCCTTGCTAATCAACTTGCAAATTCGTATGATAATATCAAATTTGTCATATAATTATATCTACTGATCTCACGCTTAAAAATAGTGATTTATTAATGAATATATAGGAAAAATATTCTGGAACTTTATAATTATCCTAATTAAGATTGTTGTAATTATCCGAGTTCCATTACCAAGCTATAGCTGCTATCAATGAAAATCTCAACCCAACTACGTAATTATCCAAAATAATCAATTTGGCGAATCTTAGTCAATTGTGCACAAAATATATCCATCTTTCTCTATAAATCAACCTCAAGAGGAATTTCTTCAGTTCCATGATTGTTCCCCAAAGGTTGCAAATCGTTGCCCTGCCATCCACGCGATGATGAACATCAATCTCCTCCTAGTAATTGCTCTACTGCTCAGCACTACTGGATCCAATGCCATTAGCCGCCATGACGATCAAAGAAAGGCAAGATATAATCAAATTAATTAGCTATTTTGTGTTAATTAGGTTATGCCAATAATTACTGCAATTAATCAACGTTTTTTTGGGGTCTGATAATGACCATGCAGACTCATATCGTGTACATGGGAAGCTTATTATCTCCCGAAAACAGCTTCAACCATCTCATGGCTGCTGCTAATAATCGCCACCACAACTTGCTTTCAAGTGTACTTGGAGAGTGAGTATATGAAAACCTAGCTAGCGTTTTATCATCTATGCACACTTTTAACTCTTAATCATGATTTAATTAGTGATACTTATCGTTATAATTTCTTCTTACAGTGAGGAGTTAGCTCGAAGCGTGAGAGTTAGCTCATTCGGGAGGAGTTTTGATGGCTTCTCTGCTCGCCTACTGCCCGAAGAAGCTGAAAGGCTCAAAGGTCTAGTACTTCATTAACCAACACTTAATTAACGTCCTTATCAAATTAGTACTTAACTAATCAAAGAACCCTAATTAAGCAATGTCTTGTTATATGCGTACTCATTATTAATTATGTGTTTTGGAAAATGTTCAGAGCATCCAAATGTGGTGTCTGTTTTTCCCAACCAAATTCGAAAGCTCCACACCACAAGGTCATGGGACCTCATCGGAGTGACTCAATCGGTCAGGAGAAACCTCAAATTTGAGCTTGACATAATCGTTGGCGTACTCGATACAGGTTCGTAGTAAAAAAAAAAAATTTATCGTAAATGTTATTATCTCCCATATTTGTCATATTGAACCAACATTATCATTTATCACTAATACGATTGTGGTGATATTTAGGTATAAACGTTAATGCCCCGAGTTTCAACGACAAGGGTTTAGGTCCACCTCCTGCGAAATGGAAAGGAATTTGCCAGAAGGGCGCCAACTTCACCCATTGCAACAAGTAATCGATATTTCAGATTTCCAAACCCTAATCTACAAATAACCCTAATTATTAATTAGTGTATGTTTGTGCATGCAGCAAGGTCATTGGAGCAAGGGCTTACGCCTTTGACAATGACCACGGCGAACCCGCCGGCCCGAGTCCGTGTGATCTCGAGGGTCACGGGTCCCACACCGCCTCTACGGTGGCTGGCTCCCTGGTTCAGGGAGCCAGCCTGTACGGCCTGATGAAAGGCACCGCCCGCGGCGGGGTGCCCTCCGCCAGGATAGCAATGTACAAGGTCTGCGGCAAGTACTGCACCGACCTCAACATACTGCACGGTTTCGACGACGCCATCGCCGATGGCGTCGATGTAATCTCGCTCTCGGCCGGCGGCGGTCCGTTTGCCGGTTACTTCACCGACGCCATCTCCATTGGTGCCTTCCATGCCATGAGGAAAGGAGTGCTGACCAGCGTTGCCGCCGGCAACAGCGGCCCCGATCCCAACACCGTTTCCAACGTCGCCCCGTGGTTGATGACCGTCGGAGCTAGCGGCACCGACCGCCAGCTCGTTACACCCATCACCATCGGCCGGGATGGCTTCAAAACCTTGGTATATATATACTTGCATATTCATTTGTCAAAAAAACCCAATTACATCGCGTATTTATTATACGCGAACAAAAAAGACTTGGTCTGATGGTACTATCATTGGTTTCATACTTGCATATTCATTTGTCAAAAAAACCCAATTACATCGCGTATTTATTATACGCGAACAAAAAAGACTTGGTCTGATGGTACTATCATTGGTTTCGAACGTAAAAGTCACGTGTTTGAATATCTAAAGTTAGGACTACTATAAAAGCAAATATATATTCTAAAGTACCAATGCATATACTAACTAAAGTACTATGTTTTTCCAGGGAAATTCGATCAATACTGTTTCTGCGGGAAAGAAGTTTCTTCCTCTCGTTAGCGGGCGTAAAGCTCAGAACTCGAGCAGTAACGATGCGAAAACCTTTCCAGGGTAGGTTTTCGTGACAAATTTCGGTGATCGTATGTCGCGCTTGACAACGTATTTTGTTATGTATTTTTAATCGCGCGTGATGCATGTTATTGCTAGGGCTTGTATCGATGGGAGTACAAGTATAGAGATGGTGAAGGGCAAGGTGGTTTTGTGCAATGGAGCCATAGAAGGGGATAGTGTCCTAAAGCGCGATGGGGCGCTTGGAATGTTGATGGCCGACTATAAGGGCGAGTTGGACGCCGCCTATGCTTTCGTCCTCCCAACCGCGATGATCACGCCGGAGCGTTATCTTGCCATTGAAAGATACATCAACTCCACCAAGTAATTATTAATTTAACTTGTTCATTATTCAATTATTATTTTCCAACCACTTCTATTTATTTTTCATTTGCCATCGTGTATATTAGGAATCCTCAGGTGTTGATACATAAATCAAGGAGCATCCACGTGGACTCGCCATTTGTAGCCTCCTTCTCGTCTCGAGGTCCCGATCGCTATTCCAAAACAATACTCAAGGTACGTAATTCATTCATTAATGGGATTCTTATAAATAAGATAGAGACTAGAGATAGCATCATTAAACGAAAATTTCACTAAAATGTCGGAAATTTGTATTGGTATTATCACTAATTATATACTCTTTTTTTTTTCTCTTCATTTGGTGGTAATTTTCAGCCGGATCTTGTAGCACCAGGAGTGAACATTCTAGCCGCGTACACAAACCTAGCCTCCATAACATCGAGCCCACTAGACAACAGGTTCAGCAACTTCAACATCATGTCGGGAACATCAATGGCTTGCCCTCACGCCGCCGCCGCCGCCGCCTATATCAAGTCCTTCCACCCTGATTGGTCCCCCGCCGCCGTCAAATCCGCCCTCATGACCACCGGTACGTAAAACACCATCACTTCTTTCGTCATCATCTCGTCTACCTAATTTTGGGCTATTCACGTCATATTTGACATCATATTTGCATTATTCACGTAAGAGTATTGATTATTCATGCAACCAATACTGTTAGGTCACGCCACCTGATGTTTATTCACGCCGTTGTAAAATACAATTTTAAACTTTGAAATACATCAAAAATGGATGTCACTGTGTAGATTATGATCAATGCTACATATTTTTACATATGAAATGATAATCCAAATTCAATTCCATAAAATATAGCATATACAAATTATTAGGAGGAAAAGTCTGAATTTTTATTTACTTGAAAAACTTACTCTCTTACGTATATCACCATAATATTACGTGAATAAACACAAAATGGCGTGAATGATTACAAAGTGGCGTAAATGAACTGATCTTAGGTGTTCTGTTACCTAACTTGACAAGAGATGTTTTCCTCACTTGAATCACACACATACCAGCGTCACCAATCAAAGTACCTGAGAAGCAAGCCGAGTACGCGTACGGGTCGGGCCAGATCGATCCGACCAGAGCGGTCGACCCGGGTCTGGTCTACGACCTGACCGAGGCCGACTACGTAGGGTTTCTCTGCAGCATGGGGTACAACAGCGTCATGATGAAGCCGATCGTGGGACGCGATGACGTGGCGTGTCCGTTGACCAAGGCTAAGGTTTGGAGCGGCAGCGACGCGTTGAACTACCCGTCGATGAACCTGCAGCTGCCGATCCCGGGGACGGGCGGGCCCGTGGCGGCGGTGTTTCGGAGGACGGTGACGAACGTTGGAGCGGCGAATGCGACGTACAAGGCGGAGGTGGGTGGTGACGTGGCCGGGTGGAGTATTAAAGTTGTGCCGGAGACGTTGGTGTTTGGGGAGGTGAACGAGAGGAAGTCGTTTAGGGTGATGGTTCGGGGACCGCCGGTGAATATCGACGACGGGGTTTTGTCGGCGTCGGTGGTGTGGAGGGATACGGAGGGCCGGTGGAGCGTTAGGAGTCCGATTGTGATATCGGCTGATTTATTGACCTGATCATCGTTGTATTTACGTGTTGGGATTGCTTTTTTTACATGAATTTTCGGTTTGATGTGGAGAGATTTTGTACCTCAATTTAAGAAGGTAGATTAGATTGCAAGTAGATTGTTTCTGAAAATTTCCAAAAAAAATTCTTGACTACCATTGTCTTAGCTGTGGTTTTTTTTAAGAGAAGATTGATTGTTTCATTAATACGAAACACAGTGTACAGAGTTGATACAATACTGGGAGGAAGAAAGACAAACCTACTAAATAAGAATTCCAAAACATAAGTTTTCAATAGCCCAGAAACCCAACATGCCCAAGGCCTAGTTTGAACAATTAGACCCGAAAGCCCACCCAAAAATCCTAATTCAGCAGGCCCAAGGAGTGGTGGCCTCCTTTTGCATCCCCGTCGGGGGAAAAGCACCAGAAATGACGGAAGGACGCCGGCGAGAAGAAGAACAGCCGCAAGAACGATAGTGAGCACCAAAATCAGAACCCAGAGCGGCTTCAAGATCCACCTGCATCAACAAATAAACTAGAGGAGCAGCCCCGAAACTTGGACAGAGAAGTGGCGCTTGAACCATCACTACTGATCTGAGCAAAACGGCAATAACCCACCACAAACAAGATTTTCCTACTCACAAGCTCCCCGGAAATCTATCCTAGATAACAATGACCCATGCATCTCTGAATCATCCCCAGATTTGAATGAAACAAAATGAGGATTGTTGATGGACTCTTTGGGCTTGTTTGGGGCTTTTAAAGCTTGTTCGGTTTGGATACGAACTCTAGGCTTGGGTGTTAACAGACTTTACTTGTTTTTTCTAGCAGGCCCATCTTTGTTTAGGGATCCAAAGTGATGGTTCCATTGGGCTGACTATAGGGGTGTGATCTTGTGCTTTATGTTCTTTGCAATGGTATGAGTGTGTGCTACTACCTTATTGATCTTTTCTATTTATCCAAGTTAATTTCACTATAATACAAAGAAATTTGGTGCTTTTTTTTATCAACCAAGGGAATAAACAAGGTTGTCATGTTTATATTATCTCCCTAAGTTGCATTAGTTCATGAGTTGGATAAGATCGAGAACGAGGAAACCACTTTGGGGACGGCAGTGTGTCATGGATCATAATCCATCGGTGATTATGGCCATATAGGTTTATGATTAGCTAGTTTTGCTATATAGGATTAGTTGATAAATTTTGTATATGACGTTTAGTTTAATTTGTCCGAATATATATGATAGTTTAAGACCATTCCGGTAAGACCGTAAGAATGTCATCTGGTTTCATAAAATTTGAGTTCGATCAGTTTGTATGGTTAGGACTTAGGAGTTTGTTAGAAAGCTCGAGGACAATTCATTTAACTACCTTGAAGTTGTTACCGTTTTTTGCATTTTCCCTCTTCCTTTTCCTGCTTCTCCCGCATTATATAATATATCGGCCATATACCATATTGCATTCAAAACTTATGTATCATCATTCATCAACCAATAATATATTTTGTCGATCTCTTGCTAAGAAATCATAAAGTGATGTTAATTTCTCTTTGAATTTATGTTGCACTTTTCAACCGTCATCATGATGATGAAATCTTTCCCATTTCATTTTCACAGTAACGTCAAGGGGAAATGGTAGATTACTATCGGCGGGGAACGCATGGACGAGAAAATTAGCACACACTTTTACATATTATCTAAATCTTCGATTACAACTTTCTCCCAATCAAGGCTTAACTAAAAACATGGAAAGCACGTGTTCCATTACGGCCGGTGTACCTAATTAAGCTAATTAGTCGGCACCATACTATACTAAATCTACTAGTCGGCGGATTTTGTCGTCTTTGGGTGTGGTTTTTCGGGAGCCGCAGTACGGATCACCGGCGTCGCGGCCGCATTCGCCTGTCTTTATCCGATCCGCCGCCGCGCACCGAATAAGGTCAACTGATCACCAAAAGTTTTCGTATTATAAAAAGAAAAAAGTAGGGACCTCATTGGCATTTCATGAAAATCACGGGGTTGAGTAGGAAAGAACAAATCAAACACGGGTTGTACCAACCATACACAGTTTCCACACAGATTATACGATGCGAAACTAGTAATTATATGTAGCCGGCCAGCCCCAGAAATTATTATTTTATGTCAAACTAGCCCCACATTGGATATAAATCGGATAAATGCCACATTTGATCACTGAGGTTACTAAATCGTGTCATGTTTAGTCACTAGAAAAATTTAATATCAATTTTGGTTACTCGAATTACTGAAACATGTCACATTTAGTCACTCTCCCGTTAGCCTCCGTCCAACTCCGGTCACTCGAATTACTGAAACGTGTCACCTTTAATCACTCGAATTGATGGAGTTGAACGGAAACTAACGGGAGAGTGACTAAATGTGACTTGGTCCAGTAATTCGAGTGACCAAAATTGATATTAAATTTTTCTAGTGACTAAATATGACATGATTTAGTAACCTCAGTGACAAAATGCGATATCCGGTACTTTATGAATCAGTCAAAAGCAAGACCTTTTAGTTATGTTTTTTGGACTTTCCCTGTGCCATTATGGATATGATTAGTGTGTACACTTGGCCTAATTGCAAATTGTACTTAGCTGCGGTTATGTGCATCTCATTTTAAACGTGCTATTTAAAACGATGCATGTGAATTATGAACTGATGCTCGATGATGGGAATGGTGAGCTGATATCGAAAAACATGCATGCATGCACCAGCAGCAGCAGCAGCTTTATTTGGTGTGCATGATTAATTAGTGTCACTTGCTAGGGCAGTCGATCGGCTGTGCTTAGGTGAGTGATTTGAAACTTATTAGCTAGAAAAGTCTAGAGAACACAAGTATCTTATGGTTGTATTTTCACTGAGTTGGCGTTTTATGTATGACCAATATTAGTGTTTATAGAGAATCAATTATCGCAAAATTCGAGTTGTCGACAGATGTTCAATTAAAACTTGTACGCTTAGTAAGCCTAAATTAAAAGACGCCCGTTACGATTAACACCGGAGCTTAGTCGGCGGACCAGCAGAATTGAGAAACGACTTTTAACTATTGCAGTAGCAGCAGCCCAAAATCATGCACTTAAAACGGGTCGCTGTGCTTAGGGGTGACTATACGGTCCAGTCCGGTTAAATTGGGCCAAATTGATCCGGTCCCGATCCGGTCTTTTTGGGAATATAAGGACCAAATATTGTATTGGAAACAATCCGATCTTGATCCGGTCCGGTTCCAAATGGTTTTTTTACCTCAAATCTAGCTAAGCCCGAATATGATATTAGATTGTTTGCTTTCCGGTCCCAATCCGAATTATACGGTCCGATTTCGGATAAAACCAAATAGTAAATAACCCGCTCTAGCTGTACTACGAACTTTGAGCACATCTAATCTTTGGCGGATTTTGTCTTTTTGGGTGTGTGGATTTCGGCAGCCGCAGCTAGCATCGACGGCCGAGATCGGCGTGGCGCGCGCGGCCGCATCCGCCTGTCTTTATCCCATCCGCAACCGCACACAGAATGAATCAATAAAGGTAATTGACCCGAAAAAAAAATATCGTATTAAAAGGAGATTATGGATCTGATTGAAATTTCAAGAAAAGTAAGGATATTAAAATGTAAATCACGGGGGTGGAAAGAACAAATCAAACACGGGGTGTACACCGATTCCACGGAGATACGGTCCGGAAAAAATTTAATAATGATTATTATTTTATGTAGCCAGCGAAGCACCACAATTGTCATTTTACGTCAAATTAGCCCCACATTTAGGGGTGGGCATTGGTGCGGTCCAAACCGCTCCGCCCGCTCCAAATCGCTTATGCGGTCAATCCAAATCGCACCATTAAGATTGCGGTTTTATTTGCGGTCTAATGCTAAACGGTTCGCGGTTTTGTGGTACGGGTCGATCGAAACTGCGCGGTTGCGGTTCAAAACCGCAAACCACTAAATCCCTACCCAGCTCAGCGAGGGATTCTCAATCTCAATTCATACCATTCTCAATCCCTCACCACAAGAGCAAGCCTTGCGGCGGCGCCATCGACGATTCCTCCCTCTCGACTACCTACCCGACGATTCCTCCATCCCGATTACCTACCTGACGACGTCGATCTATCCGTGCCTCTTGACGACGTCGCGCACCATTAAGAGGCGATAGCTCCAGCGTCGACGCCGACGATTCCTCCATCCCGACTCCCGGTCTGTTCTTGCGATCAGAGCAATTTGTTGAAGAGGACGATTCCTCCATCCCAACTATTCGTTCCTCTTGATGTCGCCCACCACCAAGAGGCGAGAGGGCCAGCGCCGACGTTTCCCGTTTCTAATTTCCGTTCCTTGAATTGAGTGATAATGATTACTGTTGCACCTGTGTTTGGTATTATCAGTGAAGTAGATGTCATTAACTATTATTGTTTTTTGGGTTGCAGGTGGTATCTTCAAGGAGAAGAAGAAGCTGCAGGGTTTTTTTTTTTTTTTTTTGGAACTTAGTTAAATGACAGAACTGAAGGTCCAGTTATGGGTTAGGATTTTCCACCCCTAGAGGGATACGTTGTAGATGCTGTGTTTTTATAGATGCTGTGTTTTCCACCCCTAATTATGGGTTAGGATTTTCATTTGGCAACTTCGATAAAGTCAAAGATTCAGTTTCATTAAAAGAGCTCGGGAAGAGGATACATGGCTGCCAAAAGAAAGAAGTCGTCTCCCTCTCTCGGTCCCTACTCTGTTCTTTTCAAGCTCTGTTCCTCGCTCGATATCTCGTATGTGAATCCATTTGACTTGGTGTTGCGGTTTTATTTGCGGTTGCGGTCCAAACCGCACCAAGTCGCGAACTAATGCGGATCGGTTGGACCGTACCAATTAACTTGCGGTCTTGTTTGCGGTGCGGTCCAATTACTTTGTGGTGCGATGCGGTTTTTATCAATATGGTGCGGTGCGGTGCGGGTCGCACCAATGCCCACCCCTACCCACATTGTGTCGATTTCCCGGTCGCAAAATTCCTGGTTCCCACTTCCGACCGCAAGACCTTTCTATTTTTACCTGTCAATTTATCATTATACTTAATGAGGTCGACGTGACTGACGACTAGTGCTTCCTTCCTTCATAATATTGGTATTTGCCAGCTGCTCTTTTAATACCCATAGTGGCCCAGTGTGGGCGTTTTATGAATCAGTCAAAAGTCGACTTTTTTTTTTGTTCGTCTTTTTGACTTTCCATCATCCGGGTGTTATCATGGACATAATTGTACTTGGTCTGATTACATATATTGTACTTAATTATAAGATGCAGTTATATATGTGCTTCTCATTTAAAACGTGCTAATTAGAAATTATGGGCACGACTTATATCCAGACATATGCATGCATGCATGCATGCATGCAAGCAGCTTTAGTTTGGTTCACGCATGATTAATTAGTGTTAATAATTACTAGGGTTGTCGGCTGCTGTATTAGGTGAGTGGTTGCTTTGGAAAGTGAAAAGCTTGGAGAACATCATTCAATTTCAAGCATCTTGTTATGGTTGTGTTTCGAGTCCTATGATATTGAGGTCGTTCGAACTTTTCGGTGTGTTTTTTTACCACATTTATCTAATTTCTTTTTTCTAATAACCGTGTAGCTCTCAACTTAACATGTATGTGCATGTTTGCGCCAACATTCATACAAAGTTAATTAGTTACGTTCACCTACATTTGAAAGTCGAGTGAATGCTACCGCGCAAACTAAACTACGAAGTGATGCTAACTAAGAACAGCAAGAATGGAGATAGATCGATGGATCCAACTTGTGATGGAAAGTTGCAAAAACATCCATCTTTTTTCGAGATGTGGGCGAGCTGATCATGAGAGCTGACTTCCTTCCTCATCACCTTCACATGCACCACATATGTACAAACTCCCTCCGACGTCCGCATCCATCCATTTCACAAAAACCAACAAAAACCATTTGACGTTCGTCTCTCTAGAAAGTATGTACGCAACCAGAGCAAGATAAGTAGGTAGCGGCAGCCATCGGGAAAAGGACACAAACTGCCACCTCATGCACCGCACACAATTTCACAAAACGGGTAAGAAAGAAGGTCAAGCGGCCCAATCAAAACCACAACAATGAAACAACACGTGACTGGACTCGGTCGGTGGTAGCAGCAGCAAGACATGCACGCATTTCCACAGCACACTCTCATTCGAGATCGTCACTTACAGGTAAAGCGCCCTCACGTGTTCTTCATGCCCTAATCCCCTCCTTAGTGATGCATGATGATGTACTCCATTCTTTCCATTTCTAGACATTTGTAATCTGATTGTTAGTGACGGAGTCTGAAATTTGAACAAGAGGTTGATTTTTTTTTTGGACAGGAAACGAGAGGTTGATTTGAATTATCATAATTGAGGAAGGGAGTTAAAACATATCGACTGTTTTAATTTCAAAAATTGTACAAAATTCACTTGTGGTTTTAACTACACTTCAAAATTGAGGGCGGTTACAGTCGGTGATGGAGCTAGTTTGGTATAGGGTGGGTCCCGGGACCCACCTTGGCTCGGGATTAAGACACAAAATAACAATATTTGGTATGAGATTCACAAGATTAAAGTTTGGTTTGGTATTTATCGTAAGGAAAATGAAAGCTTCGACAAGATAAGCAACAACAAAAAGGGCAAAGCGGGCAACAATTTAACTCGCTCAGACACCTCCTAAGGAAGGTTGGATTCAACTTCAGACTGATAGTTCCTTTTCCCCAGGCCATGCTGGTTTCGTAGTTGTTGGCGGCCTCCTGAGAGACCATCTTGGCAGGTGCACAGAGGCCTTCGTCTGCAACTTGGGCATGTGTTCGATCACAAGGGCAGAGCTGAAAGCTGCCGCCGAAGGATTCCGCATTGCTTGGGAAAGAGGTTACATAAAAGTGAAGTTGAAAGTTAGATTCCACACAACTGCAATTAACCTCATCAAGAAAATCCAATGAGATCAACCACCGCCATGGTTTGCTGCTGCAACAAATTGGCTTACTTCTTAGTTATGATTGGCAAGTTGCGATATCCCATGTCCTTAGAGAGTGTAATCTTGCAGTCGATTTCTTGGCTTATATAGGATCATAACTCTCATCTTGACACACATTTGTTCAATGTGTGCGACCCAAAACTTAGATACTGACTCGTGTATAATATCATGAATACCTCTCAAGACTGTTCTATTAATACGACTTAATTAGAATGCTCTATCATCTAGCAAAAAAAAAAAAAAAAAAAAGTAGGAACCAAGAATACATTTCCTTCCTCAATTCACCGAGATATATACCTCCTCCTTATTCTTATCTGATCTATTGCCCTTACATACTGATTGATAGTCCCTTCGACCATTACGTGGTTGGGACAACTCCAATGGTACTAATAACATTTGAAACCATTGAGAGAGAAAAATACATTTGAATTTTTAGTTAGACGAATACTACTAGTACCAAATCACGACCAAGTTAGCTTTTTTTTGTAACATTTGATTTGGCCTCCTCTACCAGAATAGAAAGACCGAAATAATAATATATTTTCTATTTTCCATCCATGAATGTATAAACAAAATATAAATAAAGCATAAAGACAGTTTTTTCCCCCCATTTTGTCGACTATTCCTCTCCATATAAATTATTGACAAAATTGATTGATGGATGTTCAAGTATCAACCGTCGACAACCAGCCACTAGCTAGCTAAGCATTCCCCACCACCATTCAGTTACAATATTAATTTATTTAAATCAAATACAAAAAACAAAGAACACAAGGCCAAATTACCAATTAATTATTCAAACATAATCCCCATAATCCAATTTTCTACCCCTATAAAAACAGGTGATGAGAAATTGAAATTCCCAATTGTCTCCACTTCTCCACACAACACAAACCAATCCCTCTCTCTCTCTCTCATCGCCGCCATGGACTTCGCCGCCGCCGTCGCTCTCCTCTTCTTCACCTTCACCGCCGCCTTCACCTCCTTCTCCCTCCTCCTCTTCGCCGTCTGCCGCCTCCTCCCCCGCTTCTGCTGCGACTGCCACGTCTGCTCCACCTACCTCTCCGCCACGTGGCGACCCAGCTTCCCCAACCTCTCCGACTGGTTCGCCCACCTCCTCTCCGCCTCCGCCACCTCAACCATCCGCGTCCACGTCACCCGCAACGTCATCACCGCCAGCCCGGCCAACGTCCACCACATCCTCAAGTCCAACTTCCCCAACTACCCCAAAGGCAAGCAGTTCTCCGCCCTCCTCGGCGACCTCCTCGGCCGGGGAATCTTCAACGCCGACGGCCACCGCTGGCTCTTCCAGCGCAAGATGGCGTCGCTCGAGCTCGGCAGCGTCTCCGTCCGCGTCTTCGCCTCCGACGTCTTCAACTCCGAGATCGAATCCCGACTCGTCCCACTCCTCGCCGACGCCGCCGGCGGCGAGCTCGACATGCAGGATGTTTTCCGGCGTTTCGCGTTCGACACGATCTCAAGATTCTCCTTCGGGTACGACCCCGGGTGCCTCGAGATTTCCTTGCCGGAGTCGGAGTTCGCGGCGGCGTTCGACGCCGCGTCGAGGCTGTCGGCGGAGAGGGCGATGGCGGCGTCACCGGTGGTGTGGCGGGTCAAGCGATTTTTACGGGTCGGGTCGGAGCGGCGGCTGAGGGAGGCGATACGGACGGTGGACAGGCTGGCTCAGGAAGTGATCGACCGTCGCCGGCAGACTGGGTTCGCCGGAAAAAGCGATCTTTTGTCTCGGTTCATGGCTGCCGGAGTCGAAGACTCCGGCGGCCGCGACGACGGCTACCTCCGCGACATTGTGAAGAGCTTCCTTCTCGCCGGACGGGACACGGTGGCGTCCGGGCTGACGAGCTTCTTCTGGCTGACGTCACGGAATCCGGCCGTGGAGGCGAAAATAAGATCGGAAGCGGAGGCGGTTCTCGGCCGCCATCAGAACGACGCCGTTCCGTCGTTTGCGGAGATGACGGAAATGCACTACCTGACGTCAGCGGTCTACGAGACGCTTCGGCTCTTCCCGCCAGTTCAGTTCGACTCGAAGTTCGCGTTAAACGACGACGTTTTGCCCGACGGGACGATAGTGAGGAAGGGGGACCGGGTGACGTACCACCCGTACGCGATGGGCCGGATGGAGTCCATATGGGGACCCGACCGCCTGGAATTCCGACCCGAGCGGTGGCTAAACGACGACGGGTTGTTCGTGCCGCGGAGCCCGTACGAGTACCCGGTTTTCCAGGGCGGGTCGAGGGTCTGCCTAGGGAAGGAGATGGCGATCGTGGAGATGAAGACCGTGATTCTGGCCGTGATCCGGCGGTTCAATGTCCGGGTGGCGGATCCGGGTCACGAACCGAGGTTTTCGCCCGGTCTGACCGCTACGGTCAGTGGTGGGCTGCGGATGGTGGTCGAGGAGGTGGTCAAGAGATAAAGGGTTATGCATGGTTGATGACGTGGAGGTGCCACGTAGGTGTAGGCTTTAGGCTTGTGTTAGGGGAACACCAGACTTGTGAAATAGAACTAATGACTTTATTGCCAAATATGTTGGTGTAAGGATGTGTTAATTTCTTGTCAAAATTTCGTCGGGAATTAAAAATTATTGTGTCCATATTTATCTCGATCATTTTTCTTATCCTTTTAGTACCACGAATTGTTATGATTTAAATGATATATTTTTTTTTTTTTGCATTGAGAGGAGGCCGCAGCCGAGCAAGAGAAAGAGTTACAGAGGCAGACTAGGGGGTGGAGGAAGGAGGAGTTACAATGCGACGTTGAAAAGTAACTCCTAACATATCATCTCTGAGCACTTGCTTTAGCCCGTTAGGTAGTTCCGCAAGCTCATACACACCGTAGGGATAGACGAGACTGTGCTTCGAGAGCCAGTCCGCGGCTCTATTCCCTTCCCTGTATGTATGAACAATGCGAACCAACCACTCGCGACTAATCTTCTTTCGAATACCTGCCAAGAGGGTAGCATGAGGGTGAATCGGATCATGTCTTCTCTCAATGAGCTGAATGGCTAGCTGTGAGTCAGTTTCAATCTTGATTGCCCTGTGGCCTTCCTTCCAGGCTAGATCCAAGCCATGGCTGAACGCCCATAGCTCCGCCAAAACTGCTGTGGCAGTGCCCAAACTAGCTACAAAACCTTTCAACCACTTCCCAGCCCCATCACGTAAGAGTCCCCCTGCGCCTGCAGGACCCGGGTTGCCGTTCGAGGCACCATCAATATTCATAGTGACCCAGCCGCTCTCCGGTCCTCCCCAACCAATGTCTGCCAGCACGCGCCTCGCCGGCCTGCTCCTACTGTCCAAAACAAGGTCGGAAGAGTTCCAAGAATCATACCAGAGCTTAGTTTTGGTGAGGATGGAGAACTCCAAGGTTGGCGGTGTCATTGCCGCCCCGATCCCCTTGAAGCACGCCGTCGTACGGTTCTTCCAAATGAGCCATGCTGCAGTGCTAAAGAAACCCGGCCAATCAACACCATTTCCTGCAGAATCGCCACTCTTGAGGTTCATACTAAGCCACTCCCGCTGATTGCAGCTGAAGAAGGATGCTTGCTGGTGTAGAGGAACGTGACGGGACCAGAAAAACAAGGCCGGGGTGCAGTCCCTGAGAATGTGCAGAACGGACTCCGGCTGACCAGCGCATCTCTCACAATCCGGGCTATCCGCCACCCTCCTGCTGTAGCGGAGAGCATTAGTAGCGAGCCTATCAAGGAAAGCTTGCCACATGAAACATCGAACTCGCTCCAGGGTGGGTAGCCTCCAAATAATCTTCCAAATGCCCTCGTCTTGGTCCGGTTGGTGCTGAGTTAGGAGACTGAAGGCTGACTTGGTGGTGAATCTCCCATCTGAAGAGGCCGTCCAAAACAATTGATCCTCCTCATCAGAAGCACCGTCCACCGCCACGCTCAAAATTCTTTGTGTCACTTCCTCGGGTAGAAGGTTCACGAAGAGCTCTGTCTTCCAGCAGCCATCATCCCCCACCATATCCGCTACCTTGACTCCTTCCAGTTCCGGCGGGACGTTGTCGACAGCTAGCTCCCGGAGAGGAACCTGCGAAACCCAACAGTCAAGCCAGAAATGAGTTTTCCGGCCACTTTTAATATTCCACGCACACCCTTTCTTAAGTAGACTAGCTACTTTAGCAATGCTTGCCCAAGTAAAGGAACTTCCCTGAATTGGACGAATCATATCCAGCTCCTGGCGATGACGACCATATTTTGCTTTCATCACCTGAGTCCAGATGCTGTCCTTATCATGAAGGAGTCTCCAACCACACTTGGCCAGCATCGCCAGATTGGCCTGTCTAGTGTAGCGGATGCCTACACCCCCTTGCTTTTTCGGCATTGTCATCTTCTCCCACGAAACCAGATGCATCTTCGCCTTCTCTTCCTCGTCACCCCATATAAAGTCTCTATTGAGCTTGTCAATAGATTTGCAAACTCCCATGGGGATGAGCTCCGTCTGCATGTTGTAAACAGGCAAAGAAGCAGAAACAGACTGAGACAAAGTGAGACGGGCTGCAAAGGAGAGACGCTTAGCTTTCCAAGGAGCCATCCTCTTTTGGATGCGGAGAATGAGAGAGTGGTATCGCCCTTTCGTCACTCTCTCCTGAATCGCCTGAATCCCAAGATATCTTCCAAGAGCCGCTTTAAGAGGGATACCCGCCCTCCGACTCAGCTGGCTAGCTTTCCGGCGGCTAACATTGGGGGACACATATAAGATGGACTTGTTGTAGTTGACCTGCTGCCCCGAGCTGAGGCAGAAGTCCTCCAGGCATTGCCTAATTGCAGTAATCTGGTGACTTTCTGCTTCCGCGAACAGGAGGAGATCATCTGCAAAGAAAAGATGCGTCAGTGGAGGGCCATTCGCAGAGAGCTTAACCGGCTTCCACAGCCCATCTCTAACAGCAAGATCAATTCTATGCGATAAACGCTCCATACACAAAACAAAGAGATAAGGGGAAAGAGGGTCTCCCTGTCTAACTCCACGAGACGGGCAAATAGGCTGAGATAGCTCCCCATTCCACAGGACCCGCATCCTGTTTTGCTCCACACAGTACATGATGCAACTAATCCAGGAGCTGGGAAGGCCGACTTCCTTCAGAGTGTCTCTTAGGAAATCCCACCTCAATCTATCATACGCCTTCTCTAAATCGATCTTGAAAACCAAACCTCCCTTCTTGCCTCTTTTTTTCCTGAAAGAATGAAGAACCTCCTGAACGACGTGCATAGGAATTAGACTTCTAACATAGAAGTATAAGCACGATGTGCATACCACATTCAATTTGATAGGGGAAAATCAATTTGATAGGGGAAAATCATCGTACAATCTAACATAGAAGTATAAGCACGATGTGCATACCACATTCAATTTGATAGGGGAAAATCATCGTACAATTGTGTTCTTTAAGGGTAGGATTGATATTTGACCAAACCATGCTCTCTCTATATATTTACCCATGATCTCTTGTACATTCGTGTTCTTTAAAAAAGGATAGACAAATGAGTGATTTAGTTGCGATTTATTTCAATCCACCCACAAATAATTTAAACCGCTATGGTTGGATAGCTAATGTTGTTGGATTGTGTGCAGAGTAAATCTCATGTCATACTTATTTGGGACGGTGGTGAATGAGTTGCGAGTTACCCAAATGACCCACTACTTCATTTTCACATAACAAATAATTCGTCTTCATATATCATTGAGAGGTTATTATCTTCTTTTTTTTAAGAAAAAATTGGACCACACGCTGACCATCCATTCTAAAAGCAGAAAAGAAAGAATGGTTTTATGAACTATTGCTATTGGTACTATGTTGTGTAATATTCATTATGATGTAAATCATAAATCACTAAATATATTTAAGTTGTTAAAAGTTCAAATTTCTCGACAATTAGTTGCTAGAGCAACGAAATTTTTAAATAGTCTTGATCTCCTTACTTAAGTTGTTAAGTGTTATCTACTTTCTTTTCTGTATCAACGAGTATTTGACCTAAAGCGACCAAATGAAAATGAGTTGGTCTACCCAATTTCACCAAGCAAACTCATCCAACCTAACCAATGGAGAAATGAGATGAGTAATGAGTGTCCCAATCTTTAGTAAACGTGAGACAGTAGATTTCCCATAATAAGCTGCACGATAATAAATTGCACCTGTCAGTAATTAGGTGAGAGTTTTTCAATGTTTACGGGGTCGATTAAATGGACTTTTGCTAATTAAGAACAATATTCGATTTCTCTCTGCACAGTGTACTACTTGTCGTTTTGCTTAATAAAAGGAATTTGGCATCTTCCGTTAATAAATTATTATTAAACAAATAAACTAGTTAATTAGCATAATTACCTGCAACCACACATTGAATGCGTTAAACAATCAGTCTCCGATAGTAAGATTGGCAGCGATCGGCCAACCGATCAAGTTGATAATAGCATGGGAAACATGGTGATGCTGATGCATGTCTCGTCAAAACATTTCCAATCAACATTTTCTTCTAAAGCATCGAAGATTCCCACTCTTTTAACAGTGTATTTAACGAATAAGTCATTCTCAAAAATAATTTGTATGCGATCGTACGTCTAATCAACATTGTCAGTAGGTTGTCCACCTCACCTCCTCTCATATACATCTCTATTATCAAAAAATTAGGTTGGACGTTTCGAATTAGATATTAGATTATGGAGTATAACATTAGTGACAGCGAATTAGAAACATGATTCTCATGTTACACGCGTTGCATGAGAAAATTGATCATCTTCTTCTCTAGACCAACAGAAAGCAGTTCCAGGGCGCACTAATCCCTGTTAATGATGAACCCACTTAGTTAAATTGGTGATAGAGTTGAGATCACAATTCACAGGTCTATATTCTATTCTACAGCACGCCAACCAAGCTGATCAGTATGTATTAACTATTAATTACGATAAGTTGGCATCCCAACTTAAGCCATATATAAGCTTTTTATAAGTTATGTTCTTTTATTAATCCACTTTTATGTATTCTGAATAAAAGATTGTTTACGCCAAAAAAGATATTTTCTTTGAAATACTACTCTACATGGGTGGTATTTGGAGAATTGGACTGCTTTTAATAGCTCAGCCCGTATATACTAAATTGACTTGTTATGGGTCTCTCATTTCATGAATGATCCTCTATATAGTAATAGTGTTAGTTTTAGTCGCGAAGCTCTAAAGAAATCTTCATAGAAATAGTGTAAAGTAGATTTCTCATACATGCATGATACACCAAACACTACTCTCATTCGAACGGTGTTTAAATATATGTGAAAAGTAGCAACATATCATCTTTAAAGTAGCCATATTGCATCCCATCCACATATTCTTTTCCACCATTAACAAATATCTTGAGAATTCTCATTAATTAATTGGTCTATTTAACGAACAAGTCATTCTCCAAAACTAATTTGTC